CACAAATGAATTGAAGTAGAGAATCTCTAGAGATGAATAATGAATGATGATGATGGGGCTTGAATTCTTCCGACTTTTTGAGCATAGGATCTTTTGATCCTTATACAGGCCATACCGTATATATACGTTTTACACATATGTTTTTGTATACATGTGTATATATTTGATACTTCTGACTTTTAGCTGACTTATGTCAAACCTCTGCAAATTTTCAATTTCAGTCTGCTCAAATAAGTTTTCCATGTGCAGTTTTTTTTTTTTTTTTGGGGTGTAAATGTTAAGAATATGCAGTTTTTAATACTAACCAGGTTGTTTTTACTTGCCATAATTTCTCAAAATCTAGAAACCCTAATTCACTCTATATTTATTAATTACGCCCCATTAAGAATGCTTACATGCCTGCCTGTACTTTTCTTCAGCATAATTGCCTTTTTGGGATTTCTCTCTTACAGCGGAATTTAAATTGAAAACATATTAGGGAGTTGTAAGAAAAAAAGTAGGAGATGTCGGAGAAGAAAAGCCGAATGTGTAGTCGCATGCCTAGAATATGAAAATGATGATGGTGTCCGAGTTGTAACATTACGTACAAAATGGCACTAATTAACCTTATTTTCCACCAATAGAAATGAATTTCTCGCCGTTGACTATCCGTAAAACCTAGAAATAGTACTTTTTTTTGTTGTTGGTTCCGTAAATGTCATTGTGCAACAAAAAATTGTATGTATATAGTATATGATTAATAAAAATTATATAAGGAAAAAAGCATTTTAGCCGTTCTAACTGATAAATTGTACATCTAAATATATGATACTATTTCAGTTCATCATTTACCATTTCAATATTTTTTTTTAATTCAAACTCAACAACCATATTAATCCAATTCATTGGATGGAATTACAGTGTTTCTAACATCCAACCATTTGGAAAATTAAAATGTTGAAAACTAACTTAGTTTATTTTATCTTAAGACAACTTTTATGGTTTAGTTAGACGATGCGAATGTGTAAATATAACTAATTATGTGTCTTAGTGATACTCATACAGGGTAAGTATACTTTTTTAAGCTAGGGAATTGGACAGTTTTGTCTTTTAATGTGGGAACACAGATTATTGCATCCAAAACTCATAACCTGTTGCCTTTAATTAATCACCAAAACCTTAGGTCAATAAAAAGCATCTTTATTTCTCTCCTCCAGCCATTACTATTTTCTAACAATAGATATTCACAATTCTTATCTCAATGTTGAAGAAAATTAACAGTTTCTTTTGATTTTACTGAATGCGATATCGATCTACTAGTACGTATTAACAGAATCTAACTAAATAAAAGTATAAACAGGATGAACGAACATGAGGGAATGATCAAACAAACAAAAGTACTGTAGGATTATCCAGAAACAAAAAAAAATACTGTACAACTGTAAAAAAAAGAGTTGTCGCTAACCTTGTCGTTTAAATGCTGAAATTTCCGTTTTTGGAAAACAAAAAAGGGTATACATAGTACAATATAAGCCTGATGTTGTTTTCATTAATTTACAAATTAACCTAAATTTCTGTTATTAGATAACTTCAGTGACAATGATAGAAAAGTTACAAATGTACCCTAAAAATGGTTAAGCTTTCAGAAAATTAACCTAATTTAGTTAAGATACTAATGATAAAAAGATAATTCCAAATTTTATAAGTTTCCACAGAAAAGAAAAAGATTATTTAGGCAAGTTGGTCTCAAGCTATCGCCATCACACCGTGTACAGAGACACAATTCGGACTAGATATCAGAATCAAATGATAAAAAATATCTAGATTTTCATGCGTTATGTGATATATCAAACGAATCATATTTAGAAACACAAACATCTCTTTTATTTAGTTCGACTACAAGAGAATCAAAAAACAAAATAATGAAAACACAACCTAAAGAGCTATAACGGTGTACAACAGTACACGATGTCCTAAGAACGTCTTTCTTCTTTTTGTCTTTTGGTTCTGAGCCGTCGTTTTCGGGTCTGAACGTCAGTAAATGCAGAAGGCTCATGCTGAGACAGACGACATGTCCTTGTAAGAGACAACACCAAAAGGAGTAAAACCACCAAAAAGTAAATTGGGGTACATTACTAATACACATATAGTAGTATATGTATGTATGTATGTACATGCTGATGCTGACATAATGACATACATACATATATAACTGCTCTTCCTTTTGGTATTATTGATGCAATAAAGGTGTCTCCAGAGTTTGCTGCACATAAAAACACTGAAACTACCCGTTTCTCTCTGTGTTTTACTCTCACATTACAAAAAAAACCACTCACCCTTCATATTTGGAAAAATAAAATAAAATCACGGGTTTCATATAAGACAAAACATATTATAATATAAGGTTTTATAATGTCAAGACAAGGATTGGCTTTTGTGGATATGGAAGTAAAGGACGTACCCATAAGGTAGACAAATTGATTAACATGCTTCTCTCTTATTTTGAATTTTCGTTTGTAATATTCATTTGGATTCCTTTCTCTGTCAGTAAGCGAAAATAGCCTCGAGGGATTGAGAGGAGACAAAGAGGAAGATATATGAGCCTGCAAAGGAAGAGAAAATGCAGTAAAAGATAAGTTATGGTATGGAATAGTGATAACGCCTTTAATGTCTGGGGAGCTAGCAAATAAGGAAGGGGACAAAATATTCATTGAGTAAGAAATTATTGCAGATAATGTTTTCTTTTCGAGCTTTGACCTTGAAAATAAAGCAAAAGCAGTATTCAATCAATCCATTGAACTTTAACAATGCAGTGGAGTGGCTGAGACTAGCTTTCAGTATCAGAAAGCACTTATACAGAACATGTGAGTTCATAAAGTCGAGGCACTTATTTGCTCCTCGACTATTCCTAATAGCTACACAATCCAAATTGCTCATAAGCTAGTACTCAGACTAATCATTTACACCAAAGTACGTACTCTCTTAGTTTCTCTATGAGAACATTCTGCAAAACTAGACGGACATTAATACGATCTTTAGCTTTTTATGGATCAAACAGAAGAAATGATGATTGTCCTGACTGTTTGTTTCATGATTGACCTGAGATGATAATTCAGCAACCCATTGGATAAAAGAAAAAAATTTAGTCCAAAAAAACATCAAACATTATTTATATTGGTTACGAAGTAGTTCATCCACTAAAATAGGTTATTCGGATCACAGAAACTGATTCAGTTATGGACTAAAATAGGTAAAAACCTGCAACAAACTGTGACCTAAAGGACCCAATGTAATACTAAGCTTAAGGGCACTGTATATCCAAGCTCATTGAGAACCTAATGTATTCTTGCTTTAAAGCGTGCGTTTCATATCATCCGGTTTATTGGTTTAAATTCTGGGCTATACCGGTTCTTGTTTAACGAAGGACAGCTATGGTTTTTCTTTCCTATCAGTAGTAAAACAATTATTTATTAATTAATGTCGCTCGTCTCACACTTGGGAGAGTTTATAAATTTTGTGTTCTTTATGCAAAAATTCCCATTTGAATTCTAAAATCACTTGAAAATGTTGTGTACATTAATGCTAACAAATGAGAATTAAGAAGTATCTATATATATATATATTAAGTCTGTAATGATACTGTACTTTCTAACTTAAACATGCCTTTATTAAAACATCAAGTTCATTATTAATTTTATGTTGTAATATTTCAGAATTTGGGAATTTTTGTTTCAGTTTCATAATGTTGTTCATATTTTTCATATGCTTTAGAATATTTGAAGCAGTTTTAATTTTTTTTTTTTTTTTTTTTTTGAGCAAGAAAGCAGTTTTAAATTTTAAAACTTGAAATAATGAACAAGTCGGTCATTTTCCATATTTCTAGAAACAAAAAAATAAGACAGAACCAGAAGAGAAGCCCAACTTTGAGTCTTCGTGGGCCGAACCGAACTCAACTGAACTAAACTTGATCGTACTAGTTTTGTTCCTTCTCTCAGCCTCTCTCTCTCTTTCTCCGTCTGTCGCTGTCTCTCTCGTCGTCCTCTGTTTCGTAGCTTCTGTTGCAGATCTCTCTTTGTCCTTCTCTCCGTCAGATCACTGTAAGTACAACTACACTTCAATCCTCTTTCGATCTGTTCCCTTTAATCTATCTCGATTTGGTCGAAATCTTAATCTCTCTCTTTCTTTATTTAGCTTGATCTGACTCATTCTTTCATTTACTTTTCTTCTCGATTCATTTCTGACAAACATTTCTGATTTTCATCATTTGCTCTTCTTATGGTTACTTCGCCTCTGAAATAGTGTTGTTCTGTTAAAAGTGTTCTGATCCTTTTTATTCCTTTTAGGGTTTTGTGTGTGTAAGCTCAATTTAATCTAGAACAGTGTAATCTGAGGACTTTTTTGATCAGATCGTTGACTTTGATTTGAGTTCTAAGAAAATATATTATCCTTTAGGTTATTGATCAAATGTTAGATTTACCACATCGGAGAAGGTTTTGTTTTTCTCCCTGAATCAGTCTCAACAATCTCTTCTTAAAAGTTAGGATCAACTGATACATTACACAGCTTCTTTTTTTGTTTGTGTTGGCCTTAATCTATGCTTTCGCATGAAGAACATAAATTTTACTACTTGAGTTGATGTCGATGTCGTTTTCAGTATTCTTTCAAATTTCCCTTGTTTTTGTTTTACTTCCTTCACTCTTTCTTTGTGTACTTTCTTGATGAACATTCAATTATTTTAGAATTCCATTATAAATTTGTCTTCTTTATGCAAAGATGTTGTTAATTTCACAGACGGATTGGTTCTGTCTATTTCGTTAATTGCATTAGCGAACAAGAAATCCTAAAACCCTCAGAAACCGGTTCGCCAGATTTATGCAAATTACAGAGGAAAAGTATGGAGCAAATGCAATTCGTAGCCTGATTTTTTGTTTTCTGTTAAACTCAAGCTATGTTTATTTGTATAAAAAAGGTAATTTTTGCTAATATTATGCGCTCTCTGTCTGAATATAAATCGAGTGTAGATGGCACAGCAGGAAGCTAGCCCTTCCCCTGGTGCTGAGGTTGTTGGTCGTGCCTTTGTGGAGCAATATTATCACATACTTCACCAATCTCCCGGTTTAGTTCATCGGTTTTATCAGGATTCGAGCTTGTTAACCCGACCTGATGCTACCGGTGCTGTGACTACGGTCACAACTATGCAAGTGAGATTATTATTAATAAAGTCAAATTACTTCAACATTGCTGCTAATTGTTCTCTTCTGAGTTACATTAACTTGGTTCCACTTTGGAATTTTTTCAGGCGATCAACGATAAGATTCTGTCATTGAAATACGAAGAGTACACGGCCGAGATAGAAACTGCAGATGCTCAGGAGTCTCACGAGAGAGGCGTTATCGTACTGGTGACCGGACGCTTAACCGGTAGCGACAATGTGAGGAAGAAGTTCAGTCAAACTTTTTTCTTGGCACCACAAGACAAGGGATACTTTGTCTTAAACGACGTGTTTCGATTCCTCGAGGAGAAAGAGGTGGCGACACAAGCCCGGTCTGTCCCCATCAATGGAACCACCAGGGATGTTCAGGCTCCCATTGAACCAGGTACGATGAAAGACCCACGGTTACTACATAACACTCGTTTTTCTTTTTCCGAGTGGGATATTATAAACATTCCCTTACTCCTTGTCAGAACGTGTTATCGTGAGTCACGAGGCCGAGATAGAACCTGAGCCAGTTGCGTCTATTGAGGAGGAAGATCTTGACAATGTGGCGGAGGTGTATGATCCTTCTGATAAAGACGACGGAGTTGTTGTCGACGTTGAGCCTATCGAACCTCCAACTCAATTAAGTCACAACGAAGTTTCATCAGTGTCTCAAGGAGATGCTCCTAAGCATTCATATGCTTCAGTCGTGAGTCTAACTGCTTTATAACCGAATTATTTATTTATTTCCCTTTTTAGGGTCATAGTAAACGTTACAAGTCCTTTCTGTGATTCAACAGCTCAAACTGATGAAAAGCAGTCCAGCACCAACACACGTTGTTCGGAACAATCGAAGAGCAACTCCGGTCAGTACCAACCAGAAGCCAACTCCTCCTGCTGAGCTTGTAGCAGCACCCGATGCTGTAGGTCTCGAGAATGTTACAAACAGTAACAATGTTGATGTGGAAGGTCCGTAAAAGTTCTTTTCATTTTTATGCTGTTTGAATATGCGCTATTATTGATTTATCATTCTTGTCTAATTGTTATTACAGATGATGGTCACTCGATTTATGTTCGAAATTTACCTTTCGACTCGACGCCAACACAACTTGAAGACGTGTTCAAGACCTTTGGTGCTATCAAGCATGAGGGGATTCAAGTCCGAAGCAATAAGGTATTGATATATAAATCTACAATCTCCTCCAAAACCACCCCTTTGCTTATTGCTTCCTTACACGTTGTTTGTGACTCTCTCTGTATCTCAGCAGCAAGGTTTCTGTTTTGGTTTTGTGGAATTCGAAACATCTAGCGGAAAGCAGAGCGCGCTCGAGGTAAAAGAAACCCATAAGCCTTCAAAATATTCTTATATAATCCTTTGTTTGAGGTGAAATCTTGACTCTTTTGGTTGGTACCTGCGTAGGCCTCACCGATTACAATTGGTGATCGTCAAGCTGTTATAGAGGAGAAGAAAACAAACAGTCGAGGTAACAAACATGAGAGACCTCATCAAGAAAAAGCTGGTTTTGATGAAGAGCTTTGTGTATATGAAAGGTGTGGATTTCAATTTTGTTTTTGCAGGGGGCAACAATGGAGGAGGTAGTAGGGGAAGGTACTTTCCCGGAAGAGGAAGCTTCCGAAACGAAAGTTTCAAAGGAGGACGTGGTGGAGGTGGACGAGGAGGCTATGGAAGAGGAGGAGGTGGTGGTGAGTTCTCTGGTAGACCAAAGAGCTCAAACCCACGGAATGGAGGAGAAGGTTACCAAAGAGTTCCTCAAAACGGAGGCAGTGGAAGAGGAGGCGGAGGAGGACGTGGTGGGCCTCGCGGTGGTAGTTCATCTTGACTTTGCATTTAACGGTGCCTCCATATGAGAGTAGTTTTTAATTTTTGTTTTGCATCTTTTTTTGGGGGGCTAATATACTCGAGTTGAAGTCTTTTTGGGTTTTTTTTTTCTTTTTGGTTCGGTTTAGTTTTTCGATTTTCTTGCTCTTTTCTTTGTAATTTTTCCTCGGTTTTTTCTGTTTTTCATCATTTAATCCTTCTTTGGGTACTTCATAAACATTCAATTTCATAAGAAATCCATTATAAAAGTTGTGTTCTCTACGCAAATGTGTTTAGTTGTTCGGTTCAAGTGAGAGCCGAGGAAGTGAGCTGAACCGGACTCATCTAATTGGTTGATTGCATCACAGAGAACCGGAAAACGCACAACCGGTTCACCAGATTGCTCTTTAAGAAACAAGCAAAAAGACAAGGACAGAGCCAAATGCCAGCGGAGCCACCAAAGAGAAGAGACCATAAACTTCCAAATAACTTTTAATAGCACAAATCGAGTCTTTAAGAAACAAGCAAAAATATAAGAAAATACACATTACAAGTCCCACCACTGAGTAAACTTCCCAAGTTCACACGGAAAACTCCTCGAAAATAGAAACATCAAAACTTTGGTGAATTGTTAGAAAACAATTACAAAGAGAGCCATTCTATCGTTTGAACTTCTTAAAAGATTGCTTGTCTTTGTTACCTCCCTTGTTACCACCTTTGTTACCTCCCTTGTTACCTCCCAAGAACCTTTCACTCTCTTCATCATCTTCTCCTCTTCTCGTCCTCTTACCTGCTGATTCTTTCATATTCTACAAGGAAAATCAATATTCCAAAAGAAACGCACAATTCAATTCTCAGTCGATCTAAGTAATAAGCAACAACAACAATTAACCTTATAGACTTAGAAGTGCACAGTAAAAATACCATTGCGGATAATTTTTTGGCTTCTGAAACTCTTTCCAGCAATGACAAGACTTCGTCTTCCTCAGCTGGATATTCTGGTAGTTTCTTGCCTGAATGTAGCAAAAATAGTCAGATTGTCTTTATCCTATGAGAGAACAATAATAAAATGTATCTCAGGAGATTTTTTTACTTACCTATGAGGTTTTCAATTTGTATGTACCATTCAAGCTCATACTGGTTTACAAGAGATATCGCTACACCAGAACGTCCAGCACGAGCGGTTCTTCCGACTCTGTGAATGTAATCCTATGACCAAAACTTGGAAGATATTCAGTGCGTTCTCATAATCATCGAGTCATGAGAAACAAAAAAAGAAAAAAAAGGGCTAACCTTTGAATTTGTGGGAATGTCGAAGTTGATAACTGAATCAACAGATGGGATATCGAGCCCTCTACTAGCCACATCGGTGCAAACCAAGATGTTACATTCCCCTGCTTTGAACTTATTCAATGCTCCTAGCCTCTTTGACTGTGAATATTTCGAAAAGAATTGAGAAAATTTCTAAGAGAATTTCAGTCATGAGATGTTTAGAAAGTGGAGAGGATCATTAACCTGAGTCATTTGACCACTGATAGGGACGGCTCTAAAGCCAAGGCTCCGAAGCATCAAAGCCATGAAACGAGTGCCATCACAAGTTCGGGTGAAAATCATTGATGTTGATTCAGGCATTTCAGTCAGAATGTATACAAGGTAACATTCCTGTTAAAATCATAGAAAGCTCCATTTCAAAGAAGACAAAAAGTCTCTTATGTGTTTGCTTGCTACTTAGATATATTTATTTACCAGGCTGTTGTAATGAAAATAAGGTACCTTGTATTTCGCAGCAACAAACCGATACTGCTGTTTGAGAGTATCAACTGTGGAATATTTGGAGGCAGCCTCAATCTGGAGGAAAGCAATAAACATACAACAGGTATACATTTGAGCTAATGATTTGGCGCAATGAGAAAAGAATTGAAGTCGATTTAGCGTTTCCGTACCTTCACAGGATTCCTTAAGCACGCTCTTTGAAGTTTCCGAACCTACAAAATTCAGTGACTTTAATAAGTTGATCGTTCTTATAGACTTACATCCCACCAAAACATTACAGCGAGACAAGTTAGCTCGATCAAAACCACAACACTGTCAAGCAAAGTTCCTACCTTTTTAGTCATAGTTGCTGAAAAAAGATACGTTTTACGGTCACGAGGGATCTCTTCCAAAATCTGAGTAAGAGACTTCTCAAAGTCTTCATTCAGCAGCCTATCTGCTTCATCAAGAACCTGAGGCACAAAACAATGTGAAGTAAATACAAAAATTGATAGAAAATATAAACAGAGGAGAACTACACCAAAAACGAAAAAGATCAACGACCATAAGCATTATTAATTTACCAGATACTTTAACGTCTTCAGAGAAAATCCTTTTGTGTCAGTCATGTGATCCCAAAGACGACCAGGTGTTGCAACCTATGAACCAACATAGCAAACTTAGCTTTACTAGATTCGCTCGCGATGAGTGGACAACAGAAAACAAAACAAGGAACAAACATACAATAACATGAGGCCGTTTCGCAAGAGCAATAGTCTGTTGCATCCTGTCTATACCTCCAACAAGCTGGAAAAAAAAATCAGGAAACATAATCGTTTTAAATCCATTTATAGCAGGAAGATCTCAATCATGTGTAACATGGTTAAAGCATCAGCTTACCACAGCACACCTGAGACTTATATCAGCTCCTAAAGCTTCAAACTGCTCAGCAATTTGGATTGCAAGCTCTCTGGAGAGAAGAAAACAGAACAATCAAATCCATTAAGAAATGAAGTAAGAAGAAAAAGAGAGACATCACAAGTAACAGTAGAAGAAACTAAGGAGAGCGAGTCAAACCGAGTTGGAGACAAAACACAGGCGAAGAACGCAGGATCAGGTCTACGCCCTTTCTTAGGCTCAGAATCAAGAACATACTGAAGAAGTGCTTGCAAAATAGGTAAAGCGAAGGCTCCGGTTTTACCAGAACCGGTCTGGGCAAGTCCGATTACATCTTTCCCTGAAGGAGTTATCAACAACACATTAGATTCAATCAATTACATTGAAAAGAACTCTAATAGTAAAAGAGACGATTCAATCCTACGGAAACATCTCTGCATTGGAGCATCCCGTAAAAACAAAAGATCGTCGAGATAAATAGAATTAAAAAAAAAACTGTACCTTCAAGAGCATGAGGAATAGCTTCGGCTTGAATTTTCGAAGGGTTCTTCCATCCCAATCTATCGCAAGCTTTCACAAGCTCCTCACGCACACCAAGTTCTCCAAACGTCTTCACCACTTCGTTTTCTTCCTCCATTTCGATACACACCAAGAAATTCGCTACCTATTCCTCTCTGAAGCTCAAATATCGCGCGTGAAACAAATAGCCTTAAGAACGATCGCTTCTATGAGATTTCCGGGGTCAAAGCGCCGTCGAGGTTTAGGGCTTTAGATAATCGAGCACAAGTTGGATAAATAGGATCAGGTGGGGAGGATGTTGGCCGCGACGGAGCAGAGAGAGAGAGAGAGACTTTTGGCTACGATAGGGTTTTAGCTTAATTGGGCCTACTATGGGCCTGAATAATTAATGGGCTGAACAAAGAAATTTTCAAAAGGTCTATATAATCGTTCATATCATTCCTTCAAAACCTTTTCTGATTGGTCCTTTCTAAACACTACTATAAATATCACTTGCAAATCGTAAGCAGGTAAAGATTACCAAGGAATAAACTTTAATCTAAATAAACGATGTGAAATTCAATTGTATAAACGGCAGAAAAAGCTTATATTACAAGCAAAGTTTCGAGACTTTTTAGGCAAAAAGATTCATAACATGTGAAACTTGAGACCATCTACTGAGATGCGTTGTTCTTCTTGGAGATGTCTTGGAGCAGCAATCTTGTTTCAGCAGCAAAATCAATAGGAGCTACTCCTTTCACAGTCACCCTCTGCCTCTTCTCACCGTTGTACTCATTCTGAGTGACGCTAATCCTGAAGAGATGAGAGGACCAGGTTGCTTCTTTCAGCTTTGTCTGAAATTCATTTACTTCACCTCCCTGGAAAAGGTTTAAAACATTAATCATGACTTCCAAAAGCAATTGTATATGGTTCTAAGTTAACAGATATAGCTTTTATAGGATTTTTGTCTGCTTACCTCTGATCTTAGTTTGTTGAGCTCATCAGCTGAACAGCCAATAATCTTCTCAGCTTCGTCGTTGAATGAGGAAAACCAAGCTTCTCCGGTTGAGTCAGAGACTTTCACCACCATTATGTACCTGGCAACATCCAAAGTAAACAGAAGTAAGTTGTCTGAAGAGGAAGAATATGTGGTACCTACAGAGTTTTGATCTATGAATCTGAGATACTAACCTTAAGCTGCATTCTTCATCTTTTTTCTGGCAACCTTCACACCAGTAACCAGAGTCCATTGCTTCAGTCACTTTCTTGTTACAAGTCTTACATGCTTGGTACCACATTGTCTGGTCAGGCTTGATGAAGCTTATGTAACCCCTAGTGCTGAAAAATACCGGCTGCGACAGAGGTTCAAAATCATAATAAGTTCATAACTCACTGGTTTAGCAAATTCTGTCCAGGACTGAAATTCAATGTTTTACGTACCTTGTCCTCGCCTAGAGATGGATTGCCTGTGATCTGAGAGAGAAGGGCTCGGTCGGTATACATAGACCAAGACCCATTCTTGGCAGATGGGCTCATCGATGAACCAATGGAAGACATGGATGTTTCCTTGCCTTCAGAATCATACCTGCAAAATTTACAAAGATAAAAGCTAATTAAACCAGCACAGACAAGTTACATCACTTTAATTTATCAGATGACTCAATCCAAAAGACATACCAAGATTTCAACTTTTTAGCTGCAGGTGATTCAGGATTTATCACCACATTGCTTCTGCTGACGGTGGACAAAGAAACACCTGGAGAGAAAGGATGAAATCAGCAAACAGGAAGTGTGATTTCGACATATTATTCAATCATAGCGAACACAAGTTTACCTTGAAAGTCTCCAACTTTGAGAGACTTGATTGCAATCACAGGAGACTTATCAGCCATGTCTAACAGTTCTTGACCTACGCCGGTTGCCATGTCGTTCCACAGGGATACCACAACAGTTTTCTTTGACTCATCAGCCAAAGTTATATCCCTCTTGGGTATCATCTCATTGTCAGTTCTCCTTCTAATACTCATGGTAGGAGAAACACTTTGGACCACTCCAATAAGATCTGGAAATTGCATAACATTCAAGTTGTTATCATCTTAAAGTAATGTATAATTTAGCTGCAAGATGAATGGTCAGTGATAATAAAAGGCACTTACCAATAAGCTCCTTCTGATTTACATACAAACCCAACTCTTCAATGGGCACAAAGTTGAATTTTGTCTCAGGAACAAACGATTCCTCGTCACTAGCTTCCTCCACCTCTGAATTTTCATTCAGAGTCATCTCATAATCATTCTGAACTGTCTTGAACTGCTTGTTAGCAAGTTTAAGAGATCCCCTTGAGATATAATAGACCTTTCCCAACTGGAATCTGTCATAAAACTTCCTTGCGGCATCATTGAACATCGTGGCTTGAATTTGTGTTCCCTAAATCACACAATTAATAAAATGAGTAACCAAGCCACATAAAATCTATAAAAAGCTTGAGATTTGATGAAAGTAGGAGCTTTCGTACTTCTTCATCTGTTAGTTCCACATTGAAGACGCATCCTTCTCCTTTAGCGTTTCTGTAATTTCTCATGACCCCTTTGTTAGTGACTCGGACTTTGATGGTCCAGCTTCCTTGATAAGGATTCAAGGATAAAAGTGGATGAACTCTTCTAGTCATGGCCATTCTTGCAGCTGGTGCAGCACTGCAGTAAAAAATCACACACAAAGGGATTAATCACACACTCATAATCGTTCAACAGAGAACACGAACAGTAAAGAAATTAGAGATTATGCTTACTTTCCCCTCTGTTCACTGATTATCTGAGAAGCTGATTTGGCTACAAATTCCTGCTTCGGCTTCAACGTGATTCCAGTTGAAACATCCATTTGAACATCATTCACAGGAGAATGATCTAGTTTCTGCTTCTTGCGCTCACCAGCCTCATCTTCTTCGCTCCTGCTCTCCAAGTTAATCTCAGAATCAAGCGCAGAAGCAACAGCCTCACATTTTGTCACAAGGAAATATCTGCAGGGCAATCACAGAGAGACGACAGAGCAAAACATATGTTAGCAGCTGTCGATTTCAGTAATCGGAAAGCGTGACTATACATGCAAAGAAAAGAAAAAAAAGAGATTCTTACTTTGTTGATTTGCTTGAAATGTCGTTAACTGTGAATTCAATCAGACGGATTAGACCCAGATTCTGGATATTTCCAGAAATAATTTCCTGTGTCAGTGTCGCTGTAAACATTGCTTTGACTTTCGTCTTTCCATCATTCGCACTAAATCTGTAAACCAAAATCAGAACATGTAAACGATCCAATTAAGTCAAATTCGAAGAAAACCAACACTGAACTAGATCCATCAGAACAAAACCAGTATCGGTAACTAAAATCCGAAACTGTGTATCAAAAACCCATATCTCTACCATGGAGTCATACACAATTCCAGAGCTATAATCCGACGTAAGACAAGATGCGAAACGCTATTCTAAAGTCCGAACAAGGGAGACTATGAAATTGAAATATAACCCAGGTGATAAAAGAAACGACGAAACTTACGCATATCGATTTCCGATGGGTTTAAGATCCACGACTTGAACGACGATTTCAGATCGATCGGAGGACGAATCAAAGGATGGGTTGGACAATACGGCGGAAATAGCATCTGGGGTCACTGAAGGCTGCATCTTTCCTCTCTCGATTGAAGCTTTTGATACTGAATCGAAATGTAAAACCAAAAGGTGTGTGAGTGTAAGAGAGATAGCTGAGAATGATGTTGTGAGGTAAAAGGGAGAGGAAGGGTTTTGTAAAGGGGGAGAGATTTGGGCGGGAGCTATTAAATTCGATTAATTACACCCGCGGTTCTATTTTCTTTCCTAAATTTTAATTTTTTCGGCAAAAACTGTACCGCTTCTTTTCAGTATCCTTCCCTCTTTTGGCGCTTACTCGATAGCTGTCTAACCTTTGGATGGAAATGGAAGCTTAGACATTTTTATTTGTTTAATATATAGAGAGGAATAATATATTGACTGACTCGGAAAAAATCTTCCTGAGGTCCTACGATGAGCTGTCAACTACTCGTTTCAGCCATGGAAAATAATCGGACGGTTCAGATCGGTTCATGTGAGACAGTCAAACTTCAAGTATTGACTAATCAACCTTATTAGCGCGCGCGCAACAAAAGGCCCGAGAAAAAGGAGCAATTTTTTGTTGCATCCCTTATTTTCCTAAAACTTCAGAGATCATCCTCAATATATATTCACTTGATCTAAAAAACCCAATGAAATTTTGATCTCGCTTTACTATAAACCAAATAAAAATAACATGGACTCAAACAAAATTAAAGTATTCTAAATTTTGATTATATTTTCATGCAGGTTTGTCTTTGGATAGTGACATCATAATATGTTCCGGTTAATTTGATTTTATATTTCATCAATAAGGGAACAACGAAATGGGGACAAGTGTAACTAAACGAAATATGGGGGATATTAGTAAATGATAAGAATATAAGTAGGAATAATTCGAAGTTTGTTACTTATATTTCTACCCCCAAGTTTCAGTTAAATTGGTCATGTGGAGAAAGTCAATGAGCGAATCGATGATCGCAGTGAGATAGTAATGGGGCGGCAATCAAATCAAAGACAAATAAACAAAGCTCTGAAATTTATCATTTCCTCAACCTTTCACCATCCACGAAATTACGGGTTCGCCTTCGCTCGAATACTAATTCCATTTTTTCAACCTTTCTTATATAAAAGTGCTTACACCATCAAACTCCACTTTTCCCGTTTGCTCCCCCTTCCTCAGAATCTTGCCTAATACTCTTGCTCTTCGCTTCAACAGTTTGTTTTCTTTGATGATTTAGAAAGCGAAATCAAAAGTTTCTGGTGAATATTTTTCCTTCTACCCGGAAAAGCTCGTTTCACGGTACGTCGCTCTGTTCGATCACCAAGTGTATGATATAATGCTCTGTGAAATCAAAGAAAAGTTTTAAATCCACTATCTAAAAATTTCTCCTTTTTACAGAAGCAAGAAACAGTTTTCAGGAAGCTGTTGACTTTGACTTTTTCTTTGGAGGGTTGTGGGGGGCTTCAGGGAGAGATCGAATGGTCTTGTGAAGAGGGTAATAAAATGATGGGACTTCCATTACCAGAAGTATGACAAATGGGTTAAGTTTGTCTAGTAATGGTTTTTACCATGTTCATGTGGGGTTTTCTTTTCCTCTCTGTTTACTTCATTCCGGGTGTTGTCCTACGGAGATGACTTTTGTTTTTCCAAGTCTAGTTCTCGGGATTAAGCTTATTTAGTGATTACTTTTACATCTTAGTTTATCAGAAAACTTCTCCGGTTCTACCATCTTCATGGATTGAATCAAACAGTTTCCATTAGTCTAGTATTCACTGCTGTGTGTATTTAAGTTGTCTTGTAGAATTTAAGTTGGGTTTGGGCTCTCTAGTCTTTGGTTTTTTTGGATATGGCAGAGCTTGAATCCAAGCTTCCTGTTTCCGGAGTGAAAAATCATGTCTTTGAGGCATGTCACCATGTCGTTAAGGCACTGAGGGCATCTGATGACAACCTCGATGCCAACTTGAGGAAGCTCCTAAGTGACCTTGAGTTGCATTTGTCAACGTTTGGGATGGTTGATACCAAAGTTGAAGATACAGGGTTCTCTGAGGTCGAGCAGAGATTTCAAGAAGCTGTCAAGAGAATCCTAAGTTGGGAGACAATCAAGTCCACGATGTTGGAAGCTGGTCTGTCTGAAGCTGATCAGTTCTTTCAAGCCCTCTATGAAGTTCAAACAGTTCTTATGGGTTTCAAAGCTCTGCCCATCAAAACTAACCAGAAGGAGAAAGATGTTTACAACCAAGCCACGGTTGCTCTTGACATCGCGATGGTGAGGCTCGAGAAAGAGCTCTGTGATGTTCTGTATCAGCATAGACAGCATGCGAAGCCTGAATACTTGGCTGTTAGTTCCCGTGGAAAGGATATTGTCTACGACGAGTCCTTTGTCTCCTTAGATGATGTAGTTGTTGAGGAAGGTTCTTCACACGAAGATGGTGAACAGACTTTGGGATTCCAAAACACTGATCTAGTTGATCCATTTGTCGTTCCTCACATCAAGGCTATCGCAAACGCCATGTTTGCTTGCGAGTATGGTCGACCATTCCGTGAGGCTTTCATCAACGCTCGAAGAGAAGCTCTGGGTGAGTACATGGTCACTCTCGAAATGGAAAGATTCAGCTGTGCCGATGTCCTTGTAATGAAGTGGGAGGACTTGAACGGTGCGATGAGAAAATGGACAAAGGTTTTTAAGATCATTACTAGAGTCTATCTCGCCAGTGAAAGACAGCTCTGTGAACAGATCTTGGGAGACGTTGACGAGTCGATTGCTACCTCTTGCTTCATTGAGATCTCGAAAGATACGATTCTATCTCTCCTCAACTTTGGTGAAGCTGTAGCGCTCAGATCTTGCCAGCCAGAAATGCTTGAGCGCTTCCTCAGCATGTACGAGGTTTCAGCAGAGATTCTCTTGGATGTCGATAACCTCTTCCCGGATGAAACAGGGTCGTTTCTAAGAATGGCTTTCCACGAGCTGTCGAAAAACCTAGCTGATCGTACGACTGCAACATTCTTGAAGTTCAAAAACGCAATAGCCTGTGATGAATCCTCACGTGCCTTTCCTGGGGGCGGTATACATCATTTGACCAGATACGTAATGAACTACTTGAAGCTTCTCCCGGAGTACACCGATGCTCTGAACTCACTCCTTCAGAACCTAGAAGTTGATGACTCGATCCCCGAGAAAACCGGACAAGACGTCCTTCCTTCCACGTTCTCTCCGATGGCTAGACATCTCCGGTCTATTGTCGCAACTCTGGAGTCCAGCCTCGACCGTAAAGCTCAGCTTTATGCAGACGAATCACTCAAATACATTTTCCTGATGAACAACTTTCATTACATGGTGCAGAAGGTAAGAGGATCAGAGCTGAGGCATTTCTTTGGAGACGAATGGATCAGGAAACACATCGCGACGTACCAACACAATGTCACAGACTACGAGAGATCCACATGGAGCTCTATTCTCTCTTTGCTTAAAGACAACAAAGACTCTGTGAGTACCCTGAGAGAAAGATGCAGACTTTTCTGTCTTGCCTTCGATGATGTTTACAAGAATCAAACCCGTTGGTCGGTCCCTGATCCAGAGCTCCGGGATGATCTTCACATCTCGACGTCGGTCAAAGTTGTTCAGTCTTACAGGGGGTTTCTGGGAAGAAATGCAGCTCGTATAGGCGAAAAACACATTCGTTACAGTGGTGAAGACATTGAGAGTTTGCTTCTTGATCTCTTTGAGTGTTTGCCATCTCCGAGATCATTGCGCAGCTCTCGTAGGAGATGATGAAGAAAATATTTTATAACTCTCTCTCTCTCTCTCTCTCTCTCTCTCACAGTGTTCTTTTGATATTTTGTTTTTTTCTTTACTTATTTGATTTGTGATACATGTGTAAATAAGGTTGTAGAATCTTGCACTCATCTCCATTGTGGAGATGTAGTTTGATTGGCCATAATTAAATTAATCGTTTTTTGTGTTCGTTTAAACACCAAAAAGGGTATTTATTCGTTATTAGCTACTGGGCTGCCACGTAAAACAAACGACGGCCCAATAAAAAAAGTCTTACGTGTGTGATATTTTATTTTCTTCTAAATCTCATCACTGAATTTTCAACGGTCACGATTTACTTAGATCGTTTACAACTTCGCTACATAAACCCTTCATCGAACAAGTAGGGTTTTAACAGAAGCAAAAGAATCACAGAGGAAGCGAAGTGTAAAGAGGTACTTACTCTTCACGGTCATTTCTTTCTCATAAACCCTAAAAGCTCTGCCAGCTTCGATTCTATTTAGCTCTTTTAAAGGTTCTCTGGTCTCGGATTTTAAGTGATCTAGGGCAATAATCTGTCATTTCTGTGCTTTTCGTCTTCATGGGTTTTGTTTCCGATTTGTTATTCCGACATAGCTGCTTTCTGTTTCGGTTTCCCATTCATTGTTTGGTTCCTGAAAAGTCAGAGATAAGGCAATTTAAGAGTGAGAATTTAAAAGCTTTGATTTTCGTTTAAGATGCTGAAAAGAGTATGAAGCTGAGTTAATTCTTGATAGAAAATCAAATGATATGAATCTGATCACTACTTTTAAATTGAGTTTCCGGTGGCTAATTATTTCTGATTTGACTAATTTTCTTTTGCATCTTAGATATCTAAAGGCAATGGCATTTCTGAGTAAATTCGGAAACATATTGAAGCAGACCACGAGCAAGCAGTTCAATGCTCAGGTTTCTTCATCAAGCCCTTCGCTTTTTCAGGCGATAAGGAGCATGTCATCTTCTAAGCTTTTTATTGGAGGTGAGTCTAGCCCTAGACAATCTGTTGAAACGAACGCTTGTCTAGTTTTTTTGTTTCCCTATGTTTGTACTTAACTTTTTTTAAAAATTGTTTCTTTTGTCAGGTATGGAGTATAACATGAATGAGGAAAGCTTAAGAGAAGCTTTCAGCAAATACGGTGAAGTCGTCGAAAGTAAATAACTGACCTATTTAGTATTCTTGTAGTGTGTTAGTGAGCAAATAGGCAATTGTTTCTTGTGTATGGTTTGTTTGGTTACCTTTTACTAACCCAGCCTTTGTGTTTCTACGCAGCTAGGGTTATTTTGGATCGTGAAACTGGTAGGTCCAGGGGTTTTGGATTCGTTACATTCACCTCTGCAGAGGCGGCCTCTAGTGCTATCCAGGCTTTGGATGGCCAGGTAATTTCTGTTGCTCATCTTTGAAAGATTAATAATGTCTGTGAGCTTCCAGGTGTCTCGTTGGGTTCACTCTCATTGATTGTCTTTATAGTATTCACTATCTTCTTCTCTAAGAACGATGTTGGTTTTAATTAAGAACCCTTTCCCTTTCTGATCCGATGCCTTAATGTCCTACCTCAGGCTCTCCATGGCCGGACTGTTAAAGTGAATTATGCACATGATAGAACAAGTGGTGGTGGTTTTGGAGGCGGTGGTGGTGGCTATGGTGGTGGTGGCTATGGAGGTGGTGCTGGTGGCGGATATGGAGGAGGTTCTGGTGGCTATGGAGGTGGTGGTAGTGGATATGGAGGTGGTGCTGGTGGATATGGAGGTGGTGCTGGCGGATATGGAGGCGGTGGCTATGGAAGCGATGCTACCGGTGGTCAAGGAGGTGGTGGATATGGTGCAAGCGGTGGCTATGGATCTAACGTCAGCGGTTATGGTGAGGGTTCAAGTGTAAGTGCAGGTGCTGTTGGTGGCTATGATGCTAGTGCAGGTGCTGTTGGTGGCTATGACGCAAGTGCAGGTGCTGGAAGTGGCAATACTTACGGTAGTCACAATGGTGGATTCGCTGGAGACAACCAATTTGGAGGAAACCAAGTTGGCAACAGCCCTCAGTTCGGTGGTGACAATACTCAGTTTGGTGTTGGTGGCCAATTTGGCGGCGAGGCTCAGTTTGGAGGCATGGAGAATACTGAGATGAAGACGGAGAATGGACCAGTGGGAGATTTTGAAGATAACACTGATGTTGCAAATAGAGCTTGAACCAAGTAGCCAAAAATGTTATCAAGACATGTCTTTTTCATATTTATCCGAGGACTGGTGATCAAGCTATTCTATAGCTTTTCATGAATGAAACACTCTATCTAGTAGAAACAATTTTCTTTTGCTATCTTGAAAATTATTTGTTAGCTTGAGATTGTTTCTTAAGGTATACATTGAATCTAAACAAAAAAAATGAGCTTTGTATCAGGTTTGATTGTGATCTGATAAGAAAGTATTTCATCTGATTATGCGTATACTACACTAGACTTGAAAATTCCATCCATAAGACAAATCTAATGTCGCCTAATTTTATTAACTCTGTTCTGTTTCTTCCATGAGAAATAGCATTTTCTGAGCATTCAACACAACAGGAGATCCTTGTTTTGTTTTCTCAACAATCTGCTTTATCAGCTGCTTCTCCATTTCACTCTCAAAATCACTGCTTTCTTCTTCTTCTTCTTCTTCTTCCAAACCAATAAAGTCTAGCAGTTCCTGCTCCTGCACCTCGAGACCGTCCTTACGATGGCTCCAAGGTGAGCTTTTATTTGCTGAAAAGAAATCTTCCTGGTGAAGCCCACTCTCCTGCATCTCCAGTGGAGAATCATCATCAGAGTCATCGTTGATTTTCATCAATTCGTCGTAACAGTCATTGAACGAATCAAGTGCTTCTCCTGTTAGGTTCATAACCAAGGGTTGCATCTCAGCAAGATTAGTTTTGGTGTGCTCTACAGCAACTGGGATTTTCGAGTCACTCTTATATGTCATCACTTCACCGGTTTCCCATAACCTGGACCATGAATTCTTCTTGCTCTCTGATTCCATGACCAGCTGCTCCACTTTCCTCTGGCTCTCTTGAAGTGCAGTCTCAAGCTCTGTAATACGGTTCTCAAGACGCGAATTGATAACTTTATGCAACCGCAGGCTCAATTCACGAGGTGAGACAGCATAGTTTCCTGACTCAGGTGTCGAGTTACCACTTGGATCTTGGTTGGACTCGGTTTCATCTGAACGCTTCCCTCTAACCCTATCAGCTATCAGTTCCCCTTGTGCAAATTCCACCTCGAAACCCGGCTCCATCTGCAAAGAAAACAAAAAAAATTGAACATCTTATTTGAGTTTTTGTGATTCAGGGAAGGTTAAAAGTGTAGACAACAGACCTCAATCATATCAGAGAGTCTTGGCTCAATGTTGGAGGTGTTCATGTTGATTTCTAGCCTTTCAAGTTCAGCTTCAAGCTCCGCTTCAATATTACTTATAGATTCCGAGTTCTCAGCTGTTTCTTCAATATCTAGCTCCTTGACAATCAACGAGTCTTTCAACTCGAGCTCATCTTCTAAATCATGTACCAAATTCTCTGTTTGCTTCGGTTCTTGTTTGACTTTGCTGACTTCGGCTTGGCTTGCCATGAACGAGGACATTATTCCAATCGAGATCCCGATTTGCAGCAACACCGTTGCATCACTTCGTCCTGACCAAACAAAAAAAGAAGAAACTTAAAATGTCATGTATTGTATGGTCTTTCCCTTTTCAATTATCAAAAATGTAAAGATTGTAAGAACTTTACCATGTTGTCTATTCTTGGTCTTCTCATGTCCCACTTTCCTCTCAACCAAAGACTCCAACCCTGGGATTCGGAAATTATGTGCAGCCTTATCTCCATTGAGAACAAACTGTTGGCTCAGCCACAGAGAATCTGCTGTGTTCTTGCTAATTACTCGAGCACCGTCGGTGACGATCAACGGCCTTGAAATCGGAGCGTGTGGCGACGGGAATGGGCTAGCCAAGTAATCTTCCATGGTCATTTGCTCTCCATGAAACCGAGACATTAAGCAGCTTTCCATAGAAGTCAAAGGTTTAGTTAATCGTCTGTACCGCTGGTTTCTCCTACCGAATCTTTTCTGCCTAAACGAAGAACTCAACTCTGTGTCACCTGTAAGAGCACCATTGGTGTTCCAATTCCCATGTTCAATCTCCGGGAACTCAGGCATTGAACCAAACAAAGAATCTGAATGATCCCCACTCGTTGATGGTGCATCCACTCCATATGCATCCGGATTCTCCACGTCTGATATCATTTGCTCATCACCAAACTTGTTTTCATTCGCCTTCTTGACTCTCACCAATCTGCTAAGCAGGCATCTAGGAGGAAATTCTTGCTTCACATCTTCAGATGAGGAAGATTCGAGAAAGTTATCTTTACCTTTCGTCACATTCTGCAATTGCTTAGCTATGTAACCCGTAGCAGCAGTCACTGCGATTAACCATATATCCATTTCTTCCTCTCTCGCTCTTTTCCACCAGAATCAAGAGAGCAACCCAAAACTCAACAGAAGAATCTCTCCTTCTTCATTCCAATACACGGTGTAATATTCCTCTTCCATAAATCACCGATCCAATGAACATACTCCGATTTCAAATCGAAAGCTCAGGCTTTTATCTGAACACAAGAAGCCTCAAGCCGAGACCTAAAACCGTTCGAACTTCGAAGGCAATACCCAGAAAAAAACACACTTTGTACCAAATTATACTGAAATCGTATTACTGAGCAATACCCATCTGCGAAACTCCATAAAAAGCTTCGACTTTTCCGTCAGAGATAAGTTGACGGCGGTAACAACGTTGTACCCTTTTGGTTAAAACTAGGCGGAATTTGCAAGGAACGGAAAAAAAAAAAAAAAAGAGAGACCTTGCTCTGGTAGCTTCAAGATATGATCAATTAGACCAATGGAGAAGCTGAGGGTCTAAGAAATCGAGAGGATAAGACAGTCGGAAAAGGTGGAGGATCTTTGTCGGAAGTTGGTTCAATCGAATCTGCTGAACACAGACGAACGAACGGCTCTGTCTTTTATTTATTATTATCTTCTTCGTTTACATATAAAAAAGACGATACGGCAAGTTAGTGAGAAAGCTGTAAGGTTATTATTCAATTTCCATCTGACAGAATAAAATAATTAATTTACTGTATCTCTTAATTAAAAGGTTGCCGAAGAAGAACGAAAGTTAATTTGTGTAATAACATTGACTAAAGTCTAAACAAGTTAAAAGACAAACAATTAGTATATACAGTAGTAATCTTTTTTGTCCATTTTGACCTAAAACCGTTTCCACTCACTTAACTTTTCCATATTCTAACAGGAGAATTCAAGTGGTAAAAAAATAGTGTGGATTTGAGTCATTTGACATATTATTTCATATAGCTTGCAGTTAACCAGTTAATTTTTAAAGTTACTAGCGAATAGTATGTTAATCCATAAAATATGATTATGAGAATATAAGTATATATTCTGAACCGGTAATATTCATTCAGTGACCGGTACCTACAAAAACCATAAACTAAACCGAATGCAACTTCTCGGTAACCAAGATACATACGAGCATAACACACCAAGAGAAACACAATGTTTCCTTAACCTGTGGTTTCAATATTAAATGAATAACTCAGAAACCCGCACCACCAAATCGCAATCAAAAGCTCGGTTTCTGGGGGTAAAAAATAAACTAGAGAGGTTTAGATGCAGCGTTGTCTATGTAAGCCTGAGCTTCTTCTTCAGAGAATCTTCCTCCTTCCACAAGTCCCCTTACCAAAGTGTTGGCATAGGCTTTTGCAGGAGCTCTTAAAGGGAACTCACCGGATGTGAACTTCTCAACAGCAGAAAGTGTGCAACTGCAAACAACCAAGTTATTGAGAAAACCGTATGAAAAGAGAATGAAGTTGAAAGACAGCATTTGCTTGGCGGCTAAGTCGGTTTGAGCAGCAAAAAAGAATGATGAAAACTTACGTCATTGTAAGTACAGGGATGTCGCCTTGTTTCCCCAAGAAGACAACGTTTCCATACCAACCATCCTGTAAAAATGTCCACGCGCGAATGTAAGTGTGATTGTTTCATGTTTCTCTAAGCGTATCAATCAACATTTGTTGTCTGACTAACCGAAGCAGCTTCAAGTGGGATGGATCCTTTGTTCTGTACTAACTGCAGAGCAGCTAGATCAAAGAGAGGAGAATCAGAATCAACTTTCAAGCCATTTTCCTGAAACAGAACGTCGTTGAACTGCTCAAGCCTGTTTAGGAAAAATAAACAAATACTGGAATAAGCAGAAAAGATCATGAAATGATTCTGACACGGAAAGTGAAACAGAAACTGAGATTAAGAGTGGTACACTTTACGTGATTCTGTACAAACACATGTGAGTTTGATCATTGAGATTAGTAAGGGGGTTGGTGAAAGCAACTCCTCCTACACCCCAAGTAACTGTGGATTCACGGCCAAAGAATAATCTGTGTGGAAATGTTTCCCACATTATTTCCTTTGGTGGACTTTTATCCATTGAACCAACACATGCCTTTTTCATTCCCTCGGCCTGGAAATAAACATAAGCGGCGATAGATGTGTCAGTTAAGACTAGACCCGGAAAAAAAGTACGAAACAATGTTACTTACTTGTCCCCCTTCAATATAGCAAAGGAACCTCGGTTTCCACATGTTGGATCCAAAAGAGGCATACCAAACGTCAACCTTTGCGAGATCAGTTCTCCAAGATGTGGAGACAGTATCTACTTGGTGGTTTTCAATGTTGAGTTTCGACATTTGATCCAGGATTTCATTAGCGTAGTCTTCCGTTTCAGAGTCGGAGCTTGAGGTGACGATAATCTAGAATGAACAAACAAAGGCAATTTTGTGATAAGGGATTCAAGCAGAGGAAGTTAGCAAAGAGGCAAAAAAAGCTAAGTAGTTGCTAAGTGAAAAAGAAGGAGGCTTTTCGAAAATCAATCTGGCAAGGAAACGCTCTCTGATGAACAAATGTAACTAAAAGTGGTAGATAAAAGGAAAGGTGCCCAACTGGAGTAGGAGTTTTTTGATCAATCAGCTTCAATGATAATTCCTCTGCAAGTGAAGGCCAATAAGCACATAGCCTCTTGCGTACCTACACCCACAAGAAACAGATGAGATTTGTCAACTAACATAGGCACAGTAGAATATTTATGACAGAAAACTGAGCTGGAAAAATAAACCATTGCGAATTGATACAAGATTGTTTCAGATTGTGAAATCGGAAAGTAAGAAGATAGGATCATACAGAGCCATACCGCTTGTATGACACGCCATGTAGTCTCGAACGGGTATGCTTCAGAAGAGCCTTGAATTGGTTTGTCTTCAAGCAAAACCTGGACACACGCGAGTGAAGACTTTGCAATGGAGTCAAGATTGTACCCTCCCTCTAACGCCATCACAATCTTTCCTTGTGAAAACTCCATCAGCTAAGAGAACATTGGTGAAACGTATTAAATGAGGTAAAATTCAAATGTAGATTATGCAACTCAAAGCTAAACAACCAGCCAAAGCAAGCAACGTTATACAATTAACAAGACTTGTGGATCGTAAAAATGCAAAAAAAAAATAGGGGAGTTCACTTCAACACCAACCTTCTTCAACATAACTGAATATCCATATGGTGTAACACGACAACCCCCAAGTGGATCACCAATAGCTGTTAAGAGGAAATGAAAAAGGTTAAGCCCCTCTTACAGCCTTGGAAAAAAAATGCTTAAACCATTATATATACCTGCATCAAATCCAGCTGAAAGCAAAACAATATCGGGATTAAATTCCTTGGCAACAGGAATCAAGATATGGTCCCATGCGGCAAGATAATCTGCATCTCCACATCTTCCTTGCTCCCATGGAACGTTTATGTTAAACCCTTCACCTGGACCTTCCCCAACCATGTTATAATATCCATCATCACCCGCTGGATAGAAGCTTCCAGACTCATGCCTAGCCACAAATGCATTTTCAGTCACGTGAAAAAACAAGTTCTGAAAGTAGAGTAGAAAATTGGCAACTTTAACGATGACAAGTAGCATAGAAGGAAAGGATCACAAGTACATACCTATGAACAGAGAAAAACAGTACACGAGGATCTTTCCAGAACATTTTCTGCGTGCCATTTCCGTGATGGACATCCCAATCAACGATCAGAATTTTCTTGATACCTAGATCCGGCTGCATTTAAGAAAAGCAAAAGAGCTTGGCAACACATACACACACACACCAAAGAAATGTGACAATAGAACTATCAAAGTACGTAAAAGGAAATAATAGCGTGACAAAAGTCAATCGCAGTCCTTACTCTTTCGTTTAGTAGATAACTAGCAGCGACTGCTACATTGTTGAATAAACAGAAACCCATGGCTTCATCTGCCTCAGCATGGTGACCTGGTGGCCTGACAATAGCAAACCCACAATCCAACTCTCCTTCTGCAACTTTCTCCGCCACCTGTTGAGTTGCAAGAAAATCTTTGTTGACTTATAGTCAATCGAATCATTCTAAAAGTTTTGTATCCTCCTATGTGAAAGAAACAAGTCATTTGATATGCATCTAGTGTTACCTCCACAACTGATCCAGCTGCAAGATATGCGGCTTCTGATGAACCTCCATTCAGATATATCGAATTCAACTGTGAAGCAATCCTGTTTCTCCGATAATCTTTCTGCTTTGTGCTTAGACTCTTCACTAAATTAACATGGTCCTTTGTGTGAACCAATTGCAGATGCTTATCTTCGGCTTTGCTACCACCAAGAACCACACATCTGCAAAAGGAAAAACCAAAAATGGCCGTACATATAATGAAATTTCAGCAGAATCCAACAGCAAATCTTGATGAATAAACTCCCAAAAGAGTAGATTCTACCTTCCTAACACTAATGGGCTGCCACATTACTTTAATTCATAGTCTTATACAAAATCCAGAGAGGACTTGAGAAGAATAATTCAAACCGAAAACCGTCAATAACCAAAAAGGTAGCCAAATTACGAGGAGTTACAATTAAAAGTAAATGTCTTTCAGCTTTAAGCAGCATACGAACCATTTGATTTTAATTCAGATTTCGAAAATTAAATGTCATACCAAACATGGAAATCAAATCGAGACCTCGTTTTCAGCGGAAAGAATCAAAATTTGACTAGATTTCAGCAGCAATTTCTCTCCAATTTCTAGGGCTTTTATTGCCAAAAAAAAGGACAAGAGGAAAGTAGGGAGAACCTTTGAGTGACTCCGGCGAACTGAAGCTTCTCCCAGATAACTCTGATGCGATCGGGACACTCTGGGTGATCCTCGCCGTCAGGTGTGTCGTGTTTGCACATCGCCTCGTCGTAAACAAGACCCACCTTTCGATGGCTTTTTCCGACGAATTCTCCGTTACAGTCTCCGAAGTTGCTACCGGAAGATTCCCCGGCCATGGCCTTCTCCGGTAGATGTGTCAGTCTTATCTTCCGACGATCAAGGAGAGAAGAAGGTGAAGGGTCAACGAGAACTCTGAACTCTGAAGCTTCGAAGTAAATTTTACTTTCAATTTTTTTATTTAACTTTATTAACATAAGTATATATTTCTTTTTCTTTTTCGATTTGACCATTTTGATTTTTAGAGCTTCTTCTTTGGAGGGAAAGTGAGAAACTTGGCATCTCAACCAATCATAGTCAGACAGATCACATTTTACTATAACCAAAATGATTTAAATCCAGATCCGATTTTCCGGTTGAACCGCGTTATAACATTCCAACCGCATAAACCAATTTAAAATTGGTGAACCGGCGAAAAAACTAAAACCGAATTTATCTTCAATCAGACCGTGGGAGACCACTTTCATTTCAAAATAGTCATTTCGTTTTCAAACTCTCTTTCAAGTTTTTTCTTAAATCCTAAAGACGCATCGAATCTTGAGAATCAGGAGCAAGATCGTTGAGGTCGCGGTCTAACTCGGTCTCAAAAACTTGCAGAGCGGCGGCAAGCGCAGCTTCGCGCTTCTTTTGGTCCTCCACAAGATAATTCCCAACTTTGGCTAAGCTCTTCCGGCAGTTAGACAGGAGCTCCCCTATGGCCTTATCACGAGCAGCGGTTAGGGCGACGTAACGAGTCTTCATCTCTTCTTCCTTGGCCGCAACAGCTCTCTCCTTCTCCACATTTGTCTCTGAGACCTTTCTACACAGTTGCGCATTCGCCTTCTCTAGACTAGTGACCTCTTTGGTACGCTCCTTTTCCTTCTCACGCTCCTTTTTAAGCTGACTTGTTAGCTCAGCGATGGTGGCATTGGCCGTCTTCAGCTCCTTGTTCAGCTTGTAGCTCTCATCTTTACCCCGGCGCATCTCTTTGTTAAACCGGCGCTCATATGAATTGGTCATACGGTTGAGGCTTTCCAAGGACTGCCGTCGTTATATGGAGTTGGTCACATTGATGGACGAGTATTAAAACTTATTAAGGAAAATGAAAAAGAAGAAGAAGAGGAGAAGCTAGCTTACCTGAGCCGAACTCAAAATGTAATTCAGATAATCTTCGGGAAAACACAACTCGTCAATGGGCAGAATCATGCTATCAGGTATCGTTAGATCAGCGTAAGGCTTGGCCTTCCGAAGGTTTCCATGAGCGTAGTCTTCAGATTCAGAGTCGGAGCTTGAGGATACCATCATCTAGAATGAACACACAGAAGCATATGTGGTAAGAAATTCAGACTGTCTAGAAAAAAGAAAAGACCGAGCAGAGGAAAGCTAGCAAAGAGGCAAATAAGTTAAACAAGTGAGCTTCTCCGAAATCGTTCTTGCAAGGAAAAAGCTCTTAGCCGAAGAAACGAAATGGTAGAGAAAAAAGGAAGAATGCTTAACTGGGATACAAGTTTTCTGATAAATCAGCTTCCACGATATTTCATCTGCAAGTGAATGCCAATATGTACATAGCCTCTTGCGTACCTAAACCCCACAAGAAACAGATGAGCTTTGTCAACTAGTAACGTAGGCACTGAAGAATATTTAGAGCACAAAATTGAGTTAGAGAGAAAACTGTAGAAGATAAAATGACATAGAGCCATACCCCTTGTATGACATGCCATGTAGACTCGAATGGGTATTCTTCACAACACACTTGAAATGGATTGTCTTCCAGCAAAACTTGGACACACGCGAGTGAAGATTTTGCAACTGAGTCGAGATTGTACCCTCCCTCTAATGCCATCACAATCTTTCCCTGTGCAAACTCCATCAGCTGAGAGAACATTGGTTTAAAGTGTAGATTATGTAGCTCAGTGTAGTGCTATCTTCAGTTACAAAAGTTCAGTATAACACCAACCTTCTTCAACATAGCTGAATATCCATATGGTGTAACACAGCAACCCCCGAGCGGATCACCAATAGCTGTTAAGAGGAAGTTGAATAGGTTGCACACCTCTTGAGGATAACATAGCCTTGCAACAAAAAATGCTTAAAAATACCTGCATCAAATCCAGCTGAAAGCAATATAATATCAGGATTAAATTCTTTCGTCACAGGAATCAAGATGTCGTCCCATGCAGCAAGATAATCTGCATCTCCACATCTTCCCTGTTCCCATGGAACGTTAATGTTAAATCCTTCCCCTAGACCTTCCCCAACCATGTTATAGTCTCCATCATCACCCGTTGGATAGAAGCTTCCAAACTCATGCCTAGCCACAAATGCATTTCCAATCAGTTTATAAGCATATATGATATAACTCAACAAACATCAGGTGAAAAAGAGAGAGAAGATTGGCTTCTTAAATCATGACAGCCACATTGAAACAGAGGTTCACAAACACGTACCTATGAACGGAGAAAACTAGTACACGAGGATCTTCCCAGAACATCTTCTGTGTACCATTTCCGTGATGGACATCCCAATCAACGATCAGAATTTTCTTGAGACCTAGATCCGGCTGCATTTAAGAATAGCAAAAGAGCTTGGCAACACATACACACACACAAGAAATGTGACAAAAAGAATTATCAAAGTATGTAAAAGGAAATAATAGCATGACAAAAGTCAATACAACTCCTTACCCTTTTGTTTAGTAAATAACTAGCAGCGACTGCTACATTGTTGAATAAACAGAAACCCATTGCTTCATCTGCCTCAGCATGGTGCCCTGGTGGCCTGACAATAGCAAAGCCACAATCCAACTCTCCTTCTGCAACTTTCTCCGCCACCTGATAAGTCGCAAGAAGTTCTTTGTTGACTTATAGTCAATCGAATCATTTTAAAAGTTTTTGTATTCTCCTATGTGAAAGAGACAAGTCATTTGATATGCATCTAGTGTTACCTCCACAACAGATCCAGCTGCAAGATATGCGGCTTCGGATGAACCTCCATTCAAATATATTGAATCCAACTCTGAAGCAATCCTATTTCTCCGATTATCTTTCTGTTTTGCGCTAATACGCTTAACCATCTTAACATGGTCCTTTGTGTGAACCAACTGGAGATGCTTATCTTCTGCTTTGCTACCACCAAGAACCACACATCTACAAAAGGAAAAACTCAAAAATGTCCGTACATAAAAATGCCATTTCAGCAGAATCCAACAGAAAATCTTGATGGATACACTCCCAAAAGAGTGTATTCTACATTCCTAACACTAATGGGCTGTCACATTACTTTAATTGATAGTCCTATGAGTGGAAAAAATAACAACAAAGCCGCACGAGAAGAGGAAAGTAGGAACCTTTGAGCAAGTCCAGTGAGCTTAAGCTTCTCCCAGATGACTCTGATGCGATCGGGACACTCTGGTTGGTCCTCGCCGTCAGGTGTGTCGTGTTTGCACATCCTCTCGTCGTATAAAAGACCCACCTTTCGCTTTCTTTTTCTTTTCCCGCCGACTTTACCGTCACATTCTCGGAGACTGTTTCCCGAAGATTCGCCGGCCATGGCCTTATGAGGGAGATGTGACAGTCTTATCTTTCGAAGATCGGAGAGAGAAGAAGCTGAAGGGTTTACTCTGATGCCTCAAGCTTCAAACTTGAAAGTACTCTGTATTACTTTTTCAATTTTTTATTACCCTATTAGTAATTTATTTATTTCTGTTCTTTTTTTTTTTGAGTTTTTCCCAATTTGGAGGGAAATTGGGGAAACTAGCATATTAACCAATCAAAGTCTGACACGTCACATTTTACAAAACCAATCCTGTCCAAATTAACCGGTTGAACCGTATCATTAGAACCGCAGAATCTAATGTAAAAAATCGGTGAACCCAATTTTCTGCAAATGTCGAACTGAAGAGAGTCACTGCTCTTGTAAGATCTTACATGACAAGTAAAGATCGTTTGGTTTCAACATATTTTCTCGATTCTACACAAAAAAAAAAAGTCTGTGGTTACAATGAAAACTCCACTGTACTTATAGACTATGCGCGATGTCACATTTACACCCAAAAGATCTTCTAATATTCTCAAGAGGTCAAAATCCTAAATCGAGATATGTACCTCTATCTAAGCTGCTCACTGTGACTGTACTTCAAATCTGAAGAAGAAGCTTATATTTCTGCAAAACGCTCTTTCTCCAGAAGATCAACAAGGCCTCGAGGAGGGTATTCGAAGAAAACGAATTCTTGGAGCTGTCTCTCTGCTCTGCTTGCTAACCATTCGGCACACAAGTTCTGTTCTTTGGAGATATGGTAAATCTCACAATCCCAGTCCTTCAAGATCATGTCCTTGCACGATCCCAGAATCGACTTTCCCTTATGAAACAAGTTCCGTTTTCCTGTTAGAGCATCGGTGATCTCAAGACTTGTTGTCTTCAAGCGGATTCTTCGGATGCCGCAGTCCCATAGAAGTTTAAGGCCATGGTTGATAGCCAAAATCACAGCTGCGACTTCAGGTAAGCTCTTGTGACACCTACTGTAGCCAAACAACCACTCCCCTGACTGGTTACGCACTATTCCAGCGGATACGGTGAGCTCAGACAGAGTGTTTGAAGTTCCATGTATGTGAAGTGTCACCAAGGGTGGTGCCCATATCTTCTCGAAACCAGGAGGTAAGCTAACTTCTTTCTTCACCTTCTCCGGTGATCTTGAGGGATTTTCGAAACCAGAATGTAAGCTTTCTCTGTTCACTTTCCCCGGTGAGCTTGAGGGAACGCCTTCTGATTTTGCAATTAGCTTGAGAGCCAGACTCGGTGTCAGGTACTCAGTGTCGAAGTCTAAGTCCATGTCAACAACATCTCCATCATCAAGATCTTTATCCGTTTGATAAGAAGTTCCTGGAACAAGTGCTTTTGAGTTTTTGTTCTCGAGAAAAAACCCCCAAAGATAGTTTTCTGTTTTGTTCTGCGTCTTGATGAAAACTGCAAACACAAAAGCTGAATTTATCCTTCAAGCAATTGAGAAATTATTGACAAACAAAAAAAGTTTCCTATAATACAGTAAGCATACACCGGGAGGTCTTGTCCAATAGTTTCGGGGAGAATATCAACAACTCTGAGCCGTTTATATTAACTTTGATCATGGCATTACGAGTCGCCATGGCCTTAAACAGATGAGCATGTTCTCCTTTAAGCCTGAAAGAATGAGTGTACATACCCTGATTAAATAAGTTTTCTGATAACAGCGATAGAACAAGAATAAGAAGCTTGTCCGTTGTAGAAAAGGGCTTATGAGTACCTTTCTGTTTTCTTCTCGTCTGGGAAAAGGTACAATTCCACATTCGATAGCCTTGGGCTTCTGCCAAACACATCATTCAAAATATGGCCTGTAGGAAGCAGCTCTACCTTGAGTAACTTAGGCATCGCCTTTGATAGTCTCAGTGCCTTGTTGCTGATAGTGGATGCCGGTTTAACCCAAAACTCGCAGTCAAACTCAGGCAGCGTGGCAGAGTCCACAATGCGACCCCTGGTACAGTGGTTGAAAGAAAAAATTTCATCATATACAAGCAAAGAGGAACTGCATAGCTAGTAACTTGTGAAGGTCAAAAGATCCTAGTTTAGGAAGGAATCGAAAATGGTCACAATATTGGCATCATGGATCTTATCATGGTCTTATTCTCGTAAAACCATCAAGCTTATTTGCACATTTCAGTTTCAACAAATGTAGTAGATGCCTTTTGTGAAAAAGATTAAGGATTGTTTAACGTTCTGGCAAGGGTATCTGCACCGCATTTCCGGTGGAAACTGTATAATTGCTGAGAGTATTGGCAACAACTTAGCAAAGTGATCTAACAAAACACATGTGTAGTTCAAAAGACAATTTCAAGTGTTAAATAACTCACGTCCAAGTAGGATGCAGAGCTGGTCGATATAGAAGTAACTCTGAGAGTCTATCATCAGAGGTTGATTGACATGTCTCCGTGGAACCATGATCTTTAGCTCTATCAACAACTTCCACAATTGTCCCTATAGAAACCAAGGAAACGCAAAAAAAAAAAAAGTCTTTTAGTCATCCAGTGAAGACAAGTTTGGGAATTTTTGGCTTTCAAAAAGAAAAGAGAAGAAGCAAAAGATATCACCTTCTACAACTTGTGTTGCATTAGGAGCTTGCTGTATAACTCTTGTACGAATCTGCAAAGCACGTGGACTAGGAGGAGGCTCAACCGTCGTCGATTGATGGAGACTTCTTGAATTGGTTCCCTGTCTCACTCTTGTAGTATTCTCATTCTCAGTTAAAACTCCAAGACCGCAAACAATTTTTTTTCTGACATCTGCTGGAGAATGAGCCGGGACAGGTCTTGGTGCTTCAGAAGTGGGACGAGCCGGGACAGGTCTTGGTGCTTCAGAAATGGGACGAGCCGGGGGAACAGGTCTTGGTGGTGCTTCAGGAGTTTGACGAGGCGGGATAGGTCTTGGTAATTCAGAAGTTGCACGAGCTGGTTTATGTCTTTGTGGTGCAGAAGTTGCATGAGCAGGCTTAGATCTTGGTGGTTCAGAAACTGGAGAAACCGCACTTTGATTGACTCCGGAAGATAGTTGTTTGGCTTCCTCTGGTGTGATCAGCTTCACCTTTGAAGGTCTAGGTACTGGATTCCCTCTGGCGACTGGATTTGAAGATTCAACCCGTAGTTTACTCCTGCCAGGGACTACTTTGATCGAATTTGAAAGCACTTTGCTTGGACCAGGACTCATTGATGAGGAATTTGGCAACCTGCAACAGAAACGAAATCGGAAAACCAAAAATCAGTCATACCTAAGAATCTGAAAAGATATAAAGTCGCCAGAAACAAACGTCAGGCCAAGAAGTCACTCTTCTCACAATCTGATTCAGGAAACTTCTATAAGCCAACTCTATTTCGAGAACAACAAAATCTAGTCTTTTGTGCTTGAACCCACTGAAAAACTTGGAATCAAAATCTAACCTTTTGACAAAACCAGTTTCAGAACCTATGCATCAAAAGAAGGGCAAATCGGAGGGTATAACAAACTAAAGATGAGTGATTTCGGAGAATAAACGAACCAGTAGGATCAAAATACTAAAGACAAAACCCTAATTTTTAAAGGCTGGAATTTGAAATCTGGTTTTTCGACATAACGAAGGCAATGCAGATAAACGAGAAACTCTCACCAAGTCGATGGCTTTCTCCTTTAGGGCTTAATCTGGATTGGGTTCAAAAACCTACAAAACCCTAACAAAATCCCATTTTCAGTTTCATAGCAGGGAACGCGTAAAAACAAATGCCGATAAACAGGAACACATAATCAGCCATTTTTCTCTGTTCCAAATCAAAAGGAGTAATTTCCGAATATCAGAACTATCTGTAACTTCTTTTTGCTTGCGTAGTACGGAATACAAAGAGAGAAAAAATGATCAGAATAAAAATCGGAGAAACCCACTACGAAAGCAGAGTTAGAGATGAGAACACGAAAAATCAGAGAATGTGATTTTGGATACCAAACGATTCGGCTTCATACCGTGAAATCAGAAGCCAACGGCGAGTTTTTGATGGTGAGAGGGGAACAGAAAATGTAGAGAGAGAAAGAAAGTGGACTGGTGCGAAGGTGGGGGGAGGTAAAGAGAGAGAGAGGGAGTGGGGGAAAGGAAGGCGACAATACAAAAAGAAGATTAAGGAAAGATAAATTGCAATATAAGCCCCCGACGTTTACTTAAATAAAATATACCCTCATACTTTATAACTATTAAAAAGTAGCTCGCTTTTCTTAAGTTTGTATAAAAGGTCCATCTCAACGATTTTGATGTATGAGCTTTTTCGTCGTCGTCAAGTTGTTTCCAAGTTCCTTGGTATATACATCTGGCGTTGTTGTAACTTTTAATCCTCAAAATAGGTGAAATTTTCAAAATAAGAAACTTATGTAACTCGGATTTGTGTATATGAATGAAATTGATTGAAAACAAATATGTAAATGTTTGAAATGGAGTTTAATATTAGGTTTACCAACTGGTCCCCGTCAATCCATTAAAAGGGCAGACGTATGTTTCTATTTTCGGTAACCTTGACTAATGAGTCCACTTGTTGTCATCAAAGCAGCTCTATCATTTTTCTGCGAAAGATCTTGCTTTTCTTTAATACTTTTCTACAAAGTTTTGGTTAATTGCAATGGGACCTTTGCTTCTTTTGGATGGATACAGATGCATCAGATTTTTTTTTGTAGCTATAAATTTACAATAAACAATACTTTAAAAAAAAACTGAAGAAAAAAGGAATATGATACGTTTTTCACTTCTTTTAAACAAAACAGCTTTAGAATAATAATCTTTCTCATCAGTAATTTGCTTGACGGAGTAGAGTAGCAAGAACACACACAGGTTAAGAAAGAAGAAGATATGTACGTTGAGTGTCGCTTAAAATGATAATCGAAGAAGTGCAACCTCGCTACTTGTAAGTATCTTGTGATCCAAGGAAAAAACAACTGTATCACAATCAAGTGGGCAAAACTATACACACAAACTAAGACCTCTTTACTTATCTTTTCTTCTGTACCTACAACAAGACAACAATTAGAGAGCTACACAAGAAAAAAGGGTTTTACTCGCTGGACTTTAGATCTTTAAGGAGTTTACCCATCAGCTGAAGCGTTCTTGGTTAGCACTTCGGTGAGGCATTTCTGTTAGAGATTGATGATTCAGAGACGAGACCAGAGTCTGACGTGACTGTGGAAGGTGTTTGCCCATCAACCGAAACGTCCTGCGTTTTTTAGGAAAGGCCTGATGCGATGGTTGTTGGAGCTCTTTGTTTTGAGATGATTCATTCAATTCTGAGGAAGTTTCTTTAGCTGCATAACCAAACACTGAACCTCGTAAAGACTCCTTCAAGCACTATAATTTGATCAACAGAGAAGACAAACTGAATTCATACGGAGGATTACATTATAAATAGTTAGCAAAACTAAACCACTCATAAGTCATAACCAATGTATCAATTTCTTTTATGTAATTTGTACCTTTCAATAAAGTGCGAGAGAGATAGGTTTCATCATCACCTAGGGGACTTGTTCGTGGACGCGAAGGCGGACGAATCACTGTGCTGACATTTGCAGAGATTCCATAGCTAGAGCCGCTTGTAGATGCCTGAAGGATTACTGGCAAATCAATTTCGGCATCTACAGCATCTTGATCCATGTCATTACTTCTTAGTTTGGCAGTTTCATGATCTTCTGCCCTGGAATTGTCAGGGTTCTTTGGATCCGAGGAAGAATCAGCAACAGTGGTCTCTGAATCCATTAGATCCTCAGCAACATCAGATATGAGCAATACGCGAGATGAAAGCCTGCACGCTTCACATAGCCAAATGGAAGGGACAGATGGTAGAAAAACCCTTGCGCAATAACTGAAAGACACAACACAAATAGAAGACCATTGAGTTTGCAACAGTCAAAGTAAAGATGACAAATTTAGACCAACGATGAGAGGATCAAAACAGCATTGTTTGCTTATTTAGAGCATCGTTTTCTTACGTATGCTCTCGCGTTTCTCTGCACTTGAAACATATCATTATCAAACCAGCAATGCCAACACTTCCACATATCTCACAAGGCTCCTACGCATAACAACAATGAGATAAGATCAACAAATACAACATCAGTATAAAGGAAAGAAGCAATGCCAAGTTTTTAAAAATTTGCATCAAACTTTGCTAAAAGAGCCAAATAAAGAACTTGATGCGTAGAGAGAAAGACGCACAATGCTCATAATCAACAACTATAAAATCTCCTTTATATAGAGATATGTAACGATTCCGATTCTCAGGCGTTATGCTGACTCACTCAAGCATTTCATCAAACAGTTGAAAGTCAGTATTTTTAGCATAAATTCTCCGAATGAAACACAGAAGCAATCTCTAGCGGTTACAAGAAGAGGCGAAAATCAAGATTTTTATAAACAATCACAAGTCGCGATCACGCAGGTGCAAGAACCACAAACCAACACTAATAAAATTGCAAATTTGCAAGTGAATACAAGATTTAGCTTTACAGCAGGATTTGGGCCTTACTCTCGATTCTTGCGCACCTTTGACTGCGAAAAGCGACGAACTTCCGGATTCATCTTCGTTCCCGTTTTTCCCTTTCATTGATTTTGGTCAGAGGGTCTTCAATGGCGTTTAAGGGTACGCTGGAAACGAGGTTTCGATGTCGAACGACGGAAGAAGCAGTTTCTTTAAAGAATACCCAAACCCTAAACTTAAATCTTGATTTCATATAAACGAAAAGACGAAGTTGAGATTGGTTTATAAAAACAGAAAAAAAATAGATTCTTCTAAATCCTAATTAGTTAATTGGGTGATAAACTTATTTAATTATTAGATTAATCGAAGTGTCACGTTTTCACATTTTTTTATTTAAAAATAAAATTTTAGCAGTGTTAATCATCGCTATATCATTAATCCTCTCACAATTAATAATTTTTTATCCATAACCCGCCCGTCTCCAAAACATTGATGATACATACAGCATATCAATAACAAAAAAAAAAAACAAAACTTTAGTCATAAGTTTCAAAAATGACTTGTAACCTAAGAAAAAAATTCCTACATCCAAACGAGTAACAAGTAAAACATCGATTACTCTTGAAAATCTTCACCACAAGGAAGATTAGATTCTGAATCATCTAATGACGTCTGCTCCTTGAGGAACAACAGGCAAGGAGATTGCTTTAACTCTGAAGAAGAAGAAGAAGAAGGTAGCGTAAAAGAACTTCATACTTTTGTTTGTCCCTCGTCATAGAAAGAGTTTGATCTAACCGTGTTACTGGAGTCTCCGCTTTTAATGTAAATAGGTAAGAAAAACGTAAACAACATAGCCGTCTCAGTACTCATAAAATCTACAAGTAAATACAAGGACTGAATTTATTACTTCTTACAAGCTACAACAAACAAGAACACACAGTCACAGTCACAGTCAAGAGATTAGCAAATGAGCTATTACCAGTTTCATTGAGACAAAAAAAATAAGTGACTTGCATCGATCAATCCCTCTCCCTGTAATGTCTCTGCAATTGCTTCAAAGAATTCCGGTATGTCTGAACTGAGGCTGATGAAAAACAAGCAACAAATTACATCAGAGACGAAAACAAGCACTTGGAGACTCGTTAATATTAAAGCTATGATGATGAACTGATGATGATGCCTAATGCCTTATAAGTTCTAACCAAACAGAATCAACTAATTACTGATTAATTGATGGGTTCTTGATTTCGAAAAAGAGAAGAAGGGAGTAGTAGTCTACCTTAGTGTTATTGTCAACCACATCTCCATCATCAAAATATTGACCAGTTTGATTGGAACTCCCTGGAACAAGTGCTAATGACTTTTTCGTCAAGAGAAAAATCCCCCAAAGGAAGTTAGTTGTTTTCTTCTGCATCTCGATGATAACTGCAAACACAGCGGATGTTATTCATTCTTAAAAACCAACGGTAACAAATTTAAAAACAAAAACAAAAAGCTGCAAGAATGCATTAGGCTTACTCTGAGAGGACTTGTCCAGTAACTCTGAAGAGAATATCAACAATGGTGTGCCATTGATGTTAATTCTGATCATGGCATTGCGACTCTTCATGGTCATAAAGATATGAGCGTGCTCCTCCTTATACCTGCAAGAACTGCAAGGTATGTGATCACAATGACGTAACAATCATTAAGAAGCTTGTCTATCTGTAGAAAAGGATGCTTGAGATATACCTTTTTGTGTTCTTGTCATCTGGGAAAATGTACATCTCGACATCTGAAAGCGCTGGGTTTCTGTTCACAAACATATCATTCAAGAGACTGCCTATAGGGACCAATTCGACCTTGAGCAAGACAGGAACCGCCTTTGAGAGTTTGTAAGCCTTCCCATGGATTTCAGAAGCCGGTTGAGCCCAAAAATCGCCGCTAAACTCTGACGGTGTAGCAGAATCTACGATGCGACCCCTGGTTTAGTGGCAGAAAGATATAGTTATCAAAAACATGCACATCTTCAGCAGTGTAACAAAAGCCTAACGTTGATAATATAACGAGCGAAAACAAAACGGGTAATCTGCAGAGAGTAATGGCAACATTATCGCAATATAGAGTGATTTAACTGAAGCATCTAAGTTCTAACAAAACAACATATTTAGCAAATTACAAGACATGGTGTTTGAAGTGATCTGTAACTCACTTCCAAGTGGGGTGCAAAGCTGGTCGATATGGAAGTAATTGCAACAATTTTTCTGATAAGATTGATTGGCATATCTCTTTTGAACCAAGATCTTTGGCTCCACCACCAACTTTCGATTTTGACCCTTGAAAAGCCAAAAAAAAACAAAACGCAACAATAAATGTTATTGAAAGAAATTTAGGATCGTAAGTGTTGAGAAAGGAAATGGAGGAAAAGAGAAGAAGAAAAAGATGCCACCTTTCACTACTGCTACTGCTTTAGAAGCTCCTGAACGAATCTGCAGAGTACGAGGACTAGGAGGCTCAAACTTCTTAGGTGGAAGGAGAAATGGATTGGTTTTGCGAGCCACCACTGTAGAATTCAGACTTCTAGCTCTTGGAAAACAAACAGTTTGTTTCGTTAAACCCATTGCAGAACGAGCAGGAACAGGTCTTGGTACTTTAAATGTTGGCTTATTGCTCCCACATGAAAGTTTTTTGACTTCCTCTGGTGAAATCAACTTCATTCTTGATGATTCAGGAATTGTTTTCCATCTAGGAACTGGATTTGAAGACTCAACCCGCGCTTTACTTTTTTGACTTCTAGGGGAGGCTTTGATCGACTCTGTAGGGTAGCTTTTTTTAACAGGTCTCCTTGAACAGTCAGCACAAACGAAATCTATCGTGGTCTCAAATGAATGTTTCGCCATGCAGTAACTGGAAATCAAAGATTTTTTTAAAAAAAAGAATTAAGGTGAGATAAAGACAATAAGAAGATTCATTTGACCACATAAACCAAACCAATTGGACATGAGAGAAGAGTCCTAAGGAGAACAATTGATAAGTTCACTCAAAATGATATATATCCCAAAAGCTAGAATATGAGACAGGAAGAACATATTGATAATCACTTCTCAGTTCTCACCGGTGCTCACAGGCTATACGGCATTTAGAGCAAGTTACAAGTAGTCCTTTCCATCCTTGGCTTCCACATGTTCCACAGATTGACCTCTAAAACAATTGAAGCAAAAGAGAATCATCAGCAAAACAAATACTAACTTTGTTACTATGACTATGATTTATTTTATCTTAATCAAACAAGAGAGGAAGTAAGCTCAGAACAAAAATAAGGTTGTTTTCAGTTTCGCTTTTGTCGGAGATTGCCAGTTTCTGCCATGGAGTGTAAAAGGAAGATTAGTGTTGTAAAATCCACAACTTGATCAAGCTGATCATAGACTTTTCTTCGATTTCAGTTGCAATCATGTTTGATTTACTGTCCATGGTCGACAAGAACATCTTACAACACTAATCTCCCATTTACACTCCATGGAAGAAATTTGCAGCCTCCAACCAAAAAAAAACAAAACAAAATCGCAAAAAAAGTAGAACAGCGAAAGCCACGGATTCTGACTGAAATTGCGTGTTTAGTAGAAAATACCAAAATTAGAAACCCTAGATTAAAAACTCTACACAGAACCAAAAACCCATTTCAATACAATACCAAACGCGTGATATCAAAATGCAGGTAAACCGGAAATCAGCTCGTTCACAAGGAAGAGCTATACTTTTCATAAAATCGACAGACAAATATCTCAAGCACCCTTGCTTGTAAATTACGGAACCGAAGGAGCAAAGATTGGTGGAAACAAAACAAAAAAACCAAGAAAAACACTACGAAAGCAGAACAGACGATGGAAAAAAAAACAGAGATTCTGGTTCAACATACCATGTTGTATTACGATTAAGCTTCGAACGAAGCCCTGATATAAAAATCGGACGGAAAGTTTCGATTTTTTTAGAGGGAACAAATGGGTTTGTAGAGAGAGAAAGAGTGTCGGAGCTAAGAAGGTGGGGGTGGAGAGTTGAGGGACCAGCAAGAGAGAGAGAGAGTGATGGACGAAGAAATAGATTAGAAAAGTCAGAATTGCAATAACTCCCCATGTCTTTACCTTAAATAAAAAGAAGACCCTATATTTCTGAAACCTATCAAAGAAGGAGGTACTTTTGTTGAAATTCACATAACAACCCATACTCTAATGAAAAAGTTCAGAGATGGAACGATGGTGATATTTGAGCAAATTCTTCTTCTTCTGCATTCCTATCAGCTATTGAATGTCTTCGTTACTCGTCTTTTTTGTCTTCACTTTTTTTTTAAAACTATTTTGACTGAGTAGCTTCATAAATTACAGTTTTTTATATTGGGTTTAAATGGTATGTAGCTTTTTCATGTTTTCATGTTTTGGAAACTTGATTCTGTTATTTTTTACCATTTATGTTATTCATCACGTTTTCACGTTTTTTTATGTTTTTGAAACGTGATTCCGCTAGCGTGTTAAAAATATAACTAAAAAAACAAAACGTGATTAATCTACTAAAAGTAGATTTTCAGCATTTTACAATTATTCAGCTAAAATATTATTCAGTTCAGTTCATTTCACTAGTAATTCTTCAGTTATTCCGCTATTTTGTTATTCATCTGACATACCAGTCAGACCCATTAATTCCAAAATTGTCATTTCATATTTGTTTGACAGCTTATAGTCAAATTGGCTGTCAAAAAAAGAAAAGATTGATTGAGTTGAGACTTTTATTTATTGAGAGTGAGACTTTAAGCACTGTAATCTGTAAGTCTAGTCTGCACACCTCTAAAAGTTTTATACTACCATACAAAATTTTATATTCTGGGTGAAATAACCAAACAGTAAAATTAAATACATTAAGTAACACATATTGACTACAAAAAAAAAAAAAAAAGTAAACATAATATGATTCTATGTTTTTTTATAGCATTCTATCATATGTATGATTCGATCGTATGGAAGGAAGTACAGTATACAATGATTTACAAAATGTCAATAGCTATTTCAAAGAACTCAATTCACCACGAAAGCACATTTATGTGCTTTTGCACTTCATCAAAGAGAAAGTGAAAGTGTATGAAGATATCAACTGTTAAAATCTAACGAATATACTTCCCTAATTGCATTAAGGAAGTTCAGGGTATTAAGGGCCTGAGAAGAGGTTCATGGTCCGAGAAGCAAATCAAGTTCAAGAGTCAGACACTAAGGCAAGGTGGAGTTTTTGCGTCATGAGTGTCAAGAAAACTCTAAAAGGAACAGAGTTTTCAAACCCACACGCACATGTGATTTAAGCCCATAAAAAGGTCGACGACAAGAATGAACGATTATACTCATGTTGGGAATCAGAGAGTAGGAGAGAGAAGATCGATTGGTATAAGGAACTTAAAGTTATGGTCTTTTTGTGTAAAGACTAGTAGAGTTTAATTCATTTGTCTCTTGTAATTGCATAATGAAGAACAAAATTTCTAGTTCACTTGTGTGTCTTTTACTTTTCATTGCTCAAGTAAACACACACGAGGAGCGAACGTTTTCTAGGAGAGTGAGAGAGACTTCGTATCAAATGAGCTTAAAGACTCAAACTTTCTTAACATTTTCAGACTTGTTGATTTGCTTTTGTTGTAAAAGTTACAAGATTAGACGTATGTTTAGTCCTAAAACCCCACGCAGCACTGGTCCCAAGCTAGTAAGATAAAAAGGAAACAGGAGATAAGATCATTTTTATATAACTTCTTCACTACCATCAAGTCTACCAGAAACCATCAAGTGGTGAGAGTAAAAGCAAGATTGCTGAAATCATCTTATAACAAAAAAACATAACATAGACCCATAACACACAGACAGAGATTACGACTAAGCTAGATCAATGTCCTTGAGACAATAACTAAGTTCACCAAAAAGACAAGAGAAGATTAACATCCTTAGAGCATCAAGAGAGAACAGAATCCACTCAGGAGAAGGCAGATTAACAATTTGCTTGAGTTCTTGGGAGCAAACGCGCTGCTTTCTGTCGAATAATCCGGATTAATACCTGTCGAGTTATTTCCAAAAACTCCATTGGTTGGGGTTCCTGAGTAAGGACTGTTGCCACCAGGAAGTGTGGTGGTGCTTGAGCTGCCTTTTGGATTGGTTGTGCCAGGTGTCACAGTGGTGCTGCCGCTCGAGCCACTAGATCCACTAGACCCGCTGGGAAAGAAGAAAAAAAGCAACAAATTACATTAACAGAGATTATCAGACAAGAATCAACCACTCCGAGGGGACTTATAACTGAAGCTGGTCATATGAGTTTATTATAACCAAACCAAGTCTTAGTGAAACTTCAAAGCAAAAATTCATGTTATATAGTCAAAAGTCTAACAAAAAGAAGAGTCTCAGTTTCTAATAACTGAAAGGTCTTTGATGGGTAAAAAAGATTTAAGATTTAGTGTACCATCGTGTATACGGCTATATCAGTCAAGAACAATGATCATGCGTTCAAACTGTGATCCAATAAAGCATTTGAATTGAGTTAGATATGATCTAAAGTTTGGTTAAAGAGATAAAGAAATTGATTACTTTTAGGTTCATGTTGAATACTTCCAGGTAAAAGGGTCATAAAAAAAGAAGTAGTCTACTGTTCACAATAGAGTCAAATATTCGTTACTTATATTAATTCCGTTCTTTTTTTCTATTTAAGTAATATTAATGATGATGATTACTATTTTTAATTGATTTGAATGATGCTATCTCTTTCACAACCAAAGAAACAAAAAAACAAAAAGTTGAAAACTTGGGACCCAAATCAAGCTTTAGTCCACTTTTGCTCTTTGCCACAAAAATAGAAAACAAGTTGATCAAATTCTTCGTTTTGGTCCCATAGAATGCAAACGTTTCTTTCAAATTCTTGATAAAGGCATTTGAATCAGAAGCATACCTGGCACTAGTAGGGAAAGTACATCCTGAATAACCTGTTAAAAACAGAGTTCAACAAAATACAGAAAATGTTAAGATATTACTTATGAATCATAGTCTTTGTCATACATTTTGGCGTATCTACTTTGTCTCAGAATCTTGAATACCAAAATCATTCAATAGTTACAAAAACAAAAAAAAACATCTAACTTTCTGTAACTATCAATCAATCGAGCACCACATGAATCCTAACAATCACACAAAAATAAAAAGCAATGAAAGATGAGGGAAATCAAAAGAGCAGCAAGACGAGGATGGTTTGAGACTAACTTGGATCGGAGTTAGTTGGAGTGGCGGTGCCACTGAAATCGCAAGTGCCAGGAGATTGACCCTTCTTTTGGAAGTAGCTGTTGACTGCATAGCTGCAATGAGACCTAACGTTGTCAGGGTTAAAGCAAGGTGCTTTTGGGTGAGTGGGATTACAGTCTGCTCCATGGCCACAGGCATAGTCTAGGGTGCTCTGTAGCACTGTATCACTCAGCCCTGTCTTGCACACACACCATGACGCACCTACATAGACCAAAAAGCAAATGAATCATTTAGCGACTGATTCAACACACCATGAGGCTCCATCATCTTTGTTCTATAATGTTAAGCCACCAAGATTTGGGAAAACTTGGAATTTTTTTTTTTAGTTTGAGTGCTTTCATCTTTAAAAGGCAAGATTTGAAGATTTAAGAAGTTAGTGAGTAAACAAGCAAATCGGAAAAACCAGCAATTTGTGAACTTTTTTAATACTTCAATACAAGAAAGGATAAAGTTGAGAAAAAGAAGGGGCTTTAAAGAAAAGAAGATGTAGATGAAATGAGACAAGAACATAAGACACATCTTGATAATTATCTTTGCCGTTATCGATACACAGTTAGGAAAAGCAACCAAAGAAACAGCAATAGGCCAAGAAAAAATAAATATGAACTACTTAAACAGTAAACAGGAAAATAATGGTAAAGTTTAATCTGTCTATCAATGGCAGAACACTCAGGAACAGTAAAACCCTTGACTGCAACAAGAATATTTTTTTCAAACCAGAACCAAAAGGGTTTGAGACTTTGATAGTGATGATACAGACAAGATTAAGCTAAGAAATCTGAAGAAGCGTGGAAGTTCTTACTAGAATGGCCAGCCATAGCTAGAAGGAGAAGTGAAAGCACCAGAGCAGCCATTAGATGCGTTCAGACAGAATGTAACGGTTGTCTTCTACAGAGAAAGAGAGAAAAGAATGAAGATAGAAATAGAGATCTCTAGAGCAAGAAGAAGAAAAAGATGAGAAAGTAGAGAAAACACAGAGAGAGAGAGAGAGAGAGAGAGAGAGAGAGAGAGAGTGATAGAGCAAGTAGAGAGAGAGAGAGAGGGGGTGAGATGAGAGTGGCTAGTTGTTGTGTGTCCTCTTGTCTCTTCTCGAAACCCTTTGAGTGCTTTTTTGCATCATTAAAGAATGGAGCTCGTGTAGACTTTTTTTGTACGTATATTTGAGATTTAAATTAAAGAGACATTGTATTTATTGGGGGATAAAGAAAATAAAATAAGTTATAAATACTTTTTGAAAAGGCCAAATTTTGTGTTGCAGGCTGTGGTGTTCCACAGAAAGTGTGAAATACGAAAATGCTGAATCACAACCAAAAAAGAAAAAAAAAATGATGTATCACAAAATCTTTGTCCATGATGGGTCGGATGTGAAAATTTGTTTAATACACACAGTCCATGTAAAATTAAAAAAGATTAATATATTTTCCAGGAAATGTTCAAATTGTTATTTTTTATTGTCTGTTTTGAAAATTCAAAAACCCTATCTCACCAACCTAAATCGTTGCCAATTAAAAAACAGAATAATTTATTATGGTCCATCACATGTTCTTATGCAATGAAATTTGAAATATCTGTAAATTTGAGAACGGCGTCGTTTGATGGATCCGTATTTTAATGGGTCGGTGTACGGGTCTTGACAAAACTGTTCTCAAAGTATTGAATGCGGCGCCGTTTTTAAGTTGCGAGCGAGCGAGCGATCACCTCCTTCCTCGGAGAGCCAGACCATCGTTGAAGATTCAGGGGAGAAGAAGCCTAAACGACGCAATTGCAGGGTTTTAGAATGTTGGTTCAGCTTCCTCGCTTGACAAGCTCTCTTAGAGAGCCATTCGACATCGATCAGGCGTACCTTCGCCGCAAAACTATACTCCAAACTCTTAATAAGCCTCGCAGGTCGGCTTTTTCTTTCCGAGTTCCTGAAATTTCTCTTCTCTTTGGAACCGATTCACTCGAATAGTAGGTTTTGAGCGGGCTCTGTAGGATCTGTTTGGTTCTATACAGAATTTGCTAGTTGTAGAATACTCCGGTGATCACCATGTTACTTGTTAAATTTTGATAAACTTCTGGGCTTCAGTTTTGGAAAGCATTTGAGAACGAGTATTTGGAAATTATTCTGTTGTTTTATAGTAAATACTTGAATTGAATTGGACCGGTTTGTTTCTTGTGTTTGCCACTTCAGCTCCGGGAATCGCCATGATGAATCTGAGCTTGCTAGGAGAATAGTTCATCAATGGGAAGGAGGTGATTTTCTGATGATAATTTTTTTTTGTAACTCCCCAAATATATTTGTTGTTTCCCTTGATGGAATGGTGTTCTGTGTATATTGATGTGAATTGTTGTGGCAGCTTCTCCAGAAGTGCGTCAAGCATACAAGCAGTTTATTGGAGCTGTAGTGGAGTTGATTGATCGGGAAGTTCCATCAGATGAGTTTCGTGAGGTTGCTTTTGCCGCATATCGTCTGTTTAGCAAGCCAGCGGAGGACAGTGATTTCAATGATAAAAGCATTGCCGAAAAGAAGTAAGCATTGTTGTTTATGTTTTCCCGATTTGCATATTAACTTATATATCAACCACGATGGGGCTAGACATTTGAATATTACTGTAGGACAAGTGGCCAAGTGTTTGTACTTTTTATCGTATTCTGAGGTATTTGGGTTTTGCTAATTTTCAACAGGTTAGAATTGCAAAATCTTGTTGGACATGCTGCCTCAGATGCTAATGTAAAAAACGTATCCTCCTTAGCTCGGGCACTCTACTCAATACAGCCTACTCATCAGCCTGAGACATATCCTGAAGAGGTTGATGATGGAGTTGAGTTTGGTGCCGACCTTGTTTTCAATCTACCAGCTCGGTTTCTGGTAGACGCATCTCTTGGCGAAATAGGATTTCAGGATGTCGAAAGCAATGACGCTCATGCAACATTTTCTGAAGGATGGAATGATGTCAGCGATACGACAAAAAATCTTAGTGCAGGAAAATTTGATTTGAGTTGGCTTAGAGATGCATGCGGGCAGATGGTTAGAGAAAGCAATTCACAACTTTCCCGTGATGAACTGGCTATGGCTATATGCAGGTTTCTGGATTCAGATAAGCCTGGTGAGGAGGTATGTTGTTTTTTGGTGAAATATTTTTGGACTTGCTATGCCTTCTCCTGGATCATTATATACACAAGTGAAAGCAGACGGGATTTTAACATTTTTTTCTGCAGATAGCTGGAGACTTGTTGGACCTTGTTGGGGATAGCGCATTTGAGATTGTTCAAGACCTTATCATGGTATTGCTCTTTTATCTGAAGTCTGTGGTTCGGCACTTTGTGCCTGACTTGCTTTAAATATTACAGTATAGTATGCCTGTCGCATGGTTACTGTTACGTTTGAGTGGCACTACTTTGTTTCAAAGTTTCAGGCGTGAAATCATCATCTTGTAGCTTTTTGTTGAAATGACTTACTGCCTTAACCTATGTTTTTCATGTTAGCCGGCTTTTATGATGTTTAACCGAATCACATTCTAATATTACGTGCTGAATGTTCTATGCCCTTGAATTATAGTAACCCCAAGTATATGTGTGGGTGTGTGCGTATGCATAGTATAAGGGTTGTTACATGGATATATATATATATATATATATATATATACTGTAGTTATAGTTTGCTTTATATACTAATTAGAAATAAAAATGGTGTCTGACTTGTTGATTGTATTTTCAGCATCGGAAAGAAATTGTTGATGCCATCCATCATGGTCAGATGATTCTCAAGTCTGACAAAACGGCATCAAACACCCAAACTCGGATGCCTACCTATGGCACACAGGTAGTGCCATTTGAGTGAGGCCTTCCCGTATAATGTTGGGTACAATTCTTTTTCTATAGCCATAGTAACTCTTCGACACTTTTCAGGTTACTGTTCAAACAGAATCTGCAAAGCAAATTGAGAAACTTCGGCGTAAGGAGGAAAAGAAAAACAAACGGAGTGCTGAACTTGGTTTAGAGAGTGAAATATCAGAGGCCAATTTTTCTTATTTACTTGAAGCAAGTGAAAAGAAAACTGGATTTGAGGATTTGATCGGGTCGGGAGAAGCTAATTCTCTTGCGGTTGCTCTTCCCCAAGGTACTGTAAGGAAGCACTCAAAAGGATATGAGGAAGTTTTTATCCCGCCAACCCCTACCGCACAATTGAAACCTGGCGAGAAGCTGGTACGTCTTATCCATATCTAGAGGATAGTTGACAATTTTTGCATGCCGGGAAGTTATCATTAAGTGTTCTCCAATATTCTAATGAATGTTTTTTCTGCGAGATTATATGCACTATAACTCTAAATTCTTGCATGTTGCCAGATTGAGATAAAAGAACTAGACGACTTCGCTCAAGCTGCTTTTCATGGTTACAAAACCTTAAACCGTATTCAGAGTCGAATATTTCAGACAGTTTACAACACCAATGAGAATATATTGGTGAGTCATATGTCAAAAATTTGTCCATACCGAGCAACATTGCCAATTACTTTGTCAAGCATAAGTTTATTCTGTACCTTGTAGGTCTGTGCTCCAACAGGAGCGGGGAAAACAAATATAGCTATGATTTCTGTTTTACATGAAGTAAGTATTTTTTGACCTGGTTAATATTTTTGATTGTCCAAACCTGAATTCCTCACAGACTGAAAAGGGTTGAGATTATCTTTACTAAGAGCGTGAGTAGATTTTTCGAAGTGTGTGTTTGCGTTGTAAAAGAAGTTAATATATTTTAATCACACTGAACTATTTCATATTTTTACTCATCATATCTATGAAATTGTCCTGCAGATTAAACAACACTTCAGGGATGGCTACTTGCACAAAAACGAGTTTAAGATTGTTTATGTAGCTCCTATGAAGGTAATATCAGGTGAGTATAATCTTACGGATGGGTTTTGCCGTCATTACTTTTATTTTTCTTTTCTGTTCTTTGTAGGCGTTAGCGGCAGAGGTCACATCAGCTTTTAGCCGTCGTCTAGCTCCATTAAATATGGTTGTGAAGGAGCTTACAGGGGATATGCAACTCACCAAAAATGAACTTGAAGAAACTCAGGTTTCGCTTTAAGCTTATAAGATATGCTTAAGTTTCTCAAGGAGATATGTAACTGATATGTACCTGAATCAGATGATAGTGACAACACCAGAGAAATGGGATGTCATTACTCGCAAAAGCAGCGATATGGCATTGTCAATGCTAGTAAAACTCTTAATAATTGATGAAGTGCATCTTCTGAATGATGATAGAGGTGCAGTGATTGAAGCACTAGTTGCTCGGACTCTCCGTCAGGTAATGCCTGTTTGATCATATTTTAGTCATTTTTGGATTAAATGCTAAAACCAATCTGGCTGTGCAAAAGTGGTTTTGTTATGTAATTCTTGAAGTTGTATTAATTTTACTCCTCCTTATGGCGCAGCAGGTTAACTTCTGGTTGAATTTTTGTGTGTGTACCAGGTAGAGTCAACACAGACAATGATAAGAATCGTCGGCCTGTCAGCCACTTTGCCTAGCTACCTACAGGTCTATGCTTACATGACATATATTACCACCACATATTTTTACATCACATATCCATTTTGGTTTCAGGAAATTACGGTCACTGAAACTTGTTTTTTTTTTATAAAAAAAAAATCTTTTTGTGGGGTGGATCTCAGGTTGCTCAGTTCTTAAGAGTGAATCCAGACACTGGCCTTTTCTATTTTGATTCGAGTTATCGCCCAGTTCCCTTAGCTCAGCAGTATATAGGCATCACCGAGCATAACTTTGCTGCTAGAAACGAATTGTTAAATGAGATATGTTACAAAAAGGTCTCTATCTTGAACAAAGTCTCTTCTGTATCTATGTGAATATGGACAGTCACTTATCTATCTGGTAATGCTTTCATGTTAGGTTGTTGATTCGATTAAACAAGGTCATCAAGCAATGATTTTTGTTCATTCCCGAAAAGACACTTCAAAAACAGCAGAGAAACTGGTATGATATTTTACTTTTTTATATTCGGCTTTTTCTCTTTAGCGATGTCTTCCAAAAAATGTACGCATGTGGGTTTCCTGAAATCTTAAATACTGCATACGCCTGAAAACGCGATGATGATCTCGCTGCAATTATATTTCTCAATGGACTTTGGAATCCAGATCTAGACGTGCATGACTTCAATATTTTCACTTTGGCAGGTTGATCTTGCCGGGAAATACGAGACTCTGGATTTGTTCTCGACTGAGACTCATCCTCAATTCCATCTGATAAAGGTAAAGAAGAGGAGTATAACATCATCTTTTTTTAACTTCATTTTAGTTCTTAATTTCTCAGGATTGTTTTGCTGTATCTCAGAAAGATGTCATGAAGTCCAGAAATAAGGATCTTGTCAAATTATTTGAAGCTGGGTTCGGGATTCATCATGCTGGGATGTTGCGGTCTGATAGAACACTTACGGAAAGACTGTTTTCTGATGGACTCTTGAAGGTACGAGGTATTTATGTCTGCTTGCTCTTTACTGTTTATATACTTATTTTCTTCGAACGTTTTTTGGTCATTCAGGTGCTTGTTTGCACTGCAACTCTTGCCTGGGGTGTAAATCTGCCTGCACATACAGTCGTAATTAAGGTATGCTTGTTTAGACAATTGATTTTTCTATTTTTAGCTTTCACAAATGGATGGTTTTGTATAGCCAAACTTTACTCTGTAATCTGAGAAGGTTCTCTTTTGGGGGATCAACAGTTGTCTTCTTCTACACATTTATATAACCTTTTTTATAGCTCAGTATGTTCGGTTGATTTTCAGGGAACACAATTGTATGATGCCAAGGCTGGTGGGTGGAAAGACCTGGGAATGCTTGATGTCATGCAGGTAAAGTTAAAATTCGTCTTTGGAAAAGGACATGGCATTGCAATATCTTTGGTATTAATGTATCATGCTATTATATGCATTAGATCTTTGGAAGGGCTGGGAGACCGCAGTTTGACAAGAGTGGTGAGGGAATTATCATCACATCTCATGACAAGCTGGCATACTATCTTCGGCTGCTGACAAGTCAACTTCCCATTGAAAGTCAGGTACTGGGCAGAAACCCAAAAAGACTTTGGTCTGTCATCTTAATGCATAACCTGCATTTTTAGTTTGATCTTTCAATTTCTTTGGACATACAACGAAGTTCCGGTGAAATTCTTATTTGCAGTTCATAAGCTCTTTGAAAGACAATTTAAACGCAGAAGTGGTTTTGGGAACTGTGACTAATGTTAAGGAAGCCTGTGCTTGGCTTGGATATACATATTTGTCCATTCGGATGAGGTTAAATCCTTTGGCTTATGGCGTTGGATGGGACGAGGTGCGTTATTCTTTGCATTTTGGTGTTTAATATTTGAAACTTTATGTTTTCCTGTATCCCTTGGGTACACTTGTTGACATGGGTAGCCTCCATAGTTATCTGCATTCCGACTGATGAAGATCTTTGTCCTTCTCTCTATCTTTACATAGTGATTTTGGTTCTTCATCTGTGTTCTAAAATTTTGTGCTACATGGAGATCATAATTCTGGATTTTTTTCTTTTGCGTTCATGGTGCCATTTCATAGTTAAACATTTCCGATGTTTTTGTGCTACAGTGAATTATTTAATTATGTGCCTTAAACCATTATGATCGTGCTACTCGTCACAGATAATTGCCGACCCTTCTTTATCAATGAAGCAACGAGCCCTTGTGGCTGATGCTGCACGTTCACTCGACAAAGCTAAGATGATGAGGTTTGATGAGAAAAGTGGAAATTTTTACTGTACCGAGCTTGGACGGGTTGCAAGTCACTTCTATATTCAATATTCTAGTGTTGAAACATACAACCAAATGTTGAAGAGGCACATGAATGAAAGCGAGGTTTGCTATATTCATTCTGTTTTTATAACATTTTCCTTTAATGATTGTCTTCATATCGTTGCTATCTTAACTTCTTGTTTTTTTTAAAGTTTAAATGGTTCCACCTTGTTCTTTGCTAAAAAAAAATTTCCGTTACTTACTGATTTCAAATTATCTGGTGTAGATAATTGATATGGTTGCCCATTCTTCTGAATTTGAAAATATTGTCGTAAGAGAGGACGAGCAGAATGAACTTGAGACTCTTGCACGCTCTTGCTGTCCCTTGGAAGTTAAGGGAGGCCCTTCTAACAAACATGGAAAAATTTCGATTCTCATTCAGGTCATTGACTTTCATAATCTCGGCAATATTATATCTAGGAGATGAAACAGATGGTTTATATTGACTTCTGATAAAATGACTTTATAATCTGCAGTTATACATATCTCGTGGGTCAATTGATTCATTTTCCCTGGTCTCTGATGCTTCATATATCAGTGCTAGTTTAGCACGTATAATGCGTGCCCTGTTCGAGATATGCTTGCGAAAAGGGTGGTGTGAGATGACTTTATTTATGTTGGAATACTGCAAGGCAGTTGATCGTCAACTGTGGCCTCATCAACATCCTCTTCGGCAATTCGATAGGGATATACATTTTGATGTAAGTTTCTGAATTTTAGTTATGACTTGTAATATGTAATTCTTTTTCTCTAATTCATCTCTATTATCAGACGTTGAGAAAACTTGAAGAGCGAGGGGTTGACTTAGACCGTTTGTATGATATGGAGGAAAAGGACATTGGAGCGCTGATTCGTTACAATCCTGGGGGAAGGGTATATAGCTTAAGTTCACTAAGTTAATGCATGCATATATGGAAGAAAAGAAACACTAACTTTTTTTGGCTTTTTGCGTTCATGGGGAATTCTAGTTGGTCAAGCAACATCTAGGATATTTTCCTTCAATTCAGCTGACAGCTACTGTTAGTCCAATCACGCGCACTGTGTTGAAGGTAGCTTATGGAAGGTCTCTTCATTATTTAATACTCATTCAGATGACAAACTAACATCATTCATTTTGTCACCATTGTTAGGTGGATTTGCTTATAACACCAGATTTCATATGGAAGGATCGTTTTCATGGTGCTGCTCTTCGCTGGTGGATTCTCATTGAGGTTTACCATAGAATTTGCATTAAGACGCATTTAGTGCAGTGACAAGAATGATATGTTATTTACAATTTAGTATCTCACCCTTAGCGCTATTAACCCAGTAGGAAAAAAAAAAAAAACTCTGTGCTAGATAGCATTTGTAAACAAGCTTGCTAGTTAACTAATAAATTTGCATCTTCAATATTACTTACTCTTTTGGTGGAGTTGATATATTCCATTAGTAACACTTGTGTTGTGGTGTTGTCTTTGACAGGACACAGAGAATGATTATATCTACCACTCAGATCTTTTCACACTAACGAAGCGGATGGCTAGAGGGGAACCGCAAAAGCTTTCTTTTACTGTGCCTATATTTGAACCACATCCACCGCAATACTATGTTCATGCTGTTTCTGATTCTTGGTTGCATGCAGAGTCTTTCTACACAATCTCTTTCCACAATCTTGCACTACCAGAGGTATGTTGCTTTTAGAGGTTGTTATTTTCTATATGGCCACAAGATCATTTGTTCCTTTAAGTTTTCTGTATGTTAAGTCGTAACATTGTTCTTCATTCAGGCACGAACGTCTCACACAGAGCTTCTAGACTTGAAACCTCTTCCTGTGACTTCTCTTGGGAATAGGTTGTATGAATCGCTTTACAAATTTTCACATTTCAATCCAATACAGACTCAGGTTTGAGCATACTCGCCTACGCTTTCCTTATTTTTGTTCATAAATGTTTTTCTTCATCACTCCTTTTCTAGTTAATTAAGAGCGTATGCTTTGTTGTTGCAGATTTTTCATGTGTTATATCACACAGACAACAATGTTCTAGTAGGAGCTCCAACTGGAAGTGGGAAAACTATATCTGCTGAACTTGCAATGTTGCGTCTCTTCAGTACCCAGCCTGATATGAAGGTATGAGTTCTCAGTCTCCTAACGCTGGCTAATTATTTAATTTTAGTACATGTTTCAGCTTATTTACATGATTATGTTTAAGGTGAATTACCGGCCTGTTACCAAAACTCCCTATTTAAATGAATTCACTTCTTTAAAACGATATCAAACATTAGTTTAGTTTCTAGTGTTTTATTATCTTACTGAAGATGTCTAATTTTTGCGGCATGCAGGTTGTTTACATAGCACCACTAAAAGCTATTGTTCGAGAAAGAATGAAGGATTGGAAAAAGCATCTTGTGGCTCCACTTGGAAAACAAATGGTATACGGATGTTGCATGTTATAACGAATATTGTCGTGGAGCATCTATACTGACTATACATGTCGCAGACTCATAATCCATGCTTGCTGTTTCTTTTGGCTATCATATTTTATTCATATCACTCGCATTTCCACAGGTTGAAATGACTGGAGATTACACTCCAGATTTAGTAGCTCTGTTGTCTGCAGATATTATCATATCTACCCCTGAGAAATGGGATGGCATTAGTCGTAATTGGCATACTCGAAGTTATGTCAAAAAGGTATCTTTTTTTTGTCAATAGACCGCTGTGTCAGGCTTGCCTTTTTCGCGAGTGGTAACTTGTGATGTTCTGGGGATATAGGTCGGCCTTGTTATTTTGGATGAGATTCACTTACTAGGAGCCGACAGAGGACCCATCCTTGAGGTAGAAGCTTAAAGATTATTATATCACATTTCTTATACTTATGCTAAGCCCCACCAATTGCTTAGAAGTTTCCAGTCTTATCATGACACCTTTAATATCTCTCTGGTCTTAGTGAAGAGCTGATATTCCTTCGGCAACAAGTTTTTTCAGTGTTCTGTGCTCAACTCGATTTATCTTCAATGTACATTTGGTTTCCAGGTTATTGTGTCTAGAATGAGATACATATCATCACAGACAGAGCGGGCCGTTCGGTTTGTTGGTCTTTCTACTGCTCTGGCAAATGCAGGGTCCGTATTCTAACTTATTTGTCTCTTTGAATTTTGTAGGCTCTTTTCTGTGAATATATTTATTTGCTTTTGTCTTCTTGAGTTAACCATTAAACATGCAACTGAATGTTCGAGCTGGTAGACTGTTATTCATGTATTTACTGTGCTAAGGATACTATGCTTGTAGTATGATATCCGACTGAAGGACATTAAATTATAGTCTTATCTACTAAAAATGTAACTGTCGAAGATGTCCTAAGAAATACCTCAGTCTCGATTTTTCTGGTAGCCTTTTTCCCGTATTTCACTCCCAAGATATGAAACTGTTAATTCAGCTTATTCTCTCAAGTTCAATGTGCTGAAATCTTCTGGTTGTAGCATCGGTTTTCTTGGGTAAGTTTATGATTTTGACTTGATGGTCCATTACATTCAGTGATTTGGCTGACTGGCTGGGTGTTGGGGAAATCGGACTTTTCAATTTTAAACCAAGTGTCAGACCTGTACCAATTGAAGTTCATATTCAGGTAAGCCGATATTTTTTCTCTACCTTAAACAAAACTTCATTACGTTTCCTACACTGTACTTGACTATCAAAATTTCATTATCTTGAGCTGTTTTATTATCATTTTTGGTGGGTGGGTTGAAGCTATGCTAAACCATCAGCATATAAGATTTCCAGACTTAACCTTGTTTTTTCTTTCAGGGTTATCCTGGAAAGTATTACTGCCCCAGGATGAATAGCATGAACAAGCCTGCATATGCAGCCATATGTACCCATTCACCTACAAAACCTGTTCTTATCTTTGTGTCATCTCGTAGACAGACAAGGCTAACCGCACTGGATCTTATTCAGGCATGATTTATCATCAAACTCAGACACCAAATCATCTTCCGACTATTTAACTCTAAATAATATTATTTTGTATCTGTCTTTTCCTATGAATTAAAGTTTGCGGCCTCAGACGAACATCCGCGGCAATTTCTGAGTGTGTCAGAGGAAGACTTGCAGATGGTCCTTTCTCAGATCACTGACCAGAACCTCCGACATACGTTGCAATTTGGCATTGGATTGCATCATGCAGGTTTGAATGACCACGATAGATCTGTAGTGGAAGAGCTTTTCGTGAACAACAAGATTCAGGCACTTCCCTTAACTTATGCCCTCTCCGGCCTTATTGTTTACACCCATGATTACGATTTTACATCAAAGAGTGATGATGGATGCCATGCTTCCATTTCAGGTTTTGGTCTCAACAAGTACCTTGGCATGGGGAGTGAACCTACCAGCTCACTTAGTTATTATAAAGGTAAATGCAAATCCTCTGCTTTGACATTGTATCTAATCCGCATGTGGTGTTTGGAGTCACTCTCCATATTTTCTCTTCTAACGATTTGTTTTTTCCTTTTTATTACTGTTGTCGTTGGCAATGTTTTCTGATGACTCAGGGAACAGAATATTTCGACGGAAAAACCAAAAGATATGTTGACTTTCCTCTTACAGAGATCTTGCAAATGATGGGGCGTGCAGGACGTCCACAGTTTGATCAACACGGGAAAGCGGTTATTCTTGTACATGAACCCAAAAAAAGCTTCTACAAAAAGGTCAAGCACTATTGAGATTCTCTGACGATCTTAATATCCTGTGCATGAATTTACCTCATCTATCATTTTTCCTCTGAATGCAGTTCTTGTACGAACCATTCCCGGTAGAAAGTAGCCTGGAAGGGAAGTTGCACGATCACTTTAACGCAGAAATAATCTCTGGGACAATCGGCAACAAAGAAGACGCCGTGCACTATCTTACATGGACGTATTTGTTTCGTAGACTGGTAACTATTCTTCACATTTTATCAAAAAGAGAGACACCGCTAGAGAATTCAGTACTGGTTCCTATGGGAATTTATGCAAAGTTCATAATCAGTTTTTAAGCGCTGGTTATTTTTTCTTTTAAGAGTTTCTCCGTTGCTGCGAACTGTTGTGTCCGTGAATCAATGTCTTACAATATGAGTGTCTATGTAACAGATGGCTAATCCTGCTTACTATGGGCTAGAAGGTACTCAGGATGAAACAGTGTGTGCCTTCTTATCAAGGTATATACCAAAATTATTTTATAAAGAAGGTTTCTCTAATAAGTAGTTAAGAACCATTATGACATAGGGGTATATGGGCGGGTTATCTTGTAGATTGGTGCAAAACACGTTTGATGATCTTGAAGACAGTGGATGCCTCAAAGTAACGGAGGATGGTGTAGAGCCTATGATGCTGGGTACAATAGCATCACAGTATTACCTTTCCTACATGACTGTGTCTATGTTTGGTTCTAATATAGGGCCCGACACGTCGCTCGAAGTAAGAAGCTGAACCGATCAGCTCTAATTCGTATCAAATTTGAGCACGAATGTAATTTATGCACGAGATTTTGATGTTTTTTTGCCACAACCCTTTTAGGCATTTTTGCATATTTTGGCGGGAGCGTCTGAGTATGATGAACTTCCTGTGCGGCACAATGAGGTCCGTTTCTGTGTTCACACTCTTGGTACTTGGAAATTATATGGTTTTATCTTAGAATAGTATGTTAAGAGATAAGCTGTCTACAGTTTTCGCTCTTGATGTTCTTTATGCCCTCTTCTTCCCTAGGAAAATTACAACAAAACGCTGTCAGAGAAAGTTCGGTATCCCGTGGATAAGAACCATCTAGATGATCCTCATGTGAAGGCGAATCTGCTCTTCCAGGTATGTACTTTTCACATTACCATGCATTGAAGGATATTAACAAATATCCAAACTGTATTACAAAGGATGATCGAATTACAAAGTTTATGATTGTGAGTATTTCTTTAAAATGCACGACTTGTGGTGCTCCAGGCACATTTTTCTCAGTTGGCACTTCCAATCAGTGATTATAACACGGATCTAAAGTCAGTCTTGGACCAAAGCATCCGAATCCTCCAGGCCATGATTGATATCTGCGCAAACAGTGGATGGCTCTCAAGCTCACTGACGTGCATGCATCTCTTGCAAATGGTCATGCAGGTACTCTCCTGATGATTACTACTCTTATCTTATTCCACTTCTATGGAAGCAGAGAACCAATACTAATCGCCTTTACTTGATACAATTCTCTTTTTTAATTCTAGGGCATGTGGTCGGATCAAGATTCGTCATTATGGATGATTCCATGCATGAATGATGATCTTCTAGGATCTCTAACCGCGAGAGGAATCCACACGCTGCATCAGCTATTAGATCTTCCAAGAGAAACTCTAAAAAGTGTAATCGGAAACTTCCCTGCATCCAAATTATCTCAGGTAACAAAACTTCTCGCAAATTGGTCACAGCTTTTTCTTTTACGCATCAAATATGTTCACTTCATGAACTTGTCTATACTCTGTGGTCTTTATTAGGATCTCCAGCGATTTCCGCGGATCCGAATGAATGTGAGGCTCCAAAAGAAGAATTCTGATGACAAGAAGAAGCCTTCGACGCTGGAAATCAGATTGGAGAAGACATCAAAGAGTAATAGCTCGAGGGCGTTGGCCCCTCGGTTCCCAAAGGTTTCGCGAAAGACTTTCCACAGATTTTACTTTGAGCACAAAACAAAAAATGTGTGTGGGGATGCATAAATATTTCATCACGTTTACTTGAACTTTATAGGTGAAAGACGAAGCGTGGTGGTTGGTTCTAGGTGATACTTCAACTTCGGAACTCTTTGCTGTGAAGAGAGTTTCGTTCACTGGTCGTCTAATTACACGAATGGAGTTACCTCCCAACATAAACTCTCTTCAGGTCCATTTTTTCTTCTTCTTTTTGTTCTTATTAAAACTCTTTATCTCATACAATTGTGCAAAAGATGTAAATGGAGTGTTTTCCGTCGCTGAATTTGTCGTCTTTACTGTTGGTCAGGATACGAAACTAATCTTGGTTTCGGATTGTTATTTGGGATTTGAGCAAGAACACTCCATTGAACAACTTGCACGTCGCTGATGAGCCATCAGATGATGATTGATACGAGGGAGTCGCTGATGAGCCCTTATTTTAATGGAACTTTTTTGATGCTGACGAAATTCAGCATTTTTTTTCTTTTGTTAATGTAAAACCAAAATCAACAAAAATGCAAATGTTATACGGTCTTACCCGTTTTGGGACTAAATAGTAGTTTAGGAGTTAACTTTTTTGTTAACACAAAGGATAATACACCATCTATAATTATTTTAATTAGTATTATATCATACAATATATAAAAGTTGAAGGCATAGTGCATCGAAGGCGTTCACATATGATTAAAAAATCAAATCTGATTGGTCTATATCAACATATTCATTAAATAGAAAAATGTCAAGTATGATTAAAATGGAAAAACTTGATTTAATTGGTCTATATCAACATATTTATTAAATCAGAAAATATTAATATGGTTTAAATTAAAAGTTAAATAAAAAATTAACAATTAACAATACATGTATAAAAAAATAACTATTATCATATATCAATTTAAAAAAATTTACAACAATTCAATTTAATAATTAAAATAATAAAAATTAAATAAAAATATAACATAAAACTCTTGGTAGACATGATGCAGAAGGAAAAAATGGTTTTGTATGATCATTACAACTTCTTAACAAAATTAAATACGAATCATAGATTATATATACAGTGGTACACAGCATCAATAAGACTTTCAATAAAACTAAATATTTGAACACATAAACCTTTAAGAAAAAAAGAACTATAGAAATTCTATGGAAAACAGAAAATAATACTAAAATCTTAACAAGATTATAATTCTCTAAATCAAATGTATATGTACATCAAAATTGGATAATTCGATATATATCATTGTTATAATTTTATCTAATAGTCTTTTTAAAGTTTATAAATAAAAATAAGATAAATTACACATTATATATTAAATTTTATTATATAAATAAAAATTTCTATAAATATATATAATTTTTAATAATCTTAAAGATAGTAGCTAAAAAATAAACTAAAATATTAATACAGACTCGCTTACGTGCGAGTTATATAGCTAGTAAATTTAATAAATGAACAATTCGATCACATGATTTGATGTCTTTATATTTAATTAAAACGAGTCTAGTTCCAGACTACATTTATAACAAAGTTGAGGAAGCGAGTGTGGGAAAGATTTAATAACTATTTTTTAATCTTCGTCACTGTCATAAACGATGGCCATACGACGATGAGTCGAAACTTTTCTCGGCGGAGACTCCTCCTCGTCGGACTCAATCCCTTTCCTTTTCCGGCTACTCCCACGGCCCTTATCTGCCCTTACCCCCTGCATTCACCATACCATAACAATGATCTCCCTCGTTAGCAAATAACAAGAGATAATAAAACCTTTTTTTTTTTACCTTGCGTACCTCAGCTTCTTCTTCTTCGTCTTCCTCTGAATATCTGTTAGCCTTTCCTCCTTCCTCCTCCTCATCTTCTTCTGCATCTTCCTCATACTCATCTACTGGTTCCTTGACCCTTTTACGGCGCGGTGACTTTTCCTCCTCTTCTTCTTCTTCTTCAGTCTCATACTCTGATTCCTCTCTCTCACTCTCAGAATACTCGTCTTGACGACGCCTTGACGGTCTCGCTGAAGTCCCTGAAGACCTCCCCGGAAAGCCTTTGTGGCTCTGGTTTAACCCGAGGGAGAGAAGCGGTTAAATAATTGCTTAATTTCGCATTCCAAGACAAATTAAACCTTAACGTGTTTACCTTTTTGGCGTTCATAATTCGCCGTTCCCGTAGCGCCTCTGCTTCGAGATCCTCCTCGTAGCCACGGTTTGAGCGGTAGTGGTCTGTCTCCTCATCCTAGTTTTATGTGAAAAAAAAAAACAGTCGTTGCTGGTGGAATCTTTGCTTCATAAAAGGAAAGAACACATAAGTATAGAAACAGACCTCTTCAAGAGCTTCTTCCAAGTACCCTGTGGAAAGTCGTCTCCTCTCAGCAGGAAGTGGATACTTGCGCTTGATTTTCTCCCTCGCTTGACTCAGCTTTGTACTAGCCTTGAGGTTTTGGCTTTCCGCCTTGAGTATTTGAGATATTAAATTAGAAAAGTATACAAACTCTATCATGAAATTACAGCTTTTAATAATCTGAGCTCAGTTAAGAGGTTACCCTTTCTCTCTTCTCCTTCTCCCTCTCGGGGTCAATGTCAGTGACACAGTTCTTAACTTTGTAGGACTTCTTGTGCCTCGAATCAACAAGGGCAGTCAAAAGCCTATGGGAGTTTGACGTTAGAGATGATGGAATAAATCTCATTTTCTTCAGAATTCTTCCTTGTGATTGAAGGATTCCCTACAACGACACCCAAATAAGGCAAGAGATTATTTTCAGATTCTAGACCACTTTGCCATATAGTAAAGAGAATCATATGGGTCTTCTGAAAGCAATCAGTTGCCTCACAGGAAGCTTTCAAGTCCTACGAGGATAAGTAATTACAGATCGATCGAGTAATTTAGGCACAAGGAATGGCGAAGTAACACCTTTTCATGTTTAATTAAAAGGTGATTCTGGTCTTGTTGTGCATCTTGTTCAGTTATATCAAGAACTTCGTTTCCTATCAATAGCTGTAAGCTTCCATCTGACCACCTTACAAACCTAGCATTACTTTCACTCTGCATATGAGCATAACGGCACATTAGCAGACTGCAGAAGAAGTAAGAAACAAGTAGAAGAACTAAAGGATTAGAAGAACTGCTGAACAGAGACAGTAAAATCTCATTCCAACCAATATGAACACATTCGTAATGAAAAGCACAAAGTAACCTAATCCGGAATACATAAATTGCATCAAAAATATGTTCCTGTATTAACATCATTAAACATTATATTTATCAGCAAATTATTTGAAAGTTTACCAAGAAATGCCAGTTCATGAAATTGGTACATATAAGAAGTTAAAGCAACATGAAAAATACATAGCATCATCACAGCTTTGATGGAAAATTTAAAAGGAGAAAAGGTTTGAAGAAGTGTACTTACATGTGTTTTGCCATCGCGACCCTTAACAAACCTATGGCGAACAATATTATTTCCCAGACGAATACGCGTCTTGGCTCCAGATTCATCTGTCTCAAATGTCTCTTCTTCAACAAAAGTCTTGGCATCAAATGGCTTTGGATCAATGCCCATGATATTGGAAACTTTTATCATGTTCATCTGAAAAAGATCAAAGAGGGAAAAGGTAATGGGAAAAGTTAACCACTTTATTTTTGGGATAGAAAATGGGGTTTCAAAATACAAGACTAAATAGCATTCTCCTGTACAGCAAATGACCCTTCATGCTACGTATATGGAGAAGAGAACCATGTTTCAACGCAATGGTTCTCCACATAATAGACATCAGATACTCACTCTTCGGAACCACAGTGATATGAATTTGACGTTTTGAGAACTTGGAAGTATCAGAAAGGAAAATCCACTAGACAACGAGCTATTGATTCGAATATTTTAGCAACATAAAGAACATATACCTTTATGGGATCACCTGGAGGAGGGCGAAAAGGAACCTCCACTTCCAAAGGGGGCCCAACTGGCCTCTCCCTATGCCTAGCTTCAACATGGTCAACACGCTCATCTTCTGACTCGTATCGAGGATCCTCTTCAGGGAGCATATCATCATCAAGCACCGTATCGTCCTGTCTCAGATCCTTCTCAGAGCCCTCTTCATCTTCGATTGGCGATCTCTGGAAAATTAGACATATCAGCATACATATCGTGCAAAGTCATATGATTTCTAAAAGGAAGCAGAAACTGGAAAAAGAAACAGCCAACTCACGGGTTCATCAGGCTCAACGTCATTACGAACATATTCTTCTGCATCTTCATCATCCGAAGATCCAAATACATTACGGATATTCACGTCTGACTGTGCAACTGGAGCCTCTTCCTTCTCCTCACTAGGTGATCTACACGCCATTCCATTTTTTTTCCAATTACAGTGAATCATAAGAAAACTGGCAATCCAAGGAATCTCGGTCCCAAGTTCAGAAGATAGAGAGAACAAAAAAAGGGGCTACCTTGGACTCCTATTCTGATCAACCTCTTCCTCTTCAGACTCGTAATGCTTTTCGCCAGACCTCTCTGATCCACTCTCAACAACATCTTGTCTCCTGTTCGTGGCTACTCTTTCCTCATCTCCGTCTTCGTCTTCTTCTTCTTCTTCTTCGCTTTCCTCCCGTGGATCAGCAACATCACCCTCCTGTGAACTTTGCTCCCTCTCACCCTCACTTTCTCCAGGATCAGGTTCTACATCGCCCTGTTCCTCCCCATCAGATTCGGCTTCAGCTTCAGCCTCTCCGTGAACCTCAACCTCAACTTCGCCTTCTTCTTCAGGCTCCACCCCGCCCTCAGCCTCATCCTATTGGTGTTATGATTGTAAAGTTCAGCCACATTGGATAATTCCGTTTTATCGAAAAAGACGAGAAATCAAACAACACCGTCGATTTACATATCTACTTGAAATCAGATAATAACAATAACATACGATTCTGAATTAGGCCTAATCACTTGCATTTTGCTCTTGCGATTCACTTGCAACACTAAATTCAGCTCAGAAGGATTTCAGAAACCCATCGCAATACAGAAACATAGCAAGGTAACTCGAGAAAACAGTGGCGGAAATCGGAAAAAAGAAAACAATAATAATAACGAAACAATCGGTAGAAAATGAACGAAACACTTTAAGAGGTAAAAGAGAAGGAGAGTTACGGAAGGATAGTTGGGGTGAGGATTGGACTCGTGTTCGGAATCGATCTCTTCTTCCTCGGAATTATCTCCGAAGAGATTCTGCATCATCTCAGACCTCTTTACTTCTCCTGCTACCATCTTCGCCTCTCTTTCTCACAGTCACTCCCTCTTTCCTCGTGACGGTGATCGTGATCTGAGCTCCGGCGGAGGGTTCACTCTTTCGGCCTTAGGTTGGACGTGTTTTTTTTTCTTTTTCTTTTTGCAAGTTTAATAAGAAACAAAGTAGAGAAATTAAAATCGCTCAAGATTTGGGTTTGTTTTGTTAAAAAAATTCTTATCACTTCAATCTTAACAATTTAAAACTTCTTTACTTTTTTGCAAACTCTATATAACTTTTGTAAAACTGGGACCCGCTTAGCCGCTACGCGAATTTCGTTTTTGTCTTTCATCGAATAATTAATTTTAAGATGAATAAACGAGGTAAAAATAAAATATAATATGACAGATTGAAGTTTTCGGAAATGAATGAAAACCCAAACAAGAAAAACTATAAATCCCAGACAAAGAAGAACAGAAACTAAAACTAAACATATGCTAACATGAGTAGCCCGAACAGAATTGAAAAAAATTGAGTTTCAAATGCCAAAAAAGATGAAAGGAAAGTTGACCTTTTCCAAAAAAACAAAACTGTTACGAGAGCAATGTTTTCATCCACAAGAAAACAAATATGTGTTCGAATATCCATGCGACGACTACACCACTGCTGAAATGTTATATTACGACCAAATTCCTAAAACCTAAACTGATACAATATGGACATGATCACAAGACCGTAAGAGGAAGACCCGAAAGCAAAAAGCAAGAGGAGAATACTTATCATTATACATCTCTCGGGTAATAATACTTTACAAGTCTGCCCTCTGCATGGGACTTAATAAACCCCTAATTTAAAAGAGAGTCCAATAATTAAGATGGCGCTAAACGTGATAACTTTGGGATTTTATGATACTTCCCTAGTCTTTTCATATAATTTTTCGTGGAGAGCCTGAAGGCTGAAACCAATTTTTATTCGCTTGTACGTTGACCAAAATAATGTTTTCACATACATGATACGTCATACACGCATGGCTTGGCTTCGCTGTTATATAGTATATAATAGTTGAGTCAGTTGAATTGGTGAATAAACTCAAGGACGAATACAATATTGTGACCCTCTATCAAGAGAGTCTGTGGGATAACGAAAGAGGAGTTCAAGTGAGAGATGGCGTTAAACGTGATCAAGATCTCCCGAGTCAGCCCTTCGACCGAACTGATCGACCCGCTCATTATCCCACTCTCTTTCTTCGATCTACAGTGGCTAAAACTCAATCATATCCAGCAAGTCTTCTTCTACAAACTCACCGAAACATCTCGCGACTCCTTCTACTCCTTGATCCTTCCCAAACTCGAGCGATCTCTTTCCCTCGCCCTCACGCACTTTCGCCAGCTCACCGGTCAACTCAGATGGGATCCACAAGATCCCAACCCGCTCCTCTTCGTCTTCCCACAAGACGCTGTCTGCTCACAGTCGCAGAGACCGATGCGGACTTCTCCCGTATTTCTGGCAAAGGGCTTCGTCCCGACCTAGAGTTACGCGGTTTAATACCCGACTTACCGGTTTCTCCTCACTCGGCGTCTGTGCTTTCTATTCAAATCACCTTGTTCCCGAACCAAGGCTTGTGCATTGGAACCACAGTCCACCATGTCGTCATGGACGGTAAAACAGCTGCAAATTTTATCAAAGCATGGGCTCACACCTGTAGATACGGAACCATACCGGAAGATATACCAACGCTTTTAGATCGTACGGTCATCAATGTCCCATCCGGACTCGTACAGAGGATGACTGAACTTCTACCGTATCTCCTGCCGGACAAAGACAACAACAACGCCAAAAACCTAAAGCTGCCTCCCATCAAAGATATCAACGACGTCGTCCGGACCACGCTCGAACTGACTCAAGAGAACATCGACAAACTCAAGGAGAGAGCCAAGAATGAGTCAAATCGTTCTAAGCTTCGCTTATCAACGTTCGTAGTCACGTACGCCTATGTATGGACCTGCATGGTGAAGGCGCGTGGAGGCGACAACGACGCGGATCGTCCCGTTCGTTTCATGTACGCTGCTGATTTCAGAGAACGGTTAGACCCACCGGTTCCTGCGGCCTACTTCGGGAACTGTGTCTTACCCATCGATTTTTACGGATACAATGCCAAGACGTTTTTGGGAGAAGATGGATTTGTCAACGCCGTACACATCCTCACCGACTCGGTCAAAGGTTTGGTTTCCAAAGGGGTTGAGTCAATATGGAAGGTGTACGAGGAAGGAACGAAAAGGATGGAACCGGGTACACAGTTGTTGACCCTTACCGGGTCTAACCAGTTTGGGAGCTACGAGGCGGATTTTGGATGGGGAAGATCCGTTCATACTGAGATTTTGTCTACTTATCAGAACGATGAGTTCTCTATGTCGAAGAGGAGGGATGAAGCTGGTGGCGTGGAGATTGGCATATCTTTGAAGAAATCTGAGATGGATGTTTTTCTTTCTTTATATGAAAATGGTTTGGAAAAACTCAGCTTCAATACTTCTAATGGTGGACTAGGGGAGTTTTCAAATGGAGTGCGCTGCTTGAAGGTCTCAGGTTCAAATCTTGCTAGGGGTTAATTAACTTGCTTATCCAAGAGACCAAAAATAAATTATTGGGAAACTTTTAAGAAATATATATTATGGAGTCTGAGTACTCAAAATTTTTCTTCTTATCTTGTTATGATTATTAGTTGAATAATCGTGCTATGCGCGGATTGTTGCTGAATGAATCTACTCTTGAATAAATTTTCAGTGTTTTGTTTGTATTTTCTTTGAAATGTGATACTTTATTTTATAATGAGCACTTGAACAATAAATTATAATCGATTGTTAACGTATTAGCAAATCCATATTCTCTCGAAATTTTTATATTTTGTAATGAGCACTTGAACAATAAACTATAAAACCTATCGTTAAATGATTATTATAAGACTCATATATTCAAATGTTATTAGAAAATTAATGTTATTTTAAGACATACGGTCTTTTTTTTAACGCTTTGGTGCTTCAATAATAAAAGAGGAGAAAGTTGGGTTACAGTACCAAAAAGGTCACCACTGCAGTTTTATTTAATCTTGACCATTGTAAGACCATTGTAAACACGTTCAGTCGTAAAATAATCCGGATTTCAACAGGCCCCAACTAAAAAAATATATAAACTTACCAAGTTTAAATTACATATTAACGGCCCACATATATTTCATAGGCCCAGGAGTAGAGGACCCAAAACAATAAGGGTAATTATGTAAAGTCCTACGCCTTCCGTCTAAAAAACCCTAATTTCGCTTATCATATTCCTCTCAATCCCCCCCCACACTCAGATATACTCGTAAGCACGCCGAGCAGCGCCGACCACGAAGCACAAGGAGGAGAAGAAGAAAGGATCAGAGGCGCGGGAACAATGGCAACAGGAAAAACTGTGAAGGATGTCTCTCCCCACGAGTTCGTCAAGGCCTACGCTGCCCATCTCAAGCGCTCCGGCAAGGTAAATCTGCCGATTCGTCACTCTAATTTAGCGCTTTTTAGATTAGCTCGGGGTTCGGAATTAGGATTACCTCATGAGAGCTCGATGATCACTGTTTGAAAATGGCCGTAAAGTCAACGAGTATCTGAATCGTAGCTTGCTTTTTATACTGTTCCTTGTCATGTAGATTGAGCTGCCTCCGTGGACAGACATCGTCAAGACTGGTAAACTCAAGGAGCTTGCCCCATACGACCCTGACTGGTACTACATCAGAGCCGGTATGTATTTCACCATCTCTTTCATTTCTCGTTAACCGTGGAAAGCGTCTATGTTGTTCGCATCTGTTTTGTATCTGAGACAAAAGCTGTACTGTGAATAGCTTCCATGGCGAGGAAAGTGTACCTGAGAGGAGGTCTTGGAGTTGGTGCCTTCCGTAGGATCTACGGAGGAAGCAAGAGGAACGGAAGCCGTCCACCTCATTTCTGCAAGAGCAGTGGTGGTGTTGCTCGTCACATCCTTCAGCAACTCCAGACCATGAACATTGTCGACCTTGACACTAAGGGGTGAGTTTATCGTCTCTTGTTTACATGTTTCATGAATAGTAGCCTTGTGGATTCAATCATGATATGTTTGGGTAGCTAACGGTTACATATTGTGATGTAATCAGAGGGAGGAAGATCACATCGAGTGGGCAGAGAGATCTTGACCAAGTCGCAGGAAGGATCGCAGCTGCCATCTAAATCCAAATCGCAAGAGTTTTAAGGTTTATGTTTTGAGATATTAGTCATGGAATGAGTTTGCATTTGGAACCAGTAGTGGAATTCCTTTTGTCATTTTTGTTTTGATTTGAGTTTTTCTCTTTTATTCTCAGTGACTTATAATACATTTGATATTATCTTTGACCTTGTCTTCTGTTTATGGTTTTGCTACTCTTATATTCTCAACGTCCTATGGCTATGTGTTGCTTAGGTTGTTGTTGTGATACGTTTTCAAGTTTTGCAAAATTGTTTCTTTACACACGCAATTTGGAGTGTACAGTGAGGACTTTTACCTCAGACCTGGGTTTCTCTAAAGAATCGAATCCCATTTGCACTACTCTCATATAATGTACGTAATAATTCTTGTTAATCCGAACTATGTGGAAGCAAAACCGGATCATCAGTATCGAATATGTTTCATTGATTATAAACGGACTCTTGTAAACGAGACATGATCGTGGTGGAGAAATCCACTGTAGCAGTGAAGACAGCGGAAGCAATCGGTTCGTTAGTTTCGTCAATGTTCAACACGGTTTCCAGGAAAAAGAATCGCGGTTCTTGGATACGCGTTTGAGAAAGACACGGGAGATACGCGTGAGACGCCGGCGATCAGCGTTTGCAGAGGTTTACTTGGGGATAAAGCGAGCCAAAGCATTTATGATCCTCTGGTTTTCTAAACATCAGATCTTAAAAGGAATTAACTGCTGATATAATTGATTGGGACCGTCCAAGTAGATTAGCTGAGATAAGGCCATTGGGCTATGAAGATATGAAGGAAGTGAATGTGGTCTTTGATGCTTGTGAAGCAATGAAAGGGTGCTCATGGAGTCTAAATGGGATGAGTTTAAATCGCAGGATTTCGAGAGAACTTTTAGTGATATATGCAGAAACCGTCGTTTATGTTTGATGAGAGAAATGTTGTGGATGTTGAGAGACTAAGGAACATAGGGTTTATCGTGTATTCGATCGGGAAACCGTTGGATCCGTGGCTGAAGGATTAGCCATCGGTTGCTTGAAGAAGGGGTTACCAGGTCTTAGCAATCATGGAAGGATAAGTGTTATAATTTTCCCATTACTCTTTCAGATTCGTGTTAAAAGATCAGTAGGACTAGGACATGTCGCATTATTTATTTATATATAAGAGATATGAACGTTTCTATTGACTGCCATAACTTTACATAATATCATAGTCTAATAAAACCAAACGGATATAACCGATGAAAATTTTAAAAATGAAAATTCACTTCGAGATCAATCTAAATTCAATACCTAAATTCAGTTGCGTGATCGCTAAGTAAGAAACCAAATAAAATGGTTACGTATTTTCTGAAGAATAAGTTGAGATATTTATGGCGCATTTAGTATTATCCTCTACAAAAACGAAGGGGGAAAAAATGTTAATTAGCAGATGATTTCGTAATCAGAATATACTTACCAAGTTCGCTAAACGGCTAAACCCCATTTCCGGACCTAAAAGCTCATTTCAAATTTAAATGACAAAAATACTCACTTCAAATTTAAACTCCACAGAACAAAGCATATTATTATTATATATACTCCACTTAGTTAGGGGCGTTACTGTTTCCCGTTAGCCTAGTTAAGTACTCGTTGCCTCTTTATATTCCCAGTTCAAAAGCTTACACAACCCCTAACCTGTTTCTCAATTTATTTGCCAGTCCACATTAGGGTTTTACTTTGCAGTAAGCGAACGTTGCGGTTCTCAAGGATTGGGATTCACTCGGCGTCGCCATCTCTCCCCTTGACGTCACCAATCCCGTCGCTCCTTTAATGTCCTCCAACGGCGTCTTTGTGCCCAGCAATGTCTCTGCGGAGGCGGATTTCGCTGCGGCGAAAACGTCCGTGTGGTGGGACATTGAGAACTGCAAGGTTCCTAAGGGCTGTGACGCTAATCGGATTGCTCAGAACATTAGATCCGTTCTGTTGAAAAGTAACTACAGTGGTTCCCTCATCATCCATGCCTATGGTGACACCACTCGAATCCCTTCCTCTGTACAGAAAGCTCTCTCCTCCACCGGCGTATCACTCAACCACGTCCCCGCTGGTAAGTTTTCTCTCTATAGTATCAGCTGATTCTTTCTTCAATAACCGATAAATGGTTTCTACAAGGCTTTAGTTTGTAGTCTTCAAAGGATAAGGTGTCTCAAGAGTGTCTGAGTTCTTGGTTAAACAGGAGTGAAAGACGGGAGCGACAAGAAGATCCTTGTGGACATGATGCTGTAGGCAATGGAAAATCCAGCTCCTGCAAATTTGATGCTCATCTCTGGTGATAGAGATTTCTCTTATGCTCTTCACCAACTCGGGATGAAGCGGTATAATATTCTTCTGGCAAGACCTGAGAAAGCATCAGAGCCGCTCATCGCTTCTGCAAAGACTGTATGGTTATGGACAAGCATTGCTACTGGGGATCGTCCTAACACAAGCCATCTGGTTCCTCCGCCCAGAAACCGGACGGATTCATATTTGTCACGTGGGACAAAGAGGTGCAGGAGTTACTGTGAGTTATGCAATGTTAAATGCTCAAACCATGATTTAACCGCTCACCTCTCTGGCAAAAGGCACAGAGCTCAGGTCAAGTACACACTTTTTTTTTTGTTTGTGCTTGTTGTCCTCTCCTTGAGCCCAACCTAGTGATCACTTTTAAATTTTTTTTCTTTATTCAACTTGTGTAGGCTGTGCTTGTAGCCCGTGAACGCCCTCGTGTGCGTGTCAGTAATTCAACCGAACCAAAGTCTTTGTGGTGCGGAGTTTGCGAGATCGGTTTCCAAAGCGAGGCTAGTTATGAAAATCACATCTTAGGGAGTGACCACCAAAACGAACTTGAAGATCAAGCCGAACATTCCCGAAATCGCGATTATTTGCTGACGTCGCTTAACAACAAATGCTTAAAACTATTAAATACAGTAATGATTGAAGAAGTTGCTTGTTTCGTTTTCTTTCTAGTGGTTTCCCAGCACTGGAGTGGTTTCCCAGAACTTGAGAGGAAGATAGGGTTTAATTGTATTCGATTGGGAAACCACTACAGTAATGATTGTATTCTCGGAAATATTTGGTCGATGGGATAGATTCTCGCTGATCTTTTTTTAAAATCGCAAATATTTGGTCGATGGAATCTGATTTGCGAGAATCTATCCCATCGACCAAATATTTCCGATTTAAAAAAAAGATAATTTATATATTTACTGCGCATTTAGCTGTGAGGAGTATGGTAATATTCTCGTATAGATTGACCAACTTTGTTAAACGTCTTAACTCCTAATACTCATTTCAAATTCAAGTTTTAAATTCCACAAAGCATATACTCCACTTATCTAGGGTGTTTTCCGTTCTAAAGATCATAACTTGATGCCCATATCTGGTGACAGAGACTTCTCTTATGTTCTTCACAAATTGGGGATGAAGGGGTACAACATTCTTCTGGCACGGCCTGAGAAAGCATCATCGTTGCCGCTCATTGCTGCTGCAAGGACTGTATGGTTATGGACAAGCATTGCTACTGGAGATTTTCCAAACATGCCCGTTGATGGTCGACGTGATCATCACCTTTTTGCCTCTGAGGTTCCTAAACAAGCTCAACCAAGCAAGAGAGTGGATTCAGATTCGGTATGTGGAAGCGAGGAGAGGCGCCTGAGTTTCTGTGTGAATTATGCAATGTTTCTTGCTCAAACCATGATTTAGCCGCTCACCTTTCTGGTAGAAAGCACAGAGTCAAGGTAAAAAAGTGAAAACTATCCTCTCCTTTTTTGTGTGTGGGTTACTTCTATAAGCGAATGATGTGACTTGTGACACAAGGTAAGTTTTGACAAGTGTTTTTTCCCCTAAACTTGTGTAGGCCATGATAGTAGCCCAAGAGTTAATAAAAAAAAACCTGTCTTTTAATAAAGTTTCATCTTGATAGCTTTTTTAACTTTTTTATTTTGGGTAGGGTAACAGTTTATACATTTTGACGAATGAAATTCTTGAATAAGATATAACATTTTTAAATTGGGTTGAAATTCTGACAGTTTATCTTCCCTGAAAAAGCTTTCATCATTAACTTAGAGCCTTAAGCCGTAGCCGTAGGCATGCGTACAGTTTTTTAGTAGGCTATTATCATTTTTCTCGTATTATCTTACTTTTTAGCTTTTTATCCGTCGTTAGCCGAACAAAAACACTCCATTTGATTCCTAGAAAAGATAAAAGTTACCGCCATTTCTCTTGAACCCTAACTCTAAGTTCCAGCGGAAAAAAGGAAGAAAATGATGAAATTAAAGCTGACGTTAGCTTCGCTTTCACGAGCTCTCCCTTTCTCAAAATTTTTCCGGGAAGTTATGGCGGGAAGGGCTAAAACATTAGAGAAGGGCGTTGCGCAGAACGTGACCAAACTAATCCTTCCTTTTGCTCAACAGCGACTGTCTCTAAGTGGCGTAGGGCTCAAGTGTCTAGCTACGGCGGCGACGAGGGGAGAAGCAGCGGCGGACGTGGAAATTCCTAGTGCGAAAACTTCAGTGTGGTGGGACATAGAGAACTGCGAGGTCCCCAAAGGCTATGACGGCCACAGGATTTCTCGAGACATTGAATCGGCTTTGTTGAAAAAGAACTACAGTGGTCCGCTCACCATTTATGCCTATGGCGACATCAATCAAATCCCTTACTGTGTACAACAAGCTCCTTAATCACGTCCCTCCAGGTTCATATCTCTAACTCTCTCTCTCTCTCTCTCTCTCTCTCTTTAAATCGGATATGGTATAATAATTGTATGTCTTTGGTTTCTTATAGTCACCTAGTTTGTAGTTTTAAATGGTGATTTAGGTGTCTTTGATGCATGGTGTGATGTAACAGGAGTGAAAGACGGGAGCGACAAGAAGATCCTTGTGGACATGTTACTGTGGGCAATGGAAAACCAAGCTCCTGCTAACATAGTGCTCATCACTGGTGATGGAGATTTCTCGTATGTTCTTCACCGACTGAGTAGGAAGGGGTACAACGTTGTCCTAATACGACCTGAGCGTGCATCAGCCACGCTCATCAATGCTGCCAAGACAGTGTGGTTTTGGAGGAGCATAGTTGCTGGTGGCTCAGGCTCCGAGGTTCCTAAACAAGCTGAGTCCAGTAAGCGTATGAACTCGGGTTTGGCCGTTAAAAGCAAGAGTAGCCAGAGATTCTGTGAAACTTGCATTGTTACTTGCTCAAGCTTGGTTGATTTCAACTCTCACCTCTCTGGTAAAAACCACAAGAGAAAGGTAAAACGATTTATTTTTTTATGTGCGCTTGTTTTTATTGTTGCACAAAATCTAGAGTTCACTTTCAGCAAATTGATTTTGATCCCAAGCATCCATTTTTTCAGTTTTAAGTAGTCCATATAATGTGATGAAGGAACTCGTAACCTCTTCAAGAACCAACGAGATTAGATGTGTGGCACATATGTTAATAACTTTATATTTGTCCTTGTTGTTGTAGTCTTAAGGTTGAACATTTATTTCTGAATTGGGTTTTTCTTGTGTAGGCCGCGCTAGCCAGACAAAGCGCTCATGTCACTGAAAAAACCCTGTGGAGTAGCATTTGCCAGGCCCATTATCAATCAGCTGAACATTCATTTTTCAGGACGAAGACACAAAAACAAACATAACGTTCAAGTCGGGCATTCTAGCTAATCTCTCTCTAAAATTAGATTTTGAATGAAAGTAATTGCATTTAGGTTTTGTAATATCTCCAAACTGGATTTTGAGGTCTTCCCTTGGTACTTGCAACTTGGTAACTTTTGTTTTGGGGAAAATTTGCTCCTAGAGAGAATTCAGATTCCAGAGATTGTATACACTGTTTCTTGGCACGGTAACATTTATACATTATTCTCTTTGGGAATTCTCAAGCCTAAGCATTATACATTCAGATTTTTGAAACTCTCAAGCCTAAAAAAAATCTAGTATTATGACAAAGTATAAAAACATTAAAGTTTGTTCTTCTGAAGAAATTTGAGGGTTTTTTTTTTTGTTTTTCTTCCAGCAAAAAAAAAAAAACTGGATAACGTAACGGCTTAGGCATGCGTGCATCTATTTAGAAGGCCTAATTATTATTAATGTTTATAATAAATCCTATTTTCGAGTTTTTTTCCTGCTAATTAGTAATTACCGATGGGAGGAGATACTGCCTCGAAAGTACAACGGCTATTATATAGGCTTTATAGGCAATACAGTATATCTCATTGTCTGATTGGCGCGCTTTTAATTTGCTGACGTGGCTTAAAATTTAATTAAAAAAATAAAGTAGTATACAGTGTATTTCTAAGTTGTTCGTACAAAGAAATAAATGCAAAAAGCAGACCACAAGAGAAAAGCGAAAGGTTCCTTCGTCGACATGGTAATGAAATAAAATGGGGGTGGAGACTTCTTAGTAAACAATCAGATGTGAGGTTAGGTGACTCCATACCTTAGCAGCTACGATCTCCTCCGGTAGAAAGAGAATTTTTTTTTTTTGTTCAGTCAGTCTTCTGCTTCATCTTAAAGAACAACTGTGTTTTCTCTCAAAAACAAAACTCTGGCGATGGCCACGGCGGAGTACTCGAGGGCTAAAACGTCGGTGTGGTGGGATATAGAGAACTGCGAGGTACCGAAAGGCTGGGATGCACACGCGATTGCTCAGAATGTGAGTTCGGCTTTGCTGAAGATGAATTACGGTGGTCCTGTCTCAATCTCCGCCTACGGCGACACCAATCTGATCCCTCACGCTGTTCAGCAAGCGCTCTCTTCTACTGGTGTTGGTCTTAATCACGTTCCTGCAGGTTCTATTCTTCATTAATCCATCTTTTGTTTCTTTCCCAGCATTTGGGATTTTGGGCTGTTGGTTTTCTCTGATACTGTTTGTGGTTAGATGATGCGATTCCAAGATCTTAACTTTTTTCAGGGACTTGACTTTCTGTTCATTGTGCTATGCTAGTTATTGAAATGGGTTTTCATCATATTGACTTTTGAGTTGCTCTACGTTGACAAATTTTGATAAAAACCGAGTCTTTGAGGTATATTATCGGTTGTGTTAAGGTCAAAGATAAGATTGAGTAAGCACTTTTGCTGATATTATGAGTGTTTGGTTTTGAGTTTCTGTTGGTTAGTAAGATTAAGTTCTCAGTATATAGTGATTCTTCTAAGGTCGATTATAAGATTTAACTTGTGCTGTTTTGGTGGTGTGGACAGGAGTGAAAGATGCGAGCGACAAGAAGATCCTAGTGGATATGCTGTTGTGGGCCGTAGACAACCCTGCGCCGGCGAACATCATGCTCATCTCCGGTGACAGGGACTTCTCCAATGCTCTTCACCAGCTAAGTATGAGGAGGTACACCATTCTTCTGGCTCAGCCTCCACGTGCCTCTGCGCCGCTTGTTGCTGCTGCCAAATATGTATGGCTCTGGACTAGCCTAGCATCTGGAGGTCCTCCTCTTACAAGTGTTGAATCATCTCGACTGCTCAACAATGGGCGCTGTCATGTCTCTAATCCCGAAGTGTCAAAAGATCCTGTTCCTGAACAAGTTCAGTCTTGCAAACCAACTGGTTCAACTTCTGACGCTGGAGATACTAAGGATCTCAAAACCAGAGAAAACCAGAGGGGATCACCTCGTGAGACTAAAATGCTTCAGAATGGCAGAGGAGCCGCTAGTGAATCTGTTGCTTCTTGTGATAACTTCCAAAAGTTCACTTCACACCTCTCAGACAAAGGGAATACATCTCAGGTATACTAAATGTTTATCTATCCTTTCAGATCAAATCTACTCTGGGATTAGTTAGTATATTTTGTCATGACACTTGAGAAAGAAAAATAAGTTGTATGATTTCTTATATGCAGGGTGCTTTGGTAGCCAGTCGAAAAACTCAGGCCAACGTTTCAGCCAAACCGGTACAGGAAGCAGAGCTTTTGGAACCTGTGTTGTGCACTGTTTGCAATATTATCTGCAGCAGCAAGGATGCATATGCAAAGCACAAATATGGTAAAAGACACCGAAACAACTTGGAGCTGCAATCAGTTAAGTCAGAGAACATGTCACGGGGACCAGCTGCACTTCCTAATCAGGTTCTGGAGAAACCGAAGAATATGAGGAAGTCGCGTGAGGGTAGGAGTAAACCAAATGCTGACTTTGCTTGTCGTTTGTGCAACGTGACATGCCAGGCTCAAACTGTCTTTGATTCTCATCTGAGGGGTCAAAGGCATGCTTCCATGCTGAGTCAATCAGAGGCAAGTTTCTAACTTTTTGCTACTCAATATAACTTATATATTTACAAGCATACCAGATTTTAGAGTTTTTGTTAGTGTAGTGCTTGATATATTACCGTTTGTTCAGGCCCTCATTGATTTTAAGAAGCTTGAAGAGAAAGGTGTCAGAGAAAAGGATCAACCAAGAGAAGCAGTTGCAGAGCCTAAACCAAGTGGTGATTTTGCTTGTCTTTTGTGCAATGTGACTTGCCAGAGCCAAGTTGTCTTTGATTCTCATCTAAGGGGCCAGAAGCATGCTGCGATGCTGAGTCAATCAGAGGCAAGTTTCAGACTTTGGCTATTTGAACTTAGGATTAAAATTTTACAATTTGCATATGCTTGATATATTTCCGTTGGATCAGGCACTCATTGGTTCTAAGAAGCTTCAAGAGGAATCTGTCGGAGAAAAGGATAAACCAAGAGAAACAATTGCAACACCTAAACCTAACGCTGACCACGTTTGTCGTTTGTGCAATGTGACTTGCCAGAGTCAAATTGTTTTTGACTCTCATCTAAGGGGTCAGAAGCATGCTGCCATGCTGAGTCAATCAGAGGCAAGCTTTATTTGAGTACTTAGGAATACAATTTTTCTTTAATAGTTTTGTAAAACATATGCTTGATATAATACCGTTGATCAGGCACTCAGTGATTTAAAGAAGCTTCAAGAAAAAGGTGTAGGAGAAAAAGATCAACCAAGGGAAACAGTAGCAGAGTCTCAGTTGCAGTCCCAAAATGCGCAAAAGAATACCAAGAAGTGCTTGGAGATGCATGTTGCCATTGCGAATCAGTCCGAGGTATGCTTCTAACTTTGGCTATTTGAGAATTTGGTATTTTAATAAACATTAAACACTTGAATGTTGAGTAAAACATATGCCTAATATAATAACGTTTGGATCAGGCACTCATTGATTCTAAGAAGCTTCAAGAGGAAGGTGTTGGAGTAAAAGATCAAGGAAGAGAAGCAATTGCAGAGCCTCAGTTGCAGTCTCAAAACACTCAAGAGAATCCAACGTTCTTCGAGAAGCAGAACAAAGAGTTAGGAGAGATATGTGGCACCTCAGAAAACAGTGTAAAAGAACCTTTTCCAAGTACTAAAGACAGGGTTGAGACTGTTATCAAACAGCTTACAAGGTAAGTTTTGCTAACTTGGACTTGCTTAGTATCTAAAATATGAACAGTCCTTTATCTCTAATAATATTCTGCAAGTGGCACAGAGAATGTTTTGATGGCCTTTTCAAGCCTGTAAACCAGTCCAATGGAGCAACTGAGCATTCAGGTGAGGCGAAGAAGAAGCAAAAGGAGGAGATGGTACGCCGAGCAATAACAACTGCAACTAAGGTTTGTAATATGTGCCTAGTGATTTGTGATAGCCAGGGTTTCTTCAAGAGTGGGGTGTGATAACAAATGTCATTGGACGAAGCTAAACCATACTACGGTAGTGACAGCTTACTTCTTGTTGTGCCCATTTGACTTGTTTTGTTTTTTTTAATTCTTTTTGTAGGCTGCCTCTGTAGCCAGTGATGACGCTCATTCTAGCGTTTCAACCAATCTTGCGAAGGAACCAGAAATTTTGCAGCTTGTGTGGTGCCAAGTATGTCAGATCAGCTGCTACGACAAGGTTGCATTTGCAAATCATATCTATGGGAAAAAACACCGACAGAAGCTGGAAATGCATTCGGCTAAGTACGAAAACATGTCTAAGGGACCAGCCACGCTTTGTAAGGAGAGTGTTGAGAAAACAAAGAAAGCATTGTGCAATAACCAAACCGCCTTTGATTCTCAGTTGAAGAGTCAGAACCAGGTCGACATGGTCAAGGAGAAAACAGAGGCAAGTTTATAACTTTACTATCTGGTTTTCTTTCGCGAATTTGGAATCTGCTTTTGATTGTCAGCATTATAGCTAAACTAGAATATTGTTGTAGAAGGCACTTTTTGTTGATTCAAGGAGAACTCGACAAGAATTTGAGGCGCTTGTTGTCGAGTCGAGGAAAATCCGAGAAGAGAGCGATCGAGAAAAAGAAGCAGCAGAGGTGCACGCACTTGTAAAGAAGGATGATCATGGGGCACAAGAAGACAAAGAGGAAGTGAAGGAGATAAACGCCATAACAGAGAACCTAGTGCGTGTCTTCACTGAACCGAATCGAGAGTCTAAAATACCCAAAGAATCGAGGTAAGAGCCAACAATCAAGGGAGTTGCCTCTTGAATGTTTTGATCAGTATGTGTGTGTGAGTCTAATGATTTGCTTGGATCTTGGTTTACAGAGGATGTTTGGATGTGATTCCTGAGAGAGTACAAGTGCCACAAGAAGTGAATGTGACAAAGAAGTTGGAAGATGAGTCTAAGCATACACCCGAACCCGAAAACGAACGTGCAGGACTTAATGAGCATCCCGGAGAAGCTGTCAAAACGGAAGAGATGAAAGGCAAAGTGGATAGCTTTTGGTCTCGCCTTTGGGGGAAAAAGAGTTAAAACAAAAAAAAATGGCCGGAATTTGAATTGTTGGAAATAAGAACAACTTGGACGTTGGTTTTGTAAGTAGCATGTTTATGTCGTCAACAATGAACGTGCCTGTTACTTGGTTTATTTGGTGTTCTAATAAGAGCATAGAACCTTAATGTAAGAACTTAAATCAGAAATTTAGTATTGGTTTAAAAGTTATAAAACTAAAGAAGGTATCCACTATCCAGTTGTTAATCGCATGCTCTTTAATAATTTAGTCGTTAGTTTCTTTTTTTCAAAAGTCAAGTCTTCTTTTTCTCTTTGTCGTCTTGCTTTGGAAAGCAAAAGCTCACTTGTACAAAAGCGATCGTCGTTTTCAATAATACAATGACGTGACAGGTTGAGAGATTACCGTCTCATGACGACGACGGTGAACACGGCGGCGGAGATGATGAACAACACTGCGGAGGCTGAGTACGCGAGGGCTAAGACGTCGATTTGGTGGGACATTGAGAACTGTGCGGTTCCCAAGGGATGTGATGCTCATGGGATAGCTCAGAAATTAAGATCATCTCTGATGGAGATGAATTACTGTGGGCCTCTCTCTATCTCTTCCTATGGCAACACCGATCTCATCCCTAATTCTGTTCAGCAAGCTCTCTCCTCCACTGGAGTCTCTCTTAATCACGTCCCCTCCGGTTAAATCTCCTGATCCTTTTGATTTTTTTGTTCTTAGGGTCTAGATTGAACTGGGTGTGATTTTTTTTTTTGTTTTTCTTTGCAAGGAATTGGATTTGGTATAAAGTCTCAAAATTTTAGTTGAGTTACTGAGTTGAGTCTGAGGGTCTTTAGTTCTGAAACAGGAAGGAAAGACGCGAGTGACAAGAAGATTCTGGTGGATCTGTTTTTGTGGGTTGTGGAAAATCCTGCTCCGGCTAATATAATGCTGATCTCCGGTGACGGAGACTTCTCTGATGCTCTTCACCGGCTGCGAATGAGGAGGTACAACATTCTTCTGGCACACCCTCCTCAAGTTTCAGCCTCGCTGGTCGCTTCTGCGAAGACGACATGGCTCTGGAGAAGCTTATTGGCAAGTGGTTGTCCTCTCACACACTGTGAATCCTCACGGCTGCTTGATAATGGAAGTTCTTCTACCTTTGATTCTCATATACCCAGCCAAGATGTTTCTGAACATGTTTCGTCCAGACAACCAGTGGATTCAGGGTCTGGTTCTAGCTGGTTTCCGGGAGATAAACTCAAGGGAATCTATGTCCCGAAAGCACCAAATCAGCCCTCGAAACAGGAGACAAGAAGAAAGCGTAAATCTGCGTGGTTCTGCAAAGTATGCAATGTTGCTTTCAAAAGCTTTGAAATTTTCACCAAGCATCTCTCTGGTAAAGAACATGCAGCTCAGGTAAGCATTCCTAGTGTTGAGAGCCAAATAAAGACGTTCTGGTTCTTCTTCTTTTTTTTTCCATTTCGCTGCTTAAAGAAAGATTGTATCAATACATTTGACCTCATGTTATTTTTCTCCACTGGTTGTGGATTTGGTTGTTGTGAAGTGGGAGCTGAAGCATAACTTGGAATTGTTGGGAGAGCCTGAAAACATGGCTGCAGCACCAAGCGAGTGTCGTGAGAAGGACATGGAGATGACGAACAAGGTCGTTGAAGCCGGTGATGAGGTGAGTGCACATTGCGATCCGTTTAGTGTGGTGAAGAAGGAAGCAGAGGCAAGTTTTAATATTTGAAAGTTGTGAGTTCTAATTTTTAGAAGTAAAAAATCCGATTTCTTAGTAAGAATTGAGTTTGTCTCTCGTCCTTAACACTCGAGTCCAAATGCGAAATCGAAAGCATGATTTTGATTCACTGACTTTGGGGCAGGCTCTCGTTGATGCCAAAAACACTGAAGAAAGTGTTCAAGACAATGGCCAAGAGTCTATGAAGAAGTGCTTGGAGAAACAGAACAAGGAACTAATAGAGACTTGTACAAGATCTGAAAGTAGTGGAAGAGAGTTCTGGCAAGATTTTAAAGACAGGATGGGGATGGATGGTGTAACTCCTCTAAATGCAGATTATGTATTCAGTGAACTTAGCCGCGACTTTCGGGTGCCCAAAGAAATGAGGTAAACTCCAGTTGTGCGTCTTCAATGTCGAATTTTAAGTGTTCTCTGATGTTATAATAATTTGTGTAACAGAGAGTGTTTTGACGCGATCCTGAAGAAATTAGAACCTACACAAAATGAGATTGTGATCGAGAAGTCAGAAGGCTTGGAAAAGGAGTCAGGTGAACCAGAAAATGCACCTGCAGGACAAACTGAGCATCTCGAGGAGGACATGAACAAGACGAAGAAGAAGAAGAAGAAGAAGAAGAAAGAGAAGAGTACAGTGATTGAAGATAACGCTGCAACATTTTTTTGCAGTTTTTGCAGTGTCTTTTGTGATAGTCCTGCCATGATCGAGTCTCATCTTAATGGCCGGAAGCATGCTGCTACGATTAAGAAGCACAATGAGGTAAGTTAATTAGTTTAGGTTGAGACGAACACGGAGTTTAAAATTCTCACTTGTGGATGAAAGTCTCTATACTCTGAGAGTCTCTCTGTGAAATCAAAGGTTTGATACATTAATATCGAAACAGGCTCTGCTTGACGATAAGCAAATTCAAGAGGAAATCATTCAAGATAATGGTTACCTGAAAGAAATGATAGAGGAGCTCCATATTCAGCCTGGAAAGCAAAACAAGGAGCATAGAGAAAGATGTGCCAGCCCTGAAAGGAGTGTCGAAGAGATTTTTCTAAATTTTGAAGACGTTCTGGAGAATGGAGAGTGTAGCTTCACTGAAGTAAACCCCGAGTTTTCGGCCCCTAAAGAAACTAGGTAATTGTCCAAATTAAGTTTCTTTTAGTATGCCAAATTCAAGTGTTGTCATTTCTAATGGTCCCATATGCTATCCTTCAGAGAATGGTTTGATGCCTTTTTCAAGCGACTAGAACTTTCACAAGATGCAAATGTAACCCTGGAGTTTGAGAACATACCAAACCAGTTCCTTGAAATGAACACAGGCGATCTTGAGAGTAACTCTGCAGGAGCGACTGAGCATCCCGAGGAGTATATGGAGAAGAAGAGGAAGGACAAGGTGACTAAAGATGGAGCTGAACCTGAAGCATATGTGTGTAGTATTTGCAGTGTGATCAGCGATTGTCCCATTGTTTTTGAGTCTCATCTGATGGGCAGGAGACACGCTGCTAGGGTAAAGAAGCATGCAGAGGTAAGTTTAGGGACTTTTGGTTTACACGCTTGAAGTTAGATTTGAATGATTGTGAGACTCAAAGCATGAAGATTGATTGATATATGATAAACACTGAGTACAGGTTCTATTTGACGATAAGAAAATTCTAGAAAAAAGACTTAAAGAGAGAGATGATGAGAGTGAAGAGATTCCAATTGCTGAGTTTCCGGAACCCAAAGAAGCAAGGTGATGACTATGTACCGACTTGGTCTTGTTTAGTTTAATCAATACTGCGAGCTTACTAGTTTCTGATAGTGTTGGCTCTTTTTTTTTTTTTCTCAACAGAGAGCGACTTGACTCAATGGTGAAGAGATTAGAAGTTTCATTGGAGGAGGATACATCAAAGCAGACGCCGGGTGAGTGTGAAAACGCATCTGAGCGTGTGGAGGAGGAGACGAAGAAGAAGAATGGAGCTGCCGTAACTGAAACTAGGGTTTGTGATTGGTGCGACGTGAAGTGCTTTTCCGAAGCTGACTTTTATTCACATCTGACAGGCAAGAAGCATGCTGCCGCTGTGAAGAAGCTTGTTCCCGTTGTGAAGAAGCATGTTGCCACCACGGTGAGGAAGCAGTCTGGGACCAAATTTATTTATGTTAAGAAAAATGGATCATAAATGGGCCCTTTATTAAACGCGCGCAACGCTCACGTGATTAATATGGCCCATAATATTTGTAATTTCTAGACATTTCATAAAATTGTGTTTTTATATTCCAAACAGAATGAAGTTGTTATTTTGCTATCTCAATCAACTTTATTGTTGTTTTTTTTCCCATAAATATAAATGAATTTGAATCAACGTTTTAGTCTTTAATTTTTTTTTTTTTTAAAGTTCGGTTAATTATGGAGAATTTAGTAATGATCGGTTTGGAATTTTGAAATGAGAGAAGGAAACAAGCAATTTCCAGGAAAGCAGAGCTCAGCTGTATCATCAAAAAAGGTTTGCATTATTTGGTTTAAGAGGGCCCAATAACTCAGCTGTGAAAATGATGATGATTCATCGACTTTCGACGATACCGAGAAAAAATAAAATTACGATTCATTTTATATTCTGTTACTTGCGGGATCAAGAAAGTTTCAGAAGCGAACTACCTTAGTGAACGTGTGCTGGTTCTTGAAGTCAAAGCAACTTAATCGGGAAACTGGAAGAAGAAGTTAACTGTTTGAGGGAGGAGTTGTGTACCTCGAAATCCTAACAGCTATTGCTGTTGCAAGAACTGGAGAACGCAAAAACTGAGCTACAGTTGTCTTTGTTTTCTGTAGAGAAGCTGGAGGAGTCTATCTCATCATTAACATTGGAGTCTCGGTGTGAAATAGAGAGCATGAGACTTGATATAGTAGCGTTGGAGTAGGCACTGATTAATGACAAGAAAGTTCAAGGAGAAATCATCCAAGAAAAAGATAAGTTGAGAGAAAATGCCGAGGAGCGGTTCAAGTCTCAAGAGGCACAAGAGAATGCCAAGTGCTTAGAGACGCAAAACAAGGAGCTGAGTGAGAGATGTGTACTCTCTGAAAGTAATATGGTTTAAGTCATGTTAACTTGTCTTTTATAATTTTTGTCCCATGATTAGTAGTCTTACTAACACATGGTTTAAATGGTTTTTATTTTCTTAGTTGCTCAAAATGGATATTGACTACACAATTAGGAGATGGCCTTTACTCTTGGGTTGCCCAACAAGCAATATGAAGTTGACGGTAAAAGGAATTTGATAAAATAGATGTTAAAAATCGAAGGATGAGAAAGGTTGGTTATACTCAAAAGAATTCGCTCATTCTGTTGTTCTATTATTGTGCAAGATTGTTTCTTTAACTTAGTCAGATTTATTGATTGTAATTTCTGTTTTAAATTAATAACCAATCATCCATTCTTGTTTTAATTTAGTCAAAGAAGGAAAGACAAAACTCTTTGTTTGGACAAGAACTTAAGATGCAGGTTTAGTGAAAGACAGCTTGCTCATAATACAATGCGTGGATATATTTAAGAGCAAATCCAACAGAAGTCTTAGACCAAGTAAGCTCATACAGTAGACAGATCCCAAAACATGTGAATCTGAGCAGAAAAATCATGCAGTAGATAATGGACTACAGAACTATGAATATTACTTGATTAACAAAAGAACTTACGCCAACCACTAACCAAGATCCTGTTGTTGGACCGCTAATACCATCGTATTGCATCATGCTGTGAAAGCTCAGGTGGGACTTTGTTCTTGGGCCTTAGTTATGATGTGAATTAGTTTCCAGCAGTTTTGTTAAAAAGTTGTATTTCCATAGTAGACAAGGATCATCTCACTAATCTCTATAAGACATTAGAACAGTTAACTATAAAATTGCAGCAATAACACAATTTTTTTTTGCTTTACCCCTTTTTCGCTAGCTCTTTCTTCAATCTTGCCTCAAATGGCGTGGTATGGAAAACCACTATATTTTTCTGCAAATTTCTACAAAATAATTGTCATTTATGCAAGACAATACACTCAATATTGTTCTACTGATTTATGCACCTATTGGTATTTACTGATTGAGTTTGGCATTTCATGATATAAAAAGATGATGCACTCATCTTCCTTGATTTTTTCTCTATCCCTAATCCTCTTCTTCTTGGAGCTTCCGACCATTTTTTTCCTCTAACATCCACCTTCACCATCTGCTTGGGTGTACCAGCTTCGGCTCTGACTTTCATTTGTGCTGCATTTCTCTCTACTTTGGCTTCAGTATCGATCCAACCAAGTACCAAAGCAGCATCAATGACAACGCTATGTGAAGGATTGTAAAGAGAGAACTCTTACATCTAGTTCTTCACAAGTTCAATTGACTTTTTATCATTGTCTGTCATCCCAAACAAACTCTTTTTATAAAGATTAAGTTCAGAAAAATACTCTCTCCCATTCTTAGAGTTATTTGTAGACAACTCCTAGAAAGACGACACAAGGGCAATTAGTATACATTTATGAGAGCAGTTTCGGACAGTGCTCTCATTATAGTATACAAAAAACATAAGAGCAGTTTTAAAGATTTTATTATTTTTGTGTGCAAGCGGTGTACATGCTTCGAAAAAGCATCATTACAAAGAATAGCCAATTAATCTAGAAACACATGTACTTGTTTAGATTTTCCATCTTCTATTTGTGGTGGCAGAGAATCCTAAAAAAATCTAATAATTTCCTTTTTTCCGTTTAATGGTAGTCAAGAGAGAAGAACAAGTCCCATAATTTCATAATTATCTCTCTTTCTTCCGTATGAAACAACAGAGGTTCGAGTTAAACTTGAAATCACTGGGAAGCTTATACTTCAAAGAGAAGCGCTAAGATACATGGTTTGACTTTTTCTATATTTAGTAAGTGTACAAAAGGACATTTGATTGAAATATGGATCTCATTTATGTGATTGTGTGTATGTATATATATATATATAGATGTTGAGTCTTTAAAGAGTGAAAAATCCTTCTTCATTTACCTGCTTTGTGTCTAATTACGTTGTCAGCAATGTTGAAATTGAAACTTTAGAAACTGAAAGCCAATGGTCGTTGTTGACCAAAGCTACTACGGCTATATATGATGGGCCTGTGACCAGCCTCATTCAATTAGGCCGATCTTGATGGCCTAAAAATCTTGCGAATCGTATATATCATATTCTTGATGACTCAGTGGGATAAAGGAATGGGTCAAGGAAAACAACAGGGTAGTAAGTGGGTGTATTAATCAAAAGACTTGTAAATTTGTTGTCTAACCTAAACCAACTTGGACTTTTAAGATAAATAATGTGATGAATTGGGCATCATATGCGTACGTATTATGTCTATATATATTTTGTCAAACAATTTTATTTATGTTCAAGTAGGATATTTTAGGCTACAATATGCTTTTCTTTGACAAATTCAACAAAGAAGGTTTTTGTTGGATGACAAGTTGAGACAACTTTTACCCCAAACGTCGAAATCGAAATTGGGATGGCTCTGCACTATAAAAAGGAAAAAAGAACCATCTGTTCTTCTGATATTTGTATTCTTTTTGTTGAAAGTAAATTTTGGTTTTAAGGGAAATCATTATCATTATTTTCACAATGGAATACTTTTGTTAGAAACTGACATTCTTATTTTTTACAATGAAGATGGTGAAATATATATATATATATATATATATATATATATATATATGCCCGTTTATATTCGAATTATTTAATAATTTGTTTATATAATATAGTAATATATTATCCACGTTTATTGCAACCTGATTTTCTCCCCTTTTCTCTATTTGTCTCCTCTTTTGGTAAATTTCGTCACACACAAACCCAAAGACTTGAACTTTAAATTCTTGGGTCGTTTCCGCGTTAAATCCTTCCCCGTTTGATCCATTCTTCTTCGCATTGATTTGGTCCCAATTTTTCTACAATTCATTAAGAACCAAATCTTCATCTTCCCCTTTCTCTCGACTCCACTTCGCTCATCCACGAGGTAACCGCGATCTGCTCTCTCTCTCTCAGTTCCCTTCGTTCTCAATTTCTTTTCGCCCTTTCGTAGATCCTTGATTCTCGATTCTTCTGTTCCTCTTCTTTAGTTCTTTTCACCCGACGATTGTTTGTTGTTTGGATCCAGAGAGAATTAGAAAAACTATCGATCGAATTTTTGTGAGGGTTTTATCATAGTCTTCTTTGGAATTTACTGTTGTTTCTTTAGCCACTTCATAAACCTTCACCATCTGCTCGATCATTTTCCTGCACTCTCTTTTATATTTATTGATGATATCTGAAAGGAATTTTTGATATTCCAGTTGGAATAAATCCAAGTTTTTTTTTTCTGGTGCTGTCTTCTATTGTGTGTAAGCTGTTGTTAGAAGTGGAATCGATGGATCTTACTGTTTTTATTCGTTGATATTCCTCTTTATCGTAACTTGTATGTTTTGTTTTGTTTTGGATTTGATGAACTTCAAAGCTTTAGTATCGTAAAGCCGTTTTTTTTTAAAAAAAAACCTTACTTTATTCACTTAGCTTGGAAGATAGAAGAATCACAGCATCAATCCTCATTACTGTTTGGTTTCTGCAGGAAGGGTTTATTTGTTAGCAATCCAAGTGTTCGTGTTTTTGTTCTGAAGCAACAAGTTTTGTGAAACTTACTTTACGAGACAATGTTTGGTTTGAGGAAATCTCCGGCAAAGCTTCCTAAGCATAACTCAGTTGATCCTGGATTTCTCAAATCCTCCAAGCCGAATCCTTTTGATTCAGATGATGAACTGGACAACAAACACACACTTAACCCTTCGAAGAGGACTTCCTCCGAACCTTCTTTGGCCGAAATGACAAACCCCTTTGATGGTGAGGAGGCTGAGAAAGGGTATAGTTCATCGAAGCAGTCTTTGACTTCCAACTCGAAATACCAGTACAGGAACAACTTCCGCGATTCGGGAGGTATTGAAAACCAGTCGGTACAGGAGCTTGAGGGTTACGCTGTGCACAAGGCTGAAGAGACGACCAAATCTGTACAGGGTTGCCTGAAAGTAGCAGAAGAGATAAGGTCAGATGCTACCAGAACTTTGGTCATGTTGCACGAGCAGGGAGAGCAGATCACGAGGACGCACCATAAAGCTGTTGAAATAGATCATGATCTCAGTAGAGTAAGCTTGCTTTCTTATTACTTTGGTTATATAAATGGAAAAGTTTCAACCTTCTTCTCAATTAGTGTGTGGAATAAATCGAGATGTTTAATTATGTGGCTTTGAATTTCAGGGTGAGAAGCTTCTTGGAAGCCTTGGAGGTATGTTTTCAAAGACTTGGAAGCCGAAGAAGACTCGCCCTGTAAATGGTCCAGTCATAACTAGAGGTTTGCTTATCTTGGTCATTGGTTCCTCGATTATTCTCGCAGCTATCTTACTTATTCCTAATTGCGTGATTCCCATTCTGTGTGTCTCGGCGTAGATCACTCACCAACGAGAAGAGTTAACCACTTAGAGAAAAGGGAGAAACTGGGACTGAGTCCAGCACCGAAAGCACAATCGAGAACCCGAGAACCGCTCCCTGAATCAGCTGATGCCTATCAGAGAGTGGAGGTTAGTACTTCTTTCCCCTCTCTTCTTTTTTTTTTTGTCCTTTCATAGGAACGTTACTACTCCAAGCATGTGGGATGAGCATCATGCAAAAGCACAAAGATACAAACTTGAGACATTGATGAACATCGAAAGCTAGCTTCTTCAATATTTGAGTTAAAAAGAAAGTTTGTCTTTTGTCTGAAGTCTTTGCTAAATTTATTTGTAGATGGAGAAAGCCAAGCAAGACGACGGGCTTTCAGATTTGAGTGATCTGTTGGGAGAGCTAAAGAGCATGGCAGTTGACATGGGAAGTGAAATCGAAAAGCAGAACAAAGGACTTGATCATCTTCATGATGATGTTGATGAACTCAACTTCAGAGTACAACAATCAAACCAGCGTGCCCGCCGTTTGCTCGGGAAGTAGATGAACAGAGTTATTCATGTTCTTTACACTCCCTCCGTCCTCCTTTGTTTGATCTTTCGTGAACTTGTTGCTTGAAACTCAAATGGTTCTTATCATGTTATATACGTTTTCTGTCTATGGTTGTATTTGATCTTATTAAGAAAAACCAAAAAAAATCTTCTTGTGCAGACCAAAAGCAATTTTGCTGTTGTTTTTCTGTGTCCTACAGAACGAAAGCAAGAGATACACACACTCTGACAATAGATAAACAATACGTGTTTGAATCCTTGATTTATAACCTAGCAGAATCAGTGCTAAAGATGAATAAAAGAGTACAAAAACTACAGAAAAGTTTGGAACATATCTATGCAACAACTGCATAATCGTGTAAGATTATTAAAACCAGCAATCAAAACGACAGGAACTCTTTATTCTCTTTACTCAATCTCTGCTCTAATCCAAGATGTTTCTCTCATAGTATCCTTTTATTCACTTGATAAAGTCTGAAGCCATAAGACACAAAGATTACATGAGATGTGCCACAAAGCAATGTTTCACAGTTGAAAAGAAGTATGAAACAGGTGAATCAATAATCGGTCCAAGCCAAACACCATCGGTTCATCGATCATACTCTCAATCAAAACTCAAAAACCAATAAACAGAAAGCGGTTCCAGCATGACCAACAACAATAATAACAAATAGCTTTTGAGGGTATTGAAACGACAAAACATACATCTACTAGTGAAGCTTGAGTTCCATGATGTTCTTGGTCTTGGGAGGATATGCCAAGTAAACCTTGAGCACCCTCTCTACAACCTCAAGCTGCGCCTTAGCTTCAGCATAAGCCTCATTCACCTTTGATGGGTCAGTGAGACTCTTGTTCATGCGGAACCCATCCAAGGCCCTTCGCTTTGTGTACTCCCTGATGTTGTAGTCAGGGTATTGACGCCCCGCTCGAAGCAGTGAGCGGCAGAGGCTGACGACTTGACTTTTCGATACCATTGAGAAAACTAACACTTTATTACACAAAGGAATACATTAATAATGGGAATTCAGGAAACTGATTAGCAATTCCAAAAGAAAAGGAGAGGAATAATCAAGATAAGGGCTAAATAAACATACTTCGATTTATAACAAGAACATTAATAGACAGTGAAAAGGATTATGAACATCATCATTTATCTAACCAGTGAGAACTTGTTTTTTTTTTCTTCCAGAAAATATAATCAGTGAGGAAACTCATTATCAGCATTCAATTCAAGTGACATCATATGAAAGAACCAGCTCCAACATTAGCAACAAAAACTTTACTGCAAAGTATGCAACAGAATCAATAAAGCTACAAACTTCAACAAAATCGATTAAATTGCAGCCACAACCAAAAGAGACAGGAACATATATGAATCGCAACAGGATCCGACCAAATTCACCATCAGTTATACCAATTAGCATAGAATTTGAAGATTACGGAAGTACAAATCCACATACATACCAAAATGAATACGCCGGAGTGTAATTTGTTCCCTCACGTCGACAAAGCGAGCTTGGCGTTGAGGTTCTCCGTTCGAAAGGTATACATACATAAACCTAGATCACCCGAAATTGAACCGGGAAATGATCTGAAAACCGGTTTTGAATGGGCCAGACATTCAGGCCCATTAAATTGGGCTGATATTCAAAAGCTTTCTTTATTAAGCTGTATGAGTTGGCATTTTCGAGAACAAACAAATATAGTAAACAAAACTCATATTTCTCTCGGTCTTCGCCTTCTTCAATCTTCTTCTGAGAATTCGATTTTATCTCGACGAGAGAAAACCCTAGTGCACCTCTATATTCCTCAGCGAGAAGAAAATCTTTAATTCCGAGTTTGGTTTCACCATCTCAGTTTCTCTCTATCTCCTCGCTGGTTACGGTACGACCTTCTCAGTTTTTTCGATCTCTTACTTTCATCGATTCAGTATGCGTGAAAAATCCTTGCTTGTTTGTTCATCTCTCTTTGAATTTGATTGTTAGGTTTCATCTTTAGATTGGTATGGCTTTCTTCCTCAGTTTCGTTTGAATTTGTTCTAATTGTTGACGAATTGGGGCGTTGGATGGCTTGATTGGTGATCGACGTTTAGATTTGTACTCGTTAGCTCTCTTGATTCAGTTGATTTGTCTTGTGAGGGTATTATCGTTTCCAATTCTATCGACTCGGCCAATTTTATAGACTGTTGATCGGATTTGGTGTTTGTACGCTACCTGAATTGAATATTGAAAATTCTACACGATGTGGTTTTGTGTTATATCACAGATAAATTTTATCGATTTCGTCTCATGTGGGTTTTGCTGTTCTAGTTTTGTTCATATGGCTTCACTAATTTTTTTTTATTTTCTTCTCCGTCTTTTGTAGGAAGATCTTGAGTGTTTTTGACTCCACAGTTCCCATCAACTGCTTTGTTCTTAACTGAAACTTGGGGTTAAAACGCTGAGGTCGTCGGGTTTTCTCAGTCTCGATGTGGTCGTGCTCCACCAGGATTCGTCACAATCATTAGGCTTTTAATCATTTCAGAGTGATGCTCATCTTCTCTTCCCTGTCTATGGCTCTTACTGTGATCCTTCAAAAGCTTAGTGTCTTTGGCCCTGGTTTGAATCCCTCTTTCCCTTACTGCATCGCCAATCACTCGCCTGCCTCCCGTTAATTTAGTTACTTCGTTTCAACTGGATTACATAAGTCTGCCTCCTTCAGTGTCAATTCTTGATATTGCTGCAAACCATTAGCAAGAAGTAGTAATACCTGGGTGAGATTTACACCAACAAATCATGTAAATCTGTCCCCATCATAGAATAAGGTATCCTGCTGACTTGAGAGTTCTTGAGGAAGTCTTGTTTGATTATTTACTCATATCCGAGTCTCCCGCATCCTACTTTCAAAGCTTTGTTCCACTTTATCTGAAGCTCAGACAAAAAATGCTCCAAGAAGAGCCGGTTGCATTCTCGCTCCGGCGTAACTCTTTCAGACGCCGATCCCCTAGATCGAATGTCGATGACAGAGGCTGGACTCCGCTCCACATCAAGGCCCGAAAAGGCGATCTGAAATCCGTCAAACAGCTTCTGGACCAAGGGTTTGACGTGAACGCTCTAGCGTGGGGACCCAAATCAAAAGGAGTGAGCCCGCTTCACCTTGCAGCCGAAGGAGGCCACATTGAGGTCATGGATTTGCTCCTCGAACGTGGGGCCAACATTGATGCCAGAACCTGGGGCTCGTGCGGGTGGACCCCTCTCCACGCTGCGGCCAAAGAGCGGAAGAGAGACGCCGTCAAGTTTCTAGTGGAGAATGGCGCGTTTCTGCCGGATGACATAAGTGATACAAGATTCAACCCGCCGGTGCATTACTGTCATGGACTGGAATGGGCGTACGAGGAGATGAAGAAGCTTAACGGCGAGTCTTCTTCCTCTGGTGGAGACACATCTTGCAGTTCTGAGAACTGATGTTTTGTTGTCGTCTTTTGGTTTGTTTTGTTAGAACTCATAATGTTATGGTTTGTGTTTGAAACCGCTTGTACGCTATATAAGCTTCAGTATTTGATATGTTGAACTTCTGGAATTAGTAAACAAATATGAGCAAACTGGTTTTGATCTCGTCTGAGTATTCTTATTGGGTATTATTCGAAAATTTGAACACTTTTAAAAAGTACATATTAGTATGTAACTAGTTAACTGAGCAAAGAAAACCATATAATTAATTTATCTACACAAATTCCGGTGGACAAAATTCATTGAAAACAACATAAATTTTATGTAACAGACATATAAATAACTCTCTCCAACATGTTGATTAACTAGTGATTTTATCATTTTACAATTTACGAATTTACACAATACTATAGACCGGAACACGGTTGATCCAAAACCAGTACTGTGTGAGTTTGAAACACAACCGGGTCGTTAATAGACCCGTCGGTGAGATCCGGTGTGAACACACACACACGTATTCGGTTTACGAATCTCAGGAGGAAGAGAAAAAAAATGGTCTTTTTAATTTCGCTCGCCTCTTAGATCCGTTTTTTCTCTTGCACTTCGACTGTTAACCAAAGAGCATGGCTTCTCGCTTTGAGCTACTTCTGATCTGCGTTTGTTCTCTCTTCTTAGCTCTTGCTCACTCAAAGACGTTGAAACGAGATGGTAATTCTGCTTTTTCCACCGTCTGGTTTTGTGTTCATCGATCCTTTCCATTGGTTGATTTTATAGCTCTTAACAGATTTGGAATATACCCATTATCGAGATTCATTCTCTCTTATCGAATTTCACTATTTAGCGCACAATCTGCGATTTTTGTTTATGTTTTTGTTTCTTTTCTAATCTGAGTTGGTATTTACAGAGAATTTGGTGTGAGCAGTGAATAGATCTGAATAATAGCTGTACCTTATCTCGATCGAGTTCTATCTTTGTATCATTTAGCTGGTTACTGCATATTATTAGCTCGTGCTCAGCTTTCTGTTTTCATCTTGTGTACAGTGAAAGCTTTGAATGAAATCAAAGCCTCTCTGGGATGGAGAGTGGTGTATTCATGGGTCGGTGATGATCCTTGTGGTGATGGAGACCTTCCACCTTGGTCTGGTGTCACCTGTTCTACACAAGGAGACTATAGGGTTGTCACGGAACTGTAAGTTCTACTTTCTTCGCTTTGTTGGTTTTCTTCTGTATCCTACCTGATTTGCTTGGCTCAGCTATTTACTTGATCTGTGTGATTTGCAGAGAAGTTTACGCGGTTTCGATTGTTGGACCATTCCCCATTGCAGTGACAAACCTTCTGGATCTGACTAGACTGTAAGTTAACTTTTTAGTGTGTGCCACTAGGTTGATTTATGTAAGAACTCTTTGAAACATCTATTGTGTAACGAGATCATTGTAGTTCAATACGGAGATGCCTGAGAATTGTTTAGAGCTTTGCTGTTTTGCGATGGTTAAATTAAAAATGTTTTTTATGGCTTGATTGATATTTCAGGGATCTACATAACAACAAGCTGACTGGTCCAATCCCTCCACAAATTGGGCGTCTGAAACGGCTGAAAGTACTGTATGTTCCTAACGCTCTTACAATGATTTCTTTGTCTTGTTTTATTGTTCTGAGATCAAACTCAGGATATAATCCAATTTTGTTCGGATATACGGATTGGTACTAAGAAGTTGTGACAGCACTGTGTAACTGTTAAATGTATCATCGTATCATGCTAATGTTTCGAAGTACAGTGATTGATCTAATCATTTACTCTGTTGTAACCATTAGAAACCTGAGGTGGAACAAACTACAAGATGTGATTCCCCCAGAGATTGGGGAGCTAAAGAGACTAACCCATTTGTGAGTACCTTTCTGTTTCTTTTCAGCTTCTAATGATTGTCCATCTGTATCCAGATGAACTCATGTTTTCCATTGTTGTAACTTTAAGGTACTTGAGCTTCAATAGCTTCAAGGGAGAGATTCCAAAGGAACTGGCCGCTCTTCCCGAGCTTCGGTATCTATATCTTCAAGAAAACCGTCTCATTGGAAGAATCCCTGCAGAACTTGGGACGCTACAAAACCTCCGACACCTGTAAAAACCAAACCCCATCTTTCTGCTTAGAATTTGGTCTTTTTATATCACAATTTCCCATTGATCTTACTGAGATATTTGGTTTGGTTTGTGTCCCATTCTTTTGCAGAGATGTTGGTAACAACCATTTGGTCGGAACCATAAGGGAGCTCATCCGTTTTGATGGAAGCTTCCCAGCTCTTCGCAACCTGTAAGCATATTCCTTTTGAATCTGCCTTCTGCTTCTCTCTCTTCCATTTGATATATTCTATTAATATGCAATGCTTTCTCTTTTTAAAATCTCGATTCTTTAGGTACTTGAATAATAACTATTTGAGTGGAGGAATCCCTGCTCAGCTATCGAATCTGACAAACCTAGAGATTGTGTAAGCATTCTACTCTGCACGTCAAATCAGAGTTTGTTCTCTAAACCCTATTGAGAGATATCTTTGATCTCGGTTTTAATTGGTTGTGTAGGTACCTATCTTACAACAAATTCATCGGAAACATTCCTTTTGCCATTGCTCATATTCCTAAACTGACATACCTGTAAGTCTTTGTGTTTAGACTGCTGATCTTCTTCATCTTTGTCTGAGATTTGCTTACTATCTGTGAAAATTATGACAAGACATTTTAAAAACCAGGTATCTTGACCACAATCAATTCACTGGGAGAATCCCAGACGCATTCTACAAGCATCCCTTCCTCAAAGAAATGTGAGTTCTTCTTACAGTACAACAAAGCTTCTACTCAAACAATACACTGAACTCATTGAAACTCCAAGGATAAAGAATTTGAACAATGCGACGAGTATGAGAGCCTTTTTGTGGCGACAAGTTTTAGGTTTTCTTTCTTCAGATCTCTACACTAACAATAAGGAGACCTGTTTGGATATTGCAGGTACGTTGAAGGTAACATGTTCAAGGCTGGCGTGAACCCTATTGGTACCCACAAAGTTCTAGAAGTTTCTGATGCCGATTTTGTCGTGTGACGGGGATAGAAGATTCTAGAAGGTTCCAGAGAAAAACGTCTCAGAGCTACCTAGAAAATATGGTTCCACTTTAGCTGTCTTCATCATTATTTTTTGTATGGTTTTGATCTTTGCAAATGGAAGAAAGCATAGACTACAAGTATTAATCTTCATACTGTATAGTCAGTCACATTCACTAATCTATGTTTCTCATTAATCAAATGTTTAAACGGTTGAAAGTTGGATTGGAATAAACCACTTACCAATATGCAATATCAAGTGTTACATAGATAAACATTTACAGAGCATAACTATTGCCAAGAAAATTATACTTTGTGTTATTCTTCAACACTTTTAAACTTTAAAGAGAACCAAAAGATCATCATCGTCCTCATGAACAAGCAGGGGCATCAAAGGTAGGCAACACAATGAACAAGATCGACTGTGGATTGATATAAACTGGAGAATTTACGCCGAGGCGGATTAGCTCAAGAATGGTTTTATTTCAAAAAACATATGGTTTTATTTCAAAGAACAGATCATTCCTCGACATCATATAAATCATTTACAATTCAATAAATGTGAGAAAGATAGATCCTAAATAGAAATTTTAATAACTTCACAACCAAAAATATCATTTATGAAAGCGTATGAGATTAAAATTTCTGTTTACACAAAATCATTTACAATTCAATAAATGTAAGAAGGATAGATCATTATATTTAAGTATACTTAGCTTTTAATGAAAAATAAAATGAATTAGAAGAATATGTGCATATTGTTTTCAAACACCTAAACAATCAGCAGAAAATGTGTTAGATAAATCAAACCATATCAGAATCATTGGCTTTCTCAAATTGCAAATTATCAGTTTGTATCATTTTTGCACGCTGCCATTCGCGGTTTCTACAGTGAATATAGAGGAGAAGATGGTTGTGAGTTTTGCACCATATCCATTTCTTCCCCAATTGTTGTCTTCACACTTTCGTCATTGTTGTGGCTAGTCAATAAATGGCCAAAAATCAACTCTGTCACATATACATTTTCTTCCTTGTGAATATTCACGGGAATTCTTATCCATCGTTGTAAACGCTTATACGGTTTTCCTCCACATCTATATCCACTCCAAAGGATTTCATCTTCTCTTTCTGATCAACAACATTCAAGAGAATTTCATCGAACATCTTGCAAAACGCATGCACATAAGCTAGTCTTCATACATACTACCAGGTGCATTAATAGGTGAATAAATCGGAAATATCTGTCATATCATGGCTGTTATGAACATCAATGCATCTTCTCGAATGGAATGATATCACATCGCATATTTTCGTGATAGTATATGGTTTTGATCTTTGCAAATGGAAGAAAGCATAGACTACAAGTATTCATCTTCATATAGACTATAAGAAAACGCATGCACATAAGCCAGTCACATTCACTAATCTATATTTCTCCTTAATTGAATGTTAAAACGGTTGAAAGTTGGATTGGAACAAACCACTTACAAATATGCAATTTTAAGTGTTATACATACAATTGCCAAGAAAATTACACACTGTTCTTCTTCAATTTTTCATTTTTACAGAGAAGCAAAAGATCATCATCGTCCTCATGAACAAGCAGGGGCATCAAAGGTAGGCAACACAATGAACAAGATGGACAGTGGATTGATATAAACAGGAGAATTCACGCCGAGGCGGATCGGCTCAAGCTTTGGGATATCTCCGTTGATCGTCGGTTCCAAAGGGGCACCGTTCAAGAGCATTATCTTGCTCCGCAAGTTACCGTCTTTTGGACTCAAGTGATACTCTTCTCTGTTCAAATATCCATCCGAAGCTTTGTTTCCCACCCAAGAAACCTTGCTCTTGATTGTTTCCAAGAAAGATTTCCTCTTCGTCGGCTCTGCTTGCAAAACCACCTTCACGCCGTTGCTGATTCCGACTGTAAACGTCGTTTGCTTACTCAGATTAATCAGAAGTATGGTTATTCCGGCCTGAGATGATAGATTCTGAGGTTACAAAGCGAAACTAGAGGATGATTTAGAGACAGAAAGATACACTGACTCACTCTTCCTTTGGAGCAATGAGCGTAAGTGCGTAGATACTCTGAGGCATTTGTCTGAACGCCGAGAACGCCTTTACCCATCAAACGATGCCAAAGAAGCGCACTGTTCGGATTAAAAAAGCGAATCTTATAGGGTTATGTTATGTTATCACTCCCCTATAGTAATCATGATTTAGGGTTGCATAGTTCAGGGTTTGTATGAACTTGCCTGTAGTAATCTGGATTGGGAACAAACGTTTCCTTTTCTAGCAGACCGTAGAAACCTCCGACCAAAGCTTGTCTGCAGTATACTTTGGTGTTCTGCATAGACGACAGACCGAACTGATCTAGGTACCTAGAAAAAATATCAGTTTCTGTCAATCATCATAGAAACCGAACAAAGATGGAGGAATCTGAATATGGATTGTGATCCTTTCTCACCAGAAGCTGTTAATGAATGTCTCAGAAACCTGACGGCCACCGCTATTATAGGCTCCTCCAGCTTCTCCAACCCAAGCAGCAGCCCAAGGTCCATGTTCTCGAATCGTTCGGTCAACATTCTCGAATGTTCCCAAAATTCCGCTTAAGTGCTTTGGATCTAGTATCTTATTCACTAGCTGAGGATCATCCCCTGCAAAAGAGTCAGTTAAAAATCAACAATCAAATCATTGTTTAGGAATGCTACAAAGAGAATCTCAAAATTGGTTTTCTTTTGCTCATGCAGACCTCCACCAAGATTGTATATATGATGAGTCATGACATCAAGAACACCAGGTCCAGAGAGCCGAAGAAGCTCTGAGTACCATTTTTCTTCATAGAATCCTCCTGGAGCTAGAAGCAAAGGCTTGGTCCGAGAATTCTTGTAAACGTTCTTGATCACATCTTTCAGTACAATCAAGTCTTTACCGTAAAGCTCTACACTCACGCTTGCACCAATACCGCTTCCACTAAGCTCATTACCTAGTCAAGAACAAGAAAGAAAGCTGAGCCAAAGAAATATAAAACCGAGAAGACAGAAGGAAAGAGATCTAAGTTCTATATACCAAACTCCCACGAGTCAATAGCGTAACCCTTAGAGACTGTGTAGTTCATGAAATCTTGAGTGTTGATATGATCCCAACCTCCTCCCCACGTATTTCCGCTGAGTTTATGTCTCCCGTACAACGCATTCAAACCGAAAGTCACAATAGCTCTGCAAGAATTAGAGTTAAGATCATTGTGGATTATGATGCAAAAGAGGAAGAAGCATATACTTACCCGGTTGAATTGAAGAAACGGTTAAGTTCGTCCCAGCGTTCCATATACAAACATCCTTTAGAGAACCCGAACAATCCATCGTCAGTCTTCTTGAATTGGCTGCAAGGTGTCTTCAAGTCTCCTACGTCGTAGATCACTTGATCTTGCAAGGAACCACCTATTCTTATCCTCAACGTTCTAAAGGCTAACAACAAATCCAAGATATTTCAGCATAAAGTCTGTGGGGATGCGAATATCGGTTTGTGATGATAGAGGTCACAAACCTTGAATAGCTTTAGCAAGAAGAGGAGAAGCCAAGTTCTGAAACCATTTGAAAAGATTAGAGAAGAAGAAAAAACAGAGAATTTTTGGCCTAGATGGAGTGATCGAGGGTGTTCAAAGCTCAAAGTTGTTTATATACCAAATTGATGAGAGACGCGTAACCCCAAGGACACTGCTCATAGTTGCACTTTTCAGGTGGCCACCAATCAAGAGTTGCGCAGACAAAGTTCTCATCGATCTCAGCGATTCGACGTGCACCGTCTATAACAATGGTGGTTTGTTCCATGTTGCTACTAATAAAAACTGGAAGTAGAAGCAGAGAAGTCAAGAACACAAGGAAACAAACGTTTAAGCCCATTTTTGGTTTGTTTGAGCCTCACGCCTCACTCCGTTGATCTGTTTTAGAAACCAAAAAAATAAGTGAAAACAAAGATAAGTTGATAAAGGTAAGAACTAATTACGAACTCTTATATCAAGAAAATGAAAAATACAGAGAAAGAACAGAACAGGAACAGAGAACAAGCAAATGATTACAGAGGAAACTGGAATTTATAAAGAAAAATTCTATAGAGATGAGCCTTAAAAAAAACAACAAATGGAGAGGCTAGTAGGCTTTGTTCAATTGGTATAAGCACAGACTTTTGGTTTTTGGTTGAGAAGTCAACCTTATTATTAGCTTTTTGAAATTTTATGTGTGGATATTTCATTTGCGATATTTTTTTAGTGAACTTGCAATATAGGAAAAAGGGAAAATCAAAAGTTTGGTCTCTAATTCTATGTCGAGATAATTACTCTATTTTACCATGATCAAACTTAAATTAGAAAGATTTGTCATTTACATAGTGGTCAAACATTGTTTCCAGAGAGACGCATGCCTAAGAGCATTATAGTTGACTTTTGGGTAGAATCATTAATATAATGAAATGGTCTCTGAAATTTGCGGGTTAAACTAAAAAAAATTGTGGAATGGGTCGAAAATGCAAGTTGGTCTCGATGACAAAGACGGCGACAGTCAATTTAAAGTCCACCAGGTAATTTCTAATTTTAATAATATCTTATAGTAAATTTTTAGTGGATGGAGGTAAAGCAAAATCAAAGAATGAAAAATCAGAATAGAAACTGACCTTAGAAGAATCCAGCAACCATGGAGGGGAAAAGAAAGATGAGCCAGAAGTTAAATAATCGGAGACTTTGATTAGTTTAAGCTTCTGACTGAATCGCAAGCAGAGAGCAGAGGTTGTTTGTTCTTGGCGTCGACAACACTTCATCAAAGTCTCGCCTTCTCTCTTTCATTGATTTTTTCATAAAAGCGTGTTCAATCTACTTAATCCGGTTATTACCGAACCGAAATTATACCCCAAAATTATTTCGAAAACCGATTACAAAAACGTAATTTAGACAAACGAACCGAACCGAAATTATACCAAAAAAATACCAAAACACACTTTTCGATAATCTCTTTTAATGGGCCGAGTGTTGTTGAATTTTTGGATCATGCTGCCAAAAAAAAACAATCTAGGATCATTTATTTTGAGTTTTTTTTTTTTTAAGTTTTTTTTTTTTGAGATTTGGCAGTGGTTTTAGATTAAACTATCAATTTTCTTTCTGCCAAATTAAATTAGACCAACGAAAAGAGTGATATACTTTGGAATTATTCATGCATATTTGATAGGAATATGTGGAGATTAATGACGTTTTAAAAAACACGGATTTTTATTGATAGCATCAAATCCAAGTAAATCAGTTTTATAGTATATTAATTCGAGCCTAAGTAACTTACATAAGAAATTATCAACAGCACACAAAAAAAACTTAAATAAGAAGAGATTATTTATAAATTAAAAAAAAAAAAATCAGCCGCTCCCTCTCTCTCATAAGACTCTCCTCCAAAGGAAGATTTCCTACCTAGTCTGTGTTTTGTGTGAGTTTCTTTACCTAACAATCAATTCTTCCTTTCTTCTTTCATCAATTTGTTTCCAATTACAAAGTGAACCTAATCTCATTTAGGAAAGCAAATCTTCTTCTGCTATATATATATAAATATATATATTTTTTTTTCTTTTCTTTTTTCATATTCTCCCGATTTCTTTGTCTCCTTCTGTTGTAATTCTCAGAAAATTAGGTTGTAGTTTCTCTAGCAGCAATCTAAAGGTATCAATTTCCTGAATTCTTGAGCTCACGTCTTTAGCGTTTTGGTTAAGTTTGTGTTGCGTTTGAATTTGAAACTGTTGGTAGGGTTTTAAGCGTGTAGGGTAGTTCTTTACTGTAGAATTAGGTCATTGTCCTCAAAATCCGATCAAAAGTCAATTCTCAAATTACAATTTTGTCTTTTTATGTATTGATGTGATTGATGATTGACGAGGATCATACACACTTATATTTTGATTGAGACTCTCCAAGTCAACCTTTGTCCTCTTTTGAATGTAGAGATTCCTTTATGTAACCCATATATTGATGTTGGAATGAAGAAGAACATCTTCTGGTAGATTAGATTTGTTCTTTATGATGTCAAATTCAACAATCTGATCAGAATATGTAATTAGACAGAAGAAGTTCTTTGGATTGGATCTTTTTAATAATTCACTCTGTGATCCTCTACAGGTTTTTGTTCTGGTTTTGCAATGGCTGAGGAGAATACTTCAGAGGTTAAAGAGATTGTGAATTGTTTGGACACAAATCCTCCGGCGATGTCTGAAGAAGGTTCTGTGGAAACACTACTTCTTGTAAAAGATGTGGAAGATGTTACATCTGCGGCATCCAAGGTTCAAGAAGAGTGTGTACCAGAGATTAACGAAGTGCCTAAGCCACAAGGTGGGAACTTGAGAAGGCATTCGACTGGAACCATAGGTAAACCGCAGGTTCAGTCACGGTATCGTGGGAATCATCACGTGCCTTCGATTCATGATTTGTGTAAACATGGGAAGAGGTGTGACCACGATGATGCGGTGAAACCGTGGAAGGTGGTGAGGAGAAAGAGTGTTGAAGGCTCCGAGGCGGCAAAAGCTGAGACTTCGAGTTCGAGAAACAGACAGTCGTTTGGAGCTTCTGTGTCTGCAAAGAGAGATGCGTTGGCTGTGAAGAAGAAACCATGTGCTTCTGTGAACTCTGAATCATCTAGTGAGATGGCGAGATCTGTTGATGGTTTAAGCGTTAAAAGCAGTGATAAAGCTCGGAAGAAGAAAGAAACGGAGAGTGCTCTGACTGGTTCAGCTGTTGTTAAAAAGGTTCCTGGCTTGAGGAATGACAAGTCAAATTCTGCTATGGAGAAGAAGGTTTCAAGGATCAGTGACGCCGAAAGCTCTAAGCTTTCTGCTCCAAAGAATCTGAAGAATAAGGAGAAGGCAAAGACTGAGGCAATTAGCTGTGAAGATGTAAAAGAGAAGACTGTGTGTGTTGTTGAATCTAGCGTCAAGGGTGTTCAGAGAAAGAAGCAGACATCATCTGAGAAGAAACCCATTATGACTGGACATGAACGCTTGGCTACTCCTAAACGTGGTTCCGAAAATCATGATCCTGGTAAAATCAGTAGTACCGGCTTGACTAAGAAGAAAGAAAGTGGTTCTGCAGACACTGAAGCAAATCCAAAAACCGAGAAGAAGGTTAGGCCTAAGAGGACAGGAGTGCAGGTGACTCTAGCGAAGCAGCTGAATTTCAAGAAAGGGAAGACTCTTGAACCGAGACCTGAAGACTCTTCTCCGAGATGGGTCAGGTTCAGGAAGAGGGTTGTGCAGGAACTGAAAAACCAAACAGAAGGGAGGAAGAAGAAGAATCTGAAAGATAAACGATTGGATGTTGGGACAAAACAGGATTCTTGTGAAGGAAGTAAATGTGAGAAGGTTGTTCTGAGGCATCGTAAAGTTGAAGGGAAAAAGAAAATGATAACATTGTTCAATAATGTGATTGAGGAGACAGTGAGTAAGTTGACAAAGGTGAGGAAGGACAAAGTGAAAGTTCTTATTGGTGCTTTTGAAACTGTGATCTCTCTTCAGGAAACTAAGACACCTCCGAAAATTCAGAGCAAGGCCACAACATCTGCGTCTAAGGTTAGTCCTTAGGGGTCCGAACAGTGAAAAAAAAAAAAAAAACCAAAGATTTATTTCTGTGCATATGATCTAATATAACATTCAAGAAGTTAAACTTCGAGAACATATTTTGAGAGGAAGAGAGCGAGCGAGAGAGAATAGTCTTGTTGTTACTGTCCTCCAAATAGCAAAAGGATAATTATATATGTACTTTGACAATTACTGAATCTGATAACTGATGAACTAAGTTGTGAAGCTTTCAAGTTTTATCTCTGCAAAGTCTTTTACCATACTCAAAAAACAGTTTGTCTTTTTTACAATCACGACACAGCGATCTTTCAAGATCTATATATATATTGATAATTAATACTCAGCTACACTAATCTCTTTTCTCGTGATTCGAAGAACTTGAGGGCATGCCTGTATTTACCTTTGTCGTCTGATCAGACTGTTGTCTATAGATCGCTGCAGCCATTTTGTTGTAGAGATCCATGTTCATTGTCTGTAGCAGCAGCATGACCAACAAAAATGAGCTCAAGAGTTGTAAATCTGAAAATAAATCTCTAAAAACTGTTTAAAACGGTTTTTACCTGTGCGAGAAATACACTATACGGGTCAGTTAAAGCGGCTGGAGAACCATTGGTGCAGTCTCTGTTAGCCATAGGAGGGACCATCAATGGTGGAGGAGGAGAAGGAGAGACTAAACCACCATAAGCATTGCCACCGCCTCCCATTCCCATTCGCGCCATTGTTGCAAGTAGCGACATCTGAAACTGCTGTTGCTGCTGCTGCTGTTGTTGTTGTTGCTGTTGCTGCTGCTGTTGTTGTTGCTGGTGTTGGATGCTGAGAACTGATTGTGGTGGAGGTAGTTGTGGCATAATCATCTGTTGTGGCAAGTTGGCTCTTAAGCTCATAAACTGGACTTGTGCTTGTAGCTGTTTCAAGTGTTCGATTACATCGTCCAAGATCGAGACTTTATCTGCCTGCAATATCAGGAAAAACTAACTGAGTTTCAATATAGAAAAAGTTTTGAACTTTTAAAATGGGTTCTTGTAGGATATAGATTTACCTTACTTGCAGTAGGAAGCAGCTTCTGAAGTGTTCTCATCCTCTGGTTTATCCTATCACGCCTTCTCTGCATCAAAACTCAAAACCAAAAGAGTCTGTATCCATTTTCGAACAGAAGTTTGGCAATTGCAAATAACCAAAGAGATGCGTTTTGATACCCTTTCAGACTCGTTGTGAATCGCTGCTGCTCGTCCCCGTCTTCCATTAGATCTCCCAGCTTCTCCTCTCGTCTCTTGTTCATCTCCTTCAGTATCTTGTGTTTCCTGTAAAAAGGTCTTCTTTTGGTGATTTCTCCATTTAGTCTTTCAGAAGGAAACAAAAAAAAAGAAAATTTGGTTTATTATTACTGATCCTGAGAGGATATAGTCTCTGTCTCCGGTTCTAGCCGTCTTCAAGCTCCGACCAGATTCGAAAGACGCCCAAGACATATTGGTACCACTCGCGCTTGCGGTCACGCTGTGACCAACTCTATGGCTATCCTCTTGAACAGCGAACCAGCAGTCCATATCTTGGGGATAGCCGCGTTTTCTTGAGCAAGATCCGTCCTTTCTCTCGGAATTGTGGTCCGGCACCTTCAGCTTGCTTGGCTGCAGAACCGCCTGGTGGACCACAGACTCCAAAGTCTCGCACCCGGTTAGATTTTGGGTCCATATAGGGTTAGCCGAGGTGGTTGGTTCGACTTCTTCGCCTAGACCATGGACCGTTAATTGTCCATTTTCCCAGGTGAGCTCTTTCACTCCGTAATTCGACCTGACTCACCATAAAATAGACATTGTTTTTGTGTTAAGAGAGACAGAGAGAGTAATAAAGAAAGGAAGGAGACAGAAGCGTGAGGCTTTGTCTCTTTTTGGTGTAAAACAGAGAAGAGTTCTTATCAGAAACAGAGACGATACATGTGTTGTTACTTAGGCCGCACGTTTGCAGAGAATAAACTGACAATTAAGCTTTTCTTTTTCTTTTTTCTTTCTTTTGTTGGCCCTTCTTCTTCTCTCTTCTCTCTTTCTTCTTTCTTGAAAAATGTTGTAATCTTCTTTCTTCTCTGTTTTCAAACTCTTGACAATCACAGCGACAACTCATGCAGTGTATCTGCCTTTGATCCATATTGAAGTTATAATAAAGAGCCTATCTCTCTCTCTCTCTCTTCTTGTCTCCTCTCTCTCTCTCTTCTCTCTCTCTCTCTAAAATGGTCCCTGCAAAACGTCAAATGGTTTTTATGTGGAGGAAGCACATGTGTGGCAAAGGATTGTTGTGTTATGCCCCTCAAGCACCATGATCCTCTCTCCTCCCAAATATCCAATAAGTGAGGGCATTTTCGTCTTCTTACATTCTACTCACTCCCTATGAAAGGCCATTATCGATTTCTGCATGCATTTACTGACCCACTCGGTAGAAAGTAAAGCGTGTGATTGGATTAACCGATTAAGAAAGAAACACATTTCTAATAATAGATTTTTTTCTTTCTTTCTCTAAAAAAATATGTGAAGAATTTCATCTTTGAATTGACGTAGTTGAAATCTATACCATATAGAAGCATTAAATAAAAGAAGACAAGATATATTTATTGGAGTAAACACGTAAGAATCCAAAACTATAGTATGGTATTCGAATGTCAAAATGAGAGTGAGATGTGAGGTTGATGGAAATGGCATCAACAAGTCCATTAGATGCAAGTAGTGAGGAATAAATCAATATGTTCTCATACTACTTAGCCGCTTTTTATCGATTTTCTCTGTCCACACTCTCCTCTCTTCTCTGCTATCGCGAGATCAGATGGGTTCTTATTTGGATTTGACCACCATGGACACAATTTTGGTTTTTTAAAAAACATTCACCATAGACACAATATTCATACCAAACATTTGTAGTGGAACTTCTACATTCGAGGAGCTCATTTTTTTAAAAAGAAAAACAATACTCCTTTTATTTTAAAATAAGTGTCACTTTGACACTTTTCACACAAATTAAGAAAATTACTTAAAGTTCTGTTTTATCATTTGTTTACACACAAAATAACATTCTCTTTTTAATTAATACATTAATATATAAGGTTAAAAAAATTTATTTAAAATTTTACATTGGAAATACAAAACGACACTCTTTTTGAAACAAAAATAAAACTCTAAAACGACACTCTTTTTGAAACGGAAAGAGTAATATCTAATAGTAGTTAATTAATTTACTGTGGAAGAAACTAGAATGAAGAGCCAGAAAAAGCTTTATTGATTTCCATGCAAAATAATATAGACATTAAAAGCTTTATAGATATTTGAGAATCTTATTGATATCTATGAAAAAAAAAACTTGGTATCCTTTGCGTGATTATTAAAATGAGTACTACTATTTAATCAATTAAGTACATCACATCTTCTAGATTTTGTGTGTAATTAATATATGAAGAATTAGAGAAAATCAATCAAGCTAAATAAGAAAAGAAAACAATATGAGCCCGTGCACTCCCAAAATTTAAAGTCGGAGATTGATGAAACATAAACTTAAGGCCCTACACGTTGTGTATGATCCGAAATCTGAGGTTTTTGAAAAATGTTATCTTGGAGACATATTCAAAGAATGTCCTCACTGTCATTTGAATACTGCATGGCCGACACTTCATCGAGATCCAGCAAGACATTACCTCATTAAAGGCAGAATTTTCAAAGGACAATAATCAAATTCAAACTTACGTACGAGTCTGCAAGAAAACTGAGGATATATATTTTGCAAAACAGTCGTATTTCTTTTTTTGTTCTCAATCATTTGTTTTAGTACTTTTTCTTGTATAGTGGCTACAACCATTAGTTTATGATAGGCTAATAAGCCTGAACCTGACGGTGGAACAACTTGACAATTTGACATGAATGATATATTGATGATTTTATATGTGTTGTTGAGTCAGAAGAAATATAATAAACAAACATTTATTGACGAGATCACCCTTGTATTTGTATTGTAAACCCTATATATATATAGAGAGAGTAGAGATTTCCCAATCATTTGGTGTCACATCAAAATCTTAAGTGATTTCACCCACCCGCTCGAGTTACGGCCGACAGCTTAAAACTGATGTCGTCATTATGACACGTGTAAACATTACATTGGATGGTGAATAGGGACCCATTGTTGATCTGTGAAGTTCAGCCAATCAACTTCTCGCATTAGATTCTTGACAGCGAATCCTAACGCTCCTCCAAGTTTATCTGCTCACAAGTCTTTCCTTTTTTTTTTTCTGCTATCTTTCTTCTCTTCACGTCAATTATTTTCTGTTAATCATGTATTCTTTCATTTGACATGCAAAAATGAAAAATGTTCGCTTCCACTTATTCCTGTAGTTACCTTTTTTCTGAAATTGGGTACATTTAGAGCATTTCCAACGGGGTATAAGGAGAGGTATCTCAATTTCTGAAAATACTAAAATATTACAAAAGGAAGAGAAAAGATCAAAAGATGAGATTTGGTTGTCATTTAACATACTTTGAGAAACAGTATCTAACTCTTTATTTCTTTATGATTGGTTCATTTTTTTAATATTAATATAATAATTGTTTAGATACTATTTTGAGTATCTAACCGATAGGTCTGCTCTAACATATGAATTCATGGAGTTACTTTTTCTGAAAAAAAAACTATGTGTTATTTTCAAAACAAAAGAATAGTTTATAAAGACAAGTTTTCGAAATAAAACTAAAATATAAATATATTATATGTGTTTCATTTAACTAATAAAAACAAACAAGCGGTAAATATTAGATCCTATGCAATGTATATCATCATTTCATATATCATAATGTCAATCAAAATGTGTAGTCTATTTCTAGAAAAGCCATCCAGTTCTACACATTGTTGTTGGATTTTTCAAATTGTTCTAATTTTCCAAGAAAAGTAAATTCGTGTTAATTGTGAGAAAGTTATAACATTTGAATCAGCCACTTTTGTTCACGAAACGCGGATTCATACCATCAGATCAGTGAACAAACTCTTCACGTCATATATTGAGAGTACGCGGCAAAATCATTAATAAAAAAAAACAAAAATTGTCAAAAATCTATTGATAGAGAAATATTGTATAAGGACAGTATTACGAATTTCCAAATAAGAAAAGCTAAAGAATAGTAAATGCGAATGGTCCTGGCCACCACATAGAGAAGTTGCTACTCTCAAGTCTTACCGGTGGAGAAAGAAACTTAGGGTAAGAGAGAAGCTTGGCTGGACCAAAGAATGCCTCGTTTTCCTTTGATATCATATCTCTAAATCGAGTTATCGATCAATCAAAATCCGTTTTGGTCCCTTTTTTGTGTTTACTCGTTTTAATATAATACATTTCATGTATGAAATTGGGTAGAGAACGCGCGAAGCATCGACTATCACGTCAACATTAGATTTTTATTAAACACATTTTTTTGGTTTATTATTCTGATATCCGAACTATCAATATTTCATGGCTCGAGATTTAGATAAGTCTTTAGAATCTTTACACCATTTCAAAAAATTGTCTGAGAGAAAAGAACAAAAAAATTCAATAATATGCATCGTGGTGATCATATATATACAGAAGTCTTATTTTTTTATTTATGATTTGAGTTCTCGATCTTAATTCATAGACATCCCCACAAATATAATATAATTGATAGAACATAATATGTTGATTTAGTAACATCGAAAGCAGAAATAATTGATGGAATTTTTTCCGGTTCGACGCATTTTCTTTACTTTTTCTTGAACTTGAGCTTCTTTGCTCTTCCTCTTCTCTTCGAGCTGTTTCTTGGCTCCATCAGCAATTAGTTGGATCCTTGCTAATTTTGACTTATAATGCTGATTGTTTATTTCTTTTCTCCTCTCCCATTCACTCTTTGTCATATAAAACAAAATAAAATATTAGTAATTAAGCCGTGTATTTTAATATTCAAAATAAAAAAAAAATGTTTAGCCATTAGATAGAATACAACAACCTTTCTTTTCTCCATTGTAAGTGTAGCTGCTAACTTTCTCTCATTTTCCCAGCCCACAATTTCAGCTTTCATTTTCTCATACCTTCAAGCACGGTTTATTTTCCAGATGACTGACAAGAAATTGTATACTTCACAATATTAAATTATTAATAACAAAGAATGAAATTTGACCTTAATCTAATCTTATTCATTTGAGTTTTTTCCCAAGAATCTGCTTTACTTGGGGCTGAAGCGAGTCCTGATGCTCTGATGGATGAGCCAATGTCTTTTGCTAGACGATGTTCTGGTGAATACTCCAACGGTTTTTTCCTGAAACTCTCCTCTACCGGCGAAAAAAAAAATTATTACGATAAATGTCTGAATATCAATATAAGTTTGGTTCTGAAAAAAGCTAGTAACTACTTCGCTATTTGATTGTGTTATTTACCTCCAATTTTCACCTCTTGAGTAAATAATTTGTTTAGTCTCTTCACTTCAGTTTTAGGTATTATGGGTTTGGTTTTCTTCGTCCGTGACCTCTTAATTTCATCTCTTATCCTTTTCGCCCTTTCTTCATAGGCTTCCTCCATTGATCTAATAACATATGCAGCAGCCGCAACAGAAGCTGCGAATTCGCTCTCTTTCTCGTTGTAGCAGTCATTTTTTTCGTACCAATATGACTGGTTCTTCAGCCAGTTTAATGCTGGATTATCTTCAATATTGGTATCACAGAAAGCAAAATATTATCGAACATCTTCCAAAGTATTTGTGATTCTGTACATATAAGTAAACGGAAAGAGATGTGAAACAAGTGAAATTTTACCGTTTATGGCCAATTCTGATAACCTTGGAAAATCCGCTAGTTTATCCTCAGAAAATGACACCCTATCAAGAAAAATCAAGAAAAACGAATTTTTATCTTTCCACAAACGTTTTCTAGGATATGACGGGATTTTGGAAAATTACCAAAAATTATGAGTTAAAAAAGGAGATTTTGGACGTGTACCTTCTTCTTTGCTTAACTAAATTGTCCATTTAATTTTACCAAGACTCCAATATTGTAGGAGCTTCATATATATTGTTTGTCTTATATTCTCTTGAAAATCAGGAGAACTATGAGGAAATGTGGTAATTTGTTCTTGAAGCAAAAAATAAATAAAGAAGCTAAATACTTATTTCCACTGTACAGGAACATGCCAAGTATCAAAACATGTGATTTTATATGCTATTCTTCATGTACATATTTAGTCACATAACACCTAAATAAAAGCCACCGTTTCTTAATCAATTAAGAAGATGGAAAACGTGTCGTGAACAGTAACCAGGCCTGTGGAGAATTGATCCGATTCTTGACAACAAGGGGTTTTATGAAGGGATTAGATTTCAAACGGCCGATGGACCTTTGTGGTTCGGCTAGACTCGGATAGTTCTTCTTGACAACAAAGGGTCATCTGTTTAGGTACAAAGCCCACAATTGGCCCAATTGTTCTTTTTTCATCAAGGCCCAATCGTTTATTTATGTAGATTAAATCGAGTAAAGGAAACAAATTGAATTTTTTTTTTTTTACTAAAGAAACAAATTGCATTTGAATAATGTAACCAATTATATAAGTTTGTAACGAACGATTATCCTACAATCAATAATTTTAGATAAATTATATTGACTATTGTTAATATGAATTTGTCCGTATTAGCTCATTCTTGCTTGTAATGATTGTAATGTCTATAGCCATTACATGCAATCTACGCACCAATCTTTTGGTTCCTTCTTAACAACCCGTCTTATTCATACACTGTTATCCTTTTTTTTTTTAATACAAATCTCAACTGATACAAATTTAAGTTATGTGCGCACCCAAAAAAAAGAGTAATATATTTGATGAATTGATATGGTACCTACCCAAATCATTTATATATTCGTAACGTGCGACGAGCTTCTCATTGATTTATAGTTGTCGAGGACCTCGAGGTGTGATTGGTGAGACCCAGATGATTCAGGTCTTTTATTGGACATATACTAAACCCTTGAAATTCACGTGCTCGACCATTTCGGATAGATCTCCATCCATGCCCTGACAAAAAAAAAAAATATATATATATATATATATATATTCACAATAAACTCTCTAGATAAAGAAAATGATCAAAAAACATAATATAAGCTTTTCCTAAATAATCGCCCATACAGAAAAATATGCCACTAGTTTTTTTTTTTTTTTAATAATTCTCAATGCACTAATTAATAACCAAAATATTACAAATTGACCGATGACAACTATAAGAATGCGAGCCATATATAAGACCATGAGGAAAATAATCAACCTAATAATTGAATCAAAGATCTTTTCATCTCCGACCACCAACAAAATGGTGTTAGTGACATCAGGAAATGAGGTACCAACCATGAGCCAATCAAAGACGGTATGTGTGATAGGAGCAGGACCCTCAGGCTTAGTGTCGGCGAGAGAGCTAAAGAAAGAAGGGCATAAGGTGGTGGTGATGGAGCAAAACGAAGACGTAGGAGGTCAATGGCTATACCAACCAAACGTGGAAGAAGAAGATCCATTGGGAAAATTCAAAACGCAAAAAGTACATAGCAGTGTTTACTCATCCTTGAGGTTGACTACTCCGAGAGAGATAATGGGTTTCTCTGATTTCCCATTCACGGCGAAGGAAGGAAGGGACACGAGAAGATTCCCAGGGCATGAGGAGCTTTGGTTGTATCTTAAGGATTTTTGTCAAGTGTTTGGGTTGAGAGAGATGATTAGGTTTAATGTTAGGGTTGACTTTGTGGGGATGGTGAATGATGATAATGATGATGATGATAGTACGAAGAGGTGGATGGTGAAGAGTGTAGAAAAGAAGACTGGTGAGGTTATTGAAGAATTGTTTGATGCTGTTGTTGTTGCCACTGGCCATTACGCTTATCCTAGATTGCCTTCCATTAAAGGTACATTATAAATATATTTGGAGTCCATATGCAACTTTTTTTAATTGGATAAGAAAAATAGTTAAAGTTGATGTTATAAATAGATTATAATTCATATACAATATTTTTTTTTTCAAAAAAAAGTTATGAGAAAGTAATTTTCATATCTGGAATTTCTTAATGCTAGCTAATAGATATATATTGGTTCTGATGGTTTTGGTGCGTATAGGAATGGATTATTGGAAGAGGAAGCAACTTCATAGCCATGTGTACAGGGTGCCTGATCCTTTTCGTGATGAGGTATTTAATCTAATTGACTAAACAAGCTTGATGATATGTACAGATTACAGATACGTGATGTATGATATATATGCATGATGACGAATGGTACGTAGGTGGTGGTGGTAGTTGGGTGCTCAACGAGTGGGCAAGACATATCAATAGAGCTTACGGGAGTGGCAAAGGAAGTTCATCTAAGTGCCAAACCACTTGACATTCCTCGTGGCTTGTCTAAAGTAATTTCAAATCATAAAAACCTCCATCTTTGTCCCCAGGTACACTCTAACACCAATCACGATATCTACTTCTTCACAATTCATTCATTATATATTTAGTATATTGTAGATAGATTATTTAAAATGCTTTGAATGCTTCATTTCTTTCTACCGGTTTGTAGATTGAATCTCTAGAGGAAGAGGGACGGGTCAATTTCGTTGATGGGTCTTGTGTTGTAGCCGACACCATTCTTTACTGTACCGGGTAAGTTGAGATTATATATATTTCTTATAGTTTTCCAACAGATTTTTTTTAAGTTCTATTTTTTGTCTTTTTTTGAATTTTAGGCAATCAATTTTTGTTTTTTTTATTATTTTTTAAATAATTCAAAAAAGTAAAATTTAGTTCTATCTCATATTTCAATAGTAACATTATCAATAATACCCTTTACCGAAAGTAAAATATGATCAACTTATACCCTTTACCAAAATTAGAATATTACTTTTAATACCAGATGTTTGACTCATATGACAACATGAGTAGACTACCAATCTTGTAATTTGTTTCCACGACAAGATCCCTATACCCTATTTCTTGGGATCGATATTCATCCCATATATATGAAAACTTTTTTTACTTTTTGAGTATTCCTGCAATTCTGTTATATATACTTCTGTCACCATTTGTATTCTATGACATTTTTCTATAAGTTGATTTGATTTAAATTAAATAAGTATTAAATAATATTTTTATAAAAAGAAACTAATGTAGTTTATTTAGAATCTTAGATCATAGTAAATAAAAATATAATGTATATGTGCGATTTCGAATAAAATTTATCATTGCTTAGAAGTTAGAATATTGTTTTTCTATAAAGTTTAACACTGCAAAGAATTCATAAAATATCTTTCTGAAATTGACATTTCAGTTTTTTTATTTCAAAACACATGTATGAATTCTCTGTTTAATAATGATTGTATTACCAAAAACATTACACAGATTATAATTTTCACAATTTTTTCGTTCCTTATAATATTAACCAAATTTGTTAGATTTGAGAATACAAATATGGACACACACGTGTGCATGCAGGTATTGGTACAAATTCCCATTTCTTGAGAGTAAAAGAAGAGTAGAAGTTGACGATAATAGAGTGGGCCCACTCTTCGAACACACGTTCTCTCCTTTTCTCTCTCCTTCTCTCTCCTTTGTCGGCATCCCTCGAAAGGTAAAAAATATAATTGATTTATTACCTCGAAAGGTTAAACATTTAAACCCTAAACTAAGCATACACGATTATCAATCAATCTACGGTTGTTTTCCAACATTAATTATCGAAAATGGGTTTCACGAGATCATGCAGCTGATAGGGTTCCCATTCTTTGAATCACAAGCGAAATGGATCGCAAAGCTTTTGTCAGGCAAAACTTCACTTCCTCCCTCCGATCAAATGATGCAATCAATCTCCGATTTCTACCGATCCAGAGAAGCCGACGGAATCCCCAAACGCAACACTCACGACATCGCCGATTTCAACGTACCAAACAAGTCGCAGTTTCTCTTCTTCTCTTATTCATCAAAATCTCTGTTTATTAATATATATATATATATATATGGTGTAAATTTGCAGTATAGCGATAAATACGCAGACTACATCGGATTTCCACATCTGGAGGGATGGAGAAAGGAGCTGTGTTTGTCGGCTATACTGAATTCCCTGGAGAACCTGGAGACCTATCGCGATTCTTGGGACGACGATGATCTCCTTCAAGAAACACTTCGAAACCCTTATTTCACCCAACTCTCTACTCCTTAAAAGCTTTTGTACGAATAAATAAACTCAAAAAAAATCTCATCTTTCTATATATATATCATCCATGCACAAAGCTAGACACAAAAATTCCACTGATTTAGACTATTTAGTGATTTTTTTTTTTTAATATTTACTATGTATGGTGTGTGATCTCTGTTACGTGTCTCTGTAGACAAAAGAAAGCTATTGAAGTTTTGGAGTCCTGATGCCTCTTCTTCGCTTCGTTATTGTTCCCCAATCGATTACCATATTTCCCATCAAGCTGCAGTAGTAACTCGAGCGAGCATCATTCGCTTCAGAAGCTTCGATTAGCCTCTCTGACTTGTTTAGACCCTGAGAGGCATCGTTTCCTGTATAAGTGCTTAGGCTCGAGAGGATCTCGTTGTGGTGATCTTCTTGTTGTTGTTGCCGCTTTCCCTGCCTGCGAGTGGTCCTCTTGCATTTAGCGGGAACAATGTTTGAGAAGGATTTGTTTGTTCTCTGCTCCTTTGGCTTCATCACCTCTGTTAATGCCATTGCCGAAGATGCGATGTTAGCAAACCAACGCAGAGTGATACAGTCAGAGGTTTCAATGATAGACTCTCTAGCTGAACCTGATAATGACATATCAAGTATGGCCTCTGCTGCTGCTGACATTTCTTGTTCCTCTGTAACAAGAAAGTTCACTCTAGCCTTTGGTTTGGTTCTTGCAGTCTTTCTCGTAACCTTGCCTGATTGTATCTCTATGTGTGGTTTATGAAGCCTTCTTTTTCTTGGACTGGTCCAATTACTCAGTGAAGGGTTATCATCCTCATTAACACAAAAGTTCGCGTCAAGATTTGAGCCTTTCAGGGATTTGCTTCGGGGGAAAGTTTTCACAGTGGTGAATTTCGCTTTCTTTCTAGGACATGAGGAACGTTTTTGGAAGAGTGAGATGTGTTTCGAACATGGCAGCGCTTGAACCATACCTCGTGATGGCTCTGATCCGTTTTTTCCATGCAATGAAGCTGAAATCAATTCTCGGGGTTGCTCAGATTCTGCCATCTTGACTTGTTCAGATGATAAGGGAGATGTATTCAGGTCAGTTCCATTCTCTGCACAAAACAAGTGACTGATCAATTCTCAATGATCATTGCTAGCTTTCATTATATCAAGAAAATGATATGTACCAATCTTGGACCTCAATAAACCAGCTAAATGCTGCACATGTTCTGGCTGGACAACAGAGTGATCTTTAGCAAAGTTGAGAACTTGATGGACTTCTCCATCTTTTGAACCTTCTTCTTCTTCTTCTTCCACGATATCAAGATAACCGTGAGACGGCATTTCAAGATTCAAGACCTTCTCCACAGACTTATCACTCTCATCTTCAACCTTGGCAGATGCGTCTTGTGGTGGCAAAACGCTAGCTTAAGATGTGGAGATGCTTAAACTCATCCAGTGAATGCTTGCTCTAGGACTAGAGGCCCCGGTATTAGGTAACAGATGTCGAGGCCCCTCCATTTTCATCATCAGCTCTTTCTGCCTTTGATAAAGACGATGAAGCTCGTGGATCTGAACTGACATGTATCATCAGAGAACAATGAAACACTCAAATGAATCATCTTTTTAAGATACACTCATAAGTAGAGATTTGATAGCGTGTTGCAAAGTGATTCTACAATTGGAGAGTGAACAGCTTTTACCTGATTTTCAAAGGCAGACTCTTGCTCAAGCATGGTCTTTTTCAGTGATTCCTTATGCCGTCTCACATTAAGGTCACAATACAGTAAAGAAAACGTATTGTTCCCGCCGTATCCACCGGCCAAGAATGCATCAATGTCCTGTACAGGACACAATCTCCATTTCGCTTTGTCCTCCTGCATTTCGCTTTGTCCTCTGGGAAGATTCATTCAACAACCTTGTAATAGATCGGAGAGAGTAAACCTGCAAGTAGCCAAAAAAAAAGAAGTATTGCATCAAGAAAACCGTTTCCAAGTTTTGATTGGCATCTGTTAGAACACAATATTCATATGAAAATAAGACCCAAGGCTAGGAATCAACAACTCTCTTATCCTTCACTATAAATAAACTTGCGGAAGTTGACTTTGTGCTGACTATTACATTAAGCCCTTAAGATCTCTAAAGAGTATTATTTTATATAAGCAACGAGACTGTAAGATATAAAAGTGGTCAGTTCCAAAATGTCTTGAAGAAGAGGACCGAGTAGTAAACATCAAACTGATGGAAACCTTTTTGTTTCAGATTCCCCAGATTTATCAATCGAAAACGGAATATAACGGTATATGAAGATGAAACATTGTGAATCTTACTTTTTAGAAGACAAGAGTTTATACGAAAAACTTCAGCTCCAAAAACGCATCTAAGGAATTTTCTGAGATGCGAATCATCTTCTCTGCTCAGGAAGCTGAGAAAACAGACAAGAAAAAACGCGATAAAGTTGCGATATTTGTGTTTTTGGTTTTAATTGATTACGGTGAAGCGATAAGGAAATGCGTACTCGAGATCTATTGCCTTGTAGGATTCGTCAGAGAGAGGGAGAGTGCAGGAAAATGGAGGATTTTCCGAGAAAACTTAAAGAGGAAGTGAGTTGAAGAGAGTTGAGGAAAAGGTTCTTCTTTTACTGTTACCGTACTTTGCGTCTTTTTAATTTGTCCTTTCGTCTTCTTACATTTTAGATATTTGATCACCGTCTTTCCTCGTCGTCTTCTTTAAGAAAACAAGTCACTTTCAGTTTCAGTTTGTAGTTTGTACACATTATGTAGAGATATTACGAAATTTTATTTTAGGCAAGTGAAGACAACTCTATGAAACAAATTCGTGAAATGTTTGGAGAAGTAAGGCTTAGTAGCTACAAATATACAAAAATCTAATGCGAGCTAAAGGAATTGTCCCAAAGTACAAAAATAAACAACAAGAAACGGTAGAAACTGCGGTAATCGTCATCATCAAAGTACTTGAAAGTGTTGAGGAGAAGAAGATGGCTCTCTCTCTACTACTCCTCTGCAACAACAACACCAATCTCGCCTCTCTCAAGCAAATCATAGAAGGCTCTTGTTTTCCTCTGCTCGTTCCAGTGATGCATCTTCCATAGCCCACCAGCTGCTAGCCCGAGCGTCAGACCAATGACCAACTCCTTCACCACACTTGGACCTTTCAATGTTGCGTGTGCGATCTTGTGCCCAGCCATTATCTTTCAGTTCTTCCACGCTCTCCTGCTCATTAAAGAATACACAAAGAGTCACATCTCCGATAAACTTCAACAAAACATAACATCAATACACACATAGGCCATCAAAAGTCAACCCATTTGAGACAGAGACACTAGAGTATTAACAACTACAGTTAAATAATCCTCACAGAATTACCACAAAAATCAATCCCATTAATCAAACAAACACTAAAAGGGCAAAAGGAGAGACAACATCAACCAAAAACAAAACAAGCTTTGTCCAAAGCTTCTACCGTCAACAAGCAAGCCTACAGATAATCTCATAGTACGGCTAATTAATAAGGTGGATCAGTCAAGGAGGTCTTTGATCAGTGCAGAAGTTATGAGGGCAGCTAAATTTGATGAAAAGAAGCACGAGGAGACGTAATGTATGTTGGGAGAATTCTAGATTGGCAATCAATAGTAGAAAGCAACCCCACGCCTTTAAAATCGACCCATCGGATTGCAGCCACCGCACACAGTGTGCAGTGGCTCATCAGTTTCATTGTTGGAGAGTTTGCGGCGCCACAGATGCCATGGCTCAAGGCATGGACAAGGGCCCTCTCCTAATTTAGATTCATATTTGTCTCCTCGAAACTAACTTAAACATCAAAAAGCCACACACTTTACCCACAACCTGCTCAGACCTTTTACTTTATCATTCCATCATCTCCACACAACTATCTCAGAAACAGGTTATATAGACCATCATAAAGACCGAACAATGATAAAAACCTACAACGACTTAGCTAACAGGAGGTTAAAGCTATAAACTTTCGAATTCTAAGCCAACAGCGGAAGAGGGAGGAATCGATCCAGTTTATGGATTCGAATCGAATCCATTATACAGATGCAGGGAAGAGAAAAAATCACACTGTATACACAAGAGAAAGCAGTGAACTTGGAAAACTAAAGGAATCAAACGAAACGGTTATATCAAACTAATTAATTGAATGTTTCAGTAGGAAGAATCAGAGAGAAACCTGACAACAGGAGTTTATAGCCAAAGCTGAGAAATGTGAAATCTTGAAGAAGCTGAATGTGCTTTATAGATCTTAATTCGTTCCTAGGGCTTCAAGAATGAGAACCACTGAAAACGGCAGCGTTTACATAAATGGTCAAAAGAAGTAGTAGTACTATTTTTATTTTTTATGTTTTCCTAATTTCGTTTATCCTCTCCTAAATCACAGTTCTTGCTATCATTCATTCCAATTATAGAATGCAACTTGCGAGAAATCATGATGCTAAACAAGTGCATCAATTAGTCTTTCTAAAACTGAAAAGAAAACTACACTAAGCCATGACGATTTGTCTTCTCCTAGGCACAGCAAGAGCTTTAAGCGGATGCTTCATGACGACAGTGAACTCCATTTTCTCCGTCAAGCCGACTTCATCTCCTTCAACCTCCTTCCACTCAAACTCATTTACCATATTCGCCACATAATACTCCAGATGCAGCATCGCTAATCCAATCCCAGGGCAGATCCTCCTCCCAGCTCCAAACGGAATCATCTTAATCCCTCTACTTCCGGTGATATCCACCGCTGCTTCTTCCCCTTCTCCGACGAATCTCTCCGGCTTAAACTCCATCGGTTCCTCCCAAACCTCCGCATCTCTCCCTATCTCCGCCACACTGAAATTGATCGTCCCTTTCTTCGGCACCTTGTATCCTCCCAGTTCGGCGTCTTCGCTTACCCTGTGCGGCAACAGAAAATGTCCCGGAGGATGCCGTCGGAGACCTTCCAGCACCACCGCCTTCAGATACGGCATCGTCTTCATCTCTTCTTCCTCGATCTCCCCTGCTTCTTCCTCCCCGGTCACGCTTTTGATCTCCTCGTACAACCTCTCTTGAATTTCTGGATTTTTCACCAGATTCGCCATGATCCATTCCAGCGCCGTCGCCGTTGTATCAGTCCCGGCGTTGAGAAATTCCGAGCATAAGCTCACGATCTCGTCCTCGTTCAGTTTCCTATTCTCCTCTGGAAGCTCGAGGTCGAGCAGAGTGTCGACGTACGCTTGTACATACTCTTTCGTCTCCGAGCCCCTAGATTCGACGAGCTTTCTCCTGGAACGAATCATCGGCAGCAACACGTCGGTATGTTCTCTCCGTATCTGAAGAAACTCTTGCCATCTCTTTCGCATAAGCAATTTGGTGAAATTGGGGCAGACATTGAGAAAGGCGAATCTGGAGAAACTGAGTAACTCTCTTCTTTGAACGAACTCGACCCGTTTGATCTGTTCTTCGTCTAGCTTGTCTCCGAAACACATGAGAACGAGAAGCGAGAATATTGCGAATCGGAGGTGATCGACGACGACGATCGGTGTTTCTCCTCCGTCTCCGTGACTGCGAAACCGATCAAAGAGGGTCTCAAGAACAGAGCGACGAGCGCGGGAGTATGATCTCACGCGAGATGGGTGGAGAATCTCAGAAGTGAGGTTACGGCGGAGAAGTCGCCACGTGGCTCCGTACGATCCCGAGCTGATGGTGTGCTGGTTACTGGTGATGATCTTGTCGGTTGGAAGCGCCGGCGGGCGATCGGAGAAGACGGCGCCGTTCAAAACGAGAGCCTTGTGAGCGAGGAAACGGTCAGAGACGAAGATGGCGGGGAGGAAAGTGATGCGGAGGGAGACGATGGGACCGAGACGGTGATGGGCGGAGCGTAGGTAGGAGCGGAGACCACCGAGGCCGTGACGGAGCCACTGGAATGGACCGAGGAAAGGGATGAGGTTGGGATCAGGAGGTAGAGGAAGAGAGGATGAGTAACGGCGGAGGAAGAGGTGGAGAAGGAGACTGAGTGACAGAGAGACGAAGATGATGAGAAACCATGTCGCCATTCTTTTTTTTTTCTTGTTTTCTCTGTTTTCTGTTATGCTGTTAGGGCTCTTGTTCCTGAGCTCGTAACTATATAGGTGTGAGCAGATTCTTCAAGGTAACAGTTTGTTAGCGTGGCGCTCAAGAATAATTTGTTTTTTAGTCACTTCGGTAGTATATATATTATCTAATCGGAAGAAATAAAAACTATATTAGAAACGTATACCCGATTTGTTCGGTTCTTGGGCGCGACGTCAAGATCAGGGAGAAAGGTCTACTATCTCTGTAACTACGTTTAGCTTTCCTCCAAACAAACAACCCACATGCATTTTTTGTGACATCATTGGGTTTCTGAGTTTTGTGAATTATCTTTTGTTACTTAGAAAAAGTATAAAGATATACGTTAACATAAATATATTATTTTCACACCAATCGCTGAAAAGATAAATAAGATTCCATGTTGTTTTGGATAGGTTGTTTCTAAATGCTAGTTCGCATTTGCATTTTACAAGGATACTATATAGATTTTAAAGACTCAACTCGATGCTCTTTCAATGTCGATAGATAAAATGAGTTTTCTCAGTTTTTCACTATGAATCTTGTACAACAACAACACACCACACAAGAAAATAGAGTCAAATCTATTCCTGCGTTTTCAAAATTGCGGTTTGCTAATACTTATGCTTCAGACAGACCGTTGCTGGTCTTGAGACCGAACAGATTCTTCAGCAAATCCGCAGTGTTTGGTGGAATCTTTGCAGGTCGTGGAGCCATGAAGTTGACAATCTTCTCATGAACATTGTACCTGTTTCGTTTTTTCACAGAGCAACGATTCAAAAAAACTGGAAATTCAAATTCTGCTGATGAATCCAAACCAGAGAGATGAAATGTTTTATTTACCTGATCTTTCTGCTCTTGGAGGCACGCCGATCCACAACTTTCCTCTTCTTCGTCTGAAATTTCTTCATCGCGTAGAAAGCCGCCTCTGCCATTGGCAAAATTTAGATTTCAGATAAAGGACGATTCTTTAAAGGAAAACCAATACTACACTGCTCTAATGATTCCAAGATTATTTTTTTAGCATACCCGAGGAAGCTGGATCAATGGTCTCAAAGAACTCTTTTAGTAACTGCTGGTAGAATTCAGCATCCTCCACAAGTTCAGGGTCTCCTTCAATTTGTTTTTCCTGAACAAAGAGTATACATGTTAGAGAATGGGCATAAAGATAATCAATACGACTGATCAAATGATTTGATACTCTTGAGTTGGCTATAGAGAAATCGCGAACAATACCTCTTGATTTGGTTCCATGGTTTCTTCAGGGACCTGTGAATGGAAACTTAAAAGGATAAGAACAAACTGAAGAGAAGATGAAGTGTTCACCCACCAAGGCCAAGACTTTGGAAGGTTTTATTATTAGAACCAATACTTACAGTTCCAAAAATAGCAACAGTAGATCTTGATTGTTGCATTTGTTTGATCATTCTACTTGGATCCCTCATGTAAGAAGCAACCTGTTCACTAACGTTCTGGTTTTTTGAAAATAAATCAAGTCAGCTTCCTGATCGATTCTCAGATGTATAAGAGCAAAATCATTTTCGGTATCTGTTGTCTCTATACCTGGTTAAAGGCATGGAGCTTTCCTTTAATAGCAGCTGCACCAGTTGTGACTTGCGTTCTTCTCTGCCATTTGTCCACAGCCTTGTTTCGGAACACAGTCATTCTACAGAGCAACGACCACTTTAGTGTTAACAATGAAGCGTAATGAGATTGGTAATGAGATTGGTCTCCGAATGAAAACAATCATGTTCTTACTAAACAGATTTATTTTGCTTGGACAGAACAATGAGAACTTTAAAGTTGTAAAAGTTCAATAGTTAGTCCAAAATACCTTTTTTGCTTGTCAGATATTCGGTCCCATTCATCGCTATCTTCTGCATCTGATTGATTGGATTCTGAATGCACTACAGTAGCTGTTCCTGATATGCAATAGAAAAAAGACGAAATGATATATTGACCCTTGCTTATGCTGATTATAATTATGATTTTTCGTTTAATATGTCATACCATCTGCTTGCTGATCAACCGAGGGGTTATTCTCATACAAAGCCTGCGAAAAAATTGGATTCAAAGAGTATAAAAAAGGTCACAGAGAGAATACACTCAGAGACGCCATGTCAAAAAAAAAAAACGTACTGTTATTGAAGCATGATATAATTTACAACACAGAGGAAGCTTGATAGAAGCATATCTTTTCATACATACCTCTTGCAACTCCAGGAGAGAATCTAATGTCTTCTTAGATGAAGTAATTAAGTCTGCATATGCTGCTGAGACGTTCTCATCTTCCGAACAAAACGACGATTTGGTTGGCTCCTGGAAATCATTTCTTTCTGTCATAAGCATGATGACACAAAAAGAAAACGATGGACAGAAGAAAGAGGAGAAGAGAAAGAGCTTACCTGTGGCAATCTGTTTGAACTACTAAAAGCTTTCTGAAGTAAGAATCTGAACTCCAGAGTTTTATCCCAAAGAGCCTTTACATGGAACAAACAAAAAAAGGAATCGCCTTAAACAGAAATTCACTCTAGATTAACTTCATAAACATAAATGTACGTCTATACATCTGCAATTATAAGCGTGTGATTTCTAGTAGGACTATTTCACAAACAGTAGAGCAATGTCATACCTTCTGGTTCTTCACTGCTTGACCTTTAGCAGCATCCTCACCCTTATCACGCTTCAGGTTCTTCAATATGTTCCTATACCAGGAAGAAACATATTACGCAAAAGAAAAAACATATTCGAAAAATGTTCCCCAGACATTCTTTTTCGCTCTGAAATTGCTCATTTCAAACATAGACTATAAAACAGAATCAAGAGTTAAATAAGACTATCTACCGTTTCTAGAAACAGATACAAGAATTCACCATGATGGAAACAAATGTGAGAAAACTAGAGAGATGGTTCAGGGTAAATCTTACTGTTCTAGTGAATCACGCTCCAGGTACTCTTTCTCAAGCTCCTCCATCTCTGCATATTTATCGTCCTCATTATCTTCTTCGCCACTCTCACTCTCGTCGTCATTTCCATCATCAAATTCTTCGCTTTCTCCATACACATCTTCCTTGTCATCTACCTCATCATCTTGCTCACTGTCTCCTTCTTCGTCTTCCTCACTATCTCCTTCGTCGTCGTCTCCACTCCCTCCCTCATCATCTTCCATGCTATCTCCACCACCATCCTCTATCCCATCAGAAAATTCATCATCTTCATTCTCCCCTTCCACCTATATATAATAGAAGAAGCCTCAACCAAATAAATTCACCAACACAGCCATCTAAAACAACTTCACCAGACAAAAGCAACAAATAAAAGTACCTTGAGATTTTCCTGGTCGCTTATCTCTTCTGATTCACTGTCATAAAGTCTTGCTCTTTTAGACCTCTTTGATCCCCCAGCCATTTTAAACACTCCTAATGCTACAGTTACAGAAGGAAGAAAGAAAAAAATCACAACTTGTGAATCAGAAAATTTTGAAAAAAGACCAAAGAAAGATAGAGACAATGGCTGAGTCTGAACAAAAATTGGGTTTCTGGGTAACCCAAACCTTAAAGCTTCACTGAATTCATACCAGGTTGAAAAATTCTAATTACTATTCTGTTTATGAAACTAAAATTGAGAGAAAACTGAACCTAAATCGTAAACTGAATGTAACTCACTCGAATCTTAAAATGAACCTAAGCTGAAGATTGATGCAATCTCATACGAGATAACCAAACGACGAACAAATGTTATTTGAAACAGGGAAGTTTAAAAAAAGGTCAAGCATAAAACCGTGAAGAATTCGAAAACAAACAAATCAAAAAGCGAAGGAAACTAACCTGAAAACTGTCAAGAATCTAGCTCGAAATCGTCGACCTCAAAGCTTTCTACGAGCAGAGGAAGAAGTTGGAAGGAAAAGAAGAAACTTGACTGAGCTATGAACAAAAATTAAAAACCCTAAAGTTGTCACTTAAACCCAAGAACCGGTCGGTTCAACCAGAAATCTGGTTTGTGTATTTTAACCGGGTTTTCTGATTTGGATCCGGTTTGATCTGGATATTAAAATACGGTCAATATCGAGCTACAGAAAAAAATTGATAAATGTTTCCTTTTTTTTCTTCTGAGCAAATATTATTTACTTCTCTTAAAACCTTCTTTACTCACATTTTGCAGACTTCACTCTGATTGTTTTTTACTTATAAAAAGCAAAATTTGATTAGTGCATGTTCTCTCTCCGTTAGAAGAACTTTAGATAAAAACTGAATGTTGTATTAGTGGGGCTTTTGCTTTCACAGGTTCAAGTAGAGAGAGATTAGTAATAAGGACCACTCACTAGCCATTTTTGTCTTTTTTTTGTGTAAACTGTATCATTAACATAAATACCAAATGTACTATTAGGATTCCATTCACATAAAAAAAAACAAAAACTTCGATTGCTCAGTCTGTTTCATGATAACTGTGACTTCTTCTTCTATCTTTGTAATGAGAGATTGTGCTTGAACTTATCCATGCTTAAAAACAAAGACTCTTGTTGATCCGAATCTGGTTAACTTTTTCATTAACTTAAGGAAGTAAATAAATCATCGCTTAGGGATATATATATTATGTGTCGGCAATGAAAATCACACTGTATGATTTACCAAATGTGAATTGCTAGATTGGCATTAATTATAGTTTCTGGTATGTGACTTTACATGATGGTAATTGGTAAAATAAGTAAAAGAGGGAAGAAAAAAGGAAATTGTAATGACTAAAATAAAGAAAAGCACAGAATAATAGAAAAGTTTGCAGATCCTGTGATTGTTCTCCACCGTTTGCCTTTGCCCTGTTTTGAAGTGAAAGCTACTTGATATTATCCTTAAAGAATCAATCATCTCTTTAAAAAGTTTATCTCTTTTTTTTTGCCTCTTTATCAATAATTACAATACACCAACCAAAACCAAAAGAAATCACAAGATTTCCTGGAAACCCTTTGGTCCTTTGATGCATATCTTTGTGTTCTCTGTTTCGCAGATTTGGATCTTGATCGAGTACTCGTCTTCTCTACTCATCTTTTGATCCTCGTCGTTCTTGATGCAGCTTTGGTAAAACAGGAAGTTGACTATGGTGTCGAGAACCAAGAAGATCGCGTATAAGTAAGCTATGAAGGTTCCTTCAAGAGCTATGGATGCAATATCTCTGTCTCTTTCGTAATAAGACTTCACGACTCTGTATTGAAACAAAGCTTCGACTCCAGCTAAGCCGAGGTTCGTAGGCAGAGCAAGAGCCAATGCTGTTGAAGTTCTTCCGCGGATCATAAGACACGCCTTGAGAATCGTTGTGTATCCTCCTGAGGAAGAAGAAGTTGATGAAACCAAGGCTAGATTGGAGATGACAAAGGCGTTTGCGAGGATTATCGAGTAGATAATCGCTGAGGATAAGGAGAAGAAAGTGTAGAAGTTTCTTGAAGAGAACCCAAATGATTCTAGGAGATTGAATGCTAGGAAGAACAGAGCAAAAGCAGAGGCGTTTGCAGAGATAAGGAAGAAAGTGTTACAAATGTAAGTCCTGAGAAGACGAAGGTAATAAACAGAGGACTCTTCAGGATTGCTTGAAAGAAGTTTGATGATGTAAGCTTTGGAGAAGAGGAGGAAAGTGAGGGAGAAAGGGAGAGTGAATAAAGAGGAAGAAATAGTTTGGGAGAGTTTAAGGCTTAAAATGTTGAAGAAATCAAGAGAAGAAGAGAAACCGGCACCACGGAAGAGCGTGTTTAGCCTCGCGTGAAGGGAGGATGAGGAAGACGAGAAGAAGGGCTGAGAGAGGAGGAGAGCGGCTGAGAAAGGGAGGACGACGGCGGCTGCGGTGGTGGCGCGGTGGTAGTTTTGGAGGAAAGTGTGGATTGATCTTCTCATAATCTTGCTTGGATCTTCCATTGTCTTCTTCATTTCTAATCTTTGAAGATGTGTGCTTCTTGAATGATCCACCAAATTGAAAGGGGTTTCTCAACGAAGGTCCTCTATATATATGTACATAATACGTAATAATTTTATATCATATAATTTTTTTTTTCTTTTTTGCTGAATAATTGTGGGATTGGGTGTTAGAAAAGGGAATTGAGATAGGCCAACCGATTTTGCCTGACGATGAGGAGTTGTTTAGACAAATTAAACTTTATTTTTCTTGTAAAGCAAACAAAATTGCTTTTTTGTATGAAAATGATATTTCTTGTGAGTAGAATAATACATTTATAAAATATACATAGCGTTTCCTTGTTAGGTTTAATTGGGTATAATGTAGATTTGTGACTTAGGTAATGTTGCTAGGAGAAATATATTTATTTTCTTGGTTTGATTTTAATACATATTTCTTGAAAAGTCTTTTGCTTGTGTGATATGCTTAGTGCTTTAATTGGATTTGGATGCTTACAATACACTCCATTGCATAAATACATACGTATATATATAGTGTGTTGAGTAGATATATATTAAATTGTGGGAGAGTGAGTCTATGTATTAGTATTCAATTGAAAGCTTAATAATTATAGGTTTGAGGAAACTGGAAGGCTTAGCTTTCAAGAAATTGAATAATGATAAGAGCTTGGAAGAGTAAAGTAATTTATTAAATAACTAGATTTAAATTGGAAAAAAAAATGGTGGTCGTTTTATGCTTTTCTCATAATGTTAAAACAGCCCAAAATGATTTTTGAGTGAGAAATTTCCAAACTTTTCGAACTTGTTTTGAGGCGACTTAATCATATATATATGTCACCAAACCTACTAAGTTTAGCTTTACTGAAAAGTAAGAAGATTTACAAAATGTCTAGGTCTCTACCCTAAGATCATTTGACGATCTATTATTATAATTAACGTTTGATTAGTTTTATCCATATATATATATATATATATATATCAATTAACAATTGTGTACTTGTAACAATGCAATAATATATGAACCACAAGCCTTTAGCTAATAATTTGTTTTAAAAATAATCAAGAGAAACATAGAATTTCAATAGAAGTGATAAATTATCAAACTTTGTCCAACCTGTGGCATGCATTTGGTGTGCAGTCTTATTGACTTGGACTTGGTGGTTAGGGAGTTCTCCATCTGCTTGTTTTTATATTATTATTTCTTATATATGTCGTTCCTTCTTTATTATCCACTCTCAATAATTTGTTTTATTAATGGCATATTGTAGTAATTTAGGCGTGATCCATCATAATTGAGTTCCATTAGAAGAACTAATCAAACGAGAAAAATACGCATGGAAATTCGCAAATCTGTTTTCATATCTATTAAGTTGAAGTGTTTAACGTGTATTACGTAACACAATTTCTTGCTTTTATGTAAAAATATACATAGTCCATGGAGAAAGAAAACTCAAAATATTTGCTAATATCTAAAATGGAGTTATGTATAGTTGTAGGTATTCGTCTCTATTTGGGAATGAATTGACTTGTCTAGTTGTAAATAGAATTAAATCAAATATAAAGTGAGCTATAAGACCTATAATGTTTGTTTTTAAGCTATTCCAACAATAGCTCGACCACAAAAATGTGTAAAAAAATGCTCGAACGTAGACATTGGAAACGTTTTTATATGTTTTTCTACCGAGAATTTCTGAATTTCATACTAACTTTTAAGTCTATAACGCAATATGAATAATAATGTAGTTGTCAAACAAATATTCGGCCATCATTCAATAATTGATTTTTTGCTCTTAGTTCAAACAAAATAATAATTGATTTTTGGCGTCGGCTACGAACTGTTATATTTGGTTATTATTGATTTGTGTTTGTAATTTTGGTAATGAGATCTTTAACAAAAAAAATTTGGTGATGAGAGAGAGAAATTATTTTCTGAAATTTATATCAGTTAGTAACGTCATTTTTTATGAAGTGTGTAATAAATTTTGGGATTATATCTAAAATATTAATATCAAAAAAAAAAAACAATTCATGATTATTATATGAGAAACTAGGTCTAAAGATACATGGAGAAGTTAGATTAGATATCACAATCAGATAAATTTTTATATTAGGGTTCGATGTAAAAGAATTAATACAATTATATTGATTTTTTTTTTTGGCACAAACAATTATATTGATTAATATGGTAACATCCCACAAATATGGTGTTGGTGTAGGTTGTTGCTGTGTTTAGTACAACCGAACATCTAACAACACTATGGTTGGGTGAAATTCCAATATGAACCATTTGCGTTGACATGCCTCTTTCTAACACTACCGACTTAAATATGTTATTAATTATCATATTATTATATTATTCTGAAGTACAGTATTATGCTTTGTACGTATTTATTATATTGCTAATTTTAAAAAATAAATAAAAAATCTTAGAATTAAAATGAGACAGTTATGCTCTAACGCATTCGTATAATTAAAATTGCTTTGCGGCCTATCTAAACAAACGAACATAATAACATATGTTTTGTGTTTAATTGATAAGGGCTATACGTTCATAAATATTCGTATAATATTATATGTTTTGTGTTATGTTCTCAATTTATTGTTGTCATAAATGAAATACTTCAAAAAATTGAAACCTTTGGTATGTATGGTGGGATTAGAAGGACCTCCAAAAATTAGAATGGGCAATATGCTACCACCAATCTAAAGTCAACATTCCTTAGACCTTTGCTATTTATTTACCTGTTCGTTTTATATAATACTGGATCTTAACCTTACGTGTAAATATTTACTTTGTCACGAGAAACTTAAAATTTATATTTTGTGCTTTAAAATCTACATACACAACCACAACTAATGAAACATTTAATGTATATCGATTAAACTAATAATCTCTTAGAATATAATTGATTCTTCTTTTAATACCATCACAATCATCATTATTACGACATATATATGATTTGAAGAAAAATAACTCGTCAATAATTGTTTAAACGCGATTTTGGATAGTGTTGTTTCATCAACCTGATCCAGAATATTGTGACATGTAACTAATCGAATCAATAATACATTCGTGTATGTATTGATAAACGATATTAGATGTCGGAATTTATACATGTAACTCTATATAGTATATCTTTCTAAAAAAACTCTTATCAGTATAAAATACACATTAAGGAAGAGAAAGTTAATCATCACTAGTTAAAACCGTTATTTGTTTCATTTCTTGACGTAGAATAGACTTCTTTGATCTATAACCGTATAAAAAATCCATAATGGAATCTTAATAGAGATTAATTAGTCTTACTACGAGTATGAGTACTTGTTTATATAACTCGAATGATTAAAATTGTAAAAAAAAAAAAAACACGTGCAACTACCGCTGGATGTTTTACTTCTGATCTGTAAAGCTGTGACCAAGAAATAAATTTATACATATGATTTATTTGTATAATTGAATCTTGGAGTTTATCCAAATTTAAGTTGACTTGGTAACATTCTATGAGACGAACAAGTCGCAGTTGAATAGAACTATATTTGAAATAGTTATCGAATTATAAGAGACAGACAAACAAACACTAGTTTACAAAAAGAATACTTCATGGTTGGTACATATATACATATATTAAAAACACAAATTCGAATGCCGATCTTTTTATAAAATTTTCAAAAATAAGACAAATCTCGTTTGCCTAAATTATATGTTGAGTCAAAATAATTTATTTACTAGAAACAACTCTACTACTCAACACGGCTAAGTCCAATCCGAAGTGTAGACAAATAAGAAAGTATGACAACTTTTTCGATATTAATAAAAATATTTAAAAGGACGTATTTTTCATTTAGTTAGAGAGTATTCGGAAACATTAAACCGGTCATGATCTACTTCTATCCATTACTGAATTAATGATAACCAATAATTTCCATCTTGCTTCAAAACTAATGATCATGATATTTAGAAACTAAGAGTGGTCAGTTTTATAATTCAAACTAAGACTAAATTCCGGAATTCAAATTTATTCAAAAATCGTTGAAGAACAATTATTATGTTTTTTCTTTCTTAAGTTTGTTGGTTTTATAGGTCTGAAGTTATTTGGTTGGCCCAAACAAGCTATGGGTCGAAATTAGACTTTTAGACTGAATGGGAAAATGATTTCTCGGGCAGGCCAGAACACTAAATCAATATGCAATTTGTAACGAAAATCATAAAAAAAAGTACTTAGATACGTTAATATGGCAGGCCAGAAAACGACATGCAGATAAGGATTTGGGCTTTGAAAGTTCCAGTGTCCAAATGGGCTTTGAAAATTCGCACAGTGTGTACGTGTTTGAATGATTAAGGTCAACAAACATTCTCTCTTGATAATAAAGGGAATTATGGAAAGTCTTATTAGCTAATGGCCGTTGTCGAAAGGTTTCTAATGAACAATTCTTTAACTAAGTTGTTGACGAACGGATAAACAATAGTCTGAGAGATTATCTTTTTCATAAATCGTAATATATTAAATGATAAATCTGCATATATTTGAGAGATTATCTATCTCTCTCTATATATAACAAACATACATATCAGTTAAACAGTTGAGGCAATCAAAACAAAACTACAGTTCTATCAGAATATATCTTTAAGCCGAGAAAACTGTAGTTCCCTCTAAAAACCCTAATCCTCTAAATATGGTTAGAGACGTAGATCTACCCTTACTCTCTGAGGATGAGGTTTGGTTTCTGTCTTCTCTCTTTGTTTAACTCTAACTATTAGACGCAAGTTTCTTCATCAAATTGAATCAATTGGGAGAGTCCATGAGTTATGTGTTTCCTGAATTTGGTCTTGGTGCGAGTTATCGATCTTAGGCAAACATATCTCATTAGCTGTTGAGATATATACTCATGAGGTCTCTATTTAAAACAGAGTTTTGATTCTCTTGATTGTTAGTTAGTTTGTGTTAGCCTTCTTAATTATCATCATCTGGTTTTTAAACTTCAATTATACATCATCTGGTTTACTAAACAGCTCGTGTGTAATTAACTTGGTCTGTAGTCAAAGAAGTCTAATCAATATTTTTCTTGTTAACAAGACAAAACCGCAGGTAGAATACAATGTGAATCGACGTAAGGATCTGAACAAGATGAGGCGAAAGTTGGCCATAGCTAACGTTGTAGTAGCAGCGATATCGGTTGTGCTTATCGTGGTCACCCTTGCTCTACTCGGGCCGCGTTTAAACTATTAGAGGTTTGAATGAATTATTGCTTTGAACTTTTAGGGGTAGTTTTTGGATTTTTGAGAAAAAATAAAATAGGAAATGTAAGCCAATAGGAAATGAAATAGGTTTTTTGGTTTTAGTTTTTAGATTTTGGTTTCTAGATTTTGGTTTTTTGATTTTGTATAGATTTTGGTTTTCTAAAACTTATTTAGCTTTTGGTTTTCAAGTATATTTTGGCTTTTTGTTTTAATTAGGTTTATTAATTTTTGTTTTTTTTGACAAAAAATATCTCTAATTAATACAAAATAATATTTCCCATAAAACAATAATAATACTAAAAATTATGAATAAAAATGAACATAAATTTATTTTGTTATGAATAACATATCTCTTAGCAAAGTTCTAGCATTTGATTGATTAGATAGTGATGACATATATATATTTTTAAATAACAAAAGAAAAACATTTTTTGGCATCTGAAAACCCATAAATTATGGTTTTTGGTTTTTGTTCACAAAATCTGTAAAAACTAGTTTTTCAAAAAGTAAGGAAATCTATTTCAACATAAGCTTGAATGGATAAATAAGTAGTTTTTGAAATTCTAAAATTCTAAAATTTTCAAGCTCTTAATGCGCCTCAAACATATGTGCGCGCAAACCAGTCTTTCTTAATGGGCTAAAACGAGTTTGAGGCCCAAATCGAATTGTTTTTAAGTGAGATCAGCATTCGTCGTCGTCAACAAGAATCAGTTATTTTTTGTTGACCCGATTCAATGGCTCGTAACAGAAAGAAGAACCACTCTCGTCGTCACGATGAAGAAGACGCCTCCACGAACGTTGATTCTTCTGCTCGCGATCTACAGCTCGATTCATCTCTCGCCGGCGTTTCTTTTCATCAGTCAACACTTCAACTCCAAGTTTCCGTAGTCTGCCTCAATCTTCTCAACATCTCCATCGCTTACCAACGATTCACGGCGAGTTCGACTGCGGAACTTACGGCGAGGTTGATTACAGTGATCGGGATACTCGGAAGTGTGTCGTTCGTCTTAGCCATCTCCTGTGTCACACCACCGAATCACTTTGCTGTTCTCCGCAACATCTCCTTCGGATTCGTGCCATTAACGATAGTGGCGCTAATCATCTCCCCCTTCCTCTAATTCCCTCACCATCGCCATCTGAATCTAATCCTCCGATATAATTTCCGCCTCATCTCTCCACCTTCTTCATCTCCCCTTGAATCTCATTCTCATACTCTGTTTCAATTTCAGCTTTACGTTTCCGGCATTCGCCAGGTTCTTTTTAGTTTGTAAATACGCATCTTTCGTTCGATCTACTTTCTTGTAAATAAAACGAGAAATCGAAATGCAGTCCTAAAGATTCTTGGTTTGCTTCTTTCTTTCGTCGGAATCGGAATTTCCCGATGTGGTTATCGGCGCCGGACGCCGGTAACGTCGTTCCGAAACCCTATGCAACAGAAATAGATATATATAAAATTTTAAAAGAAAAGAATTAGTGACGTGGCGGTTAGAATGGGCCCCAGAATTAATGTATGTTGACCTCAAATCAAACTCTACAAAGAAAATGTTGATTCTGATAAGAAGACAAACAATTTTGAGACTTAGTTTTAAACAAATATCTGAGTGTTTCCATTAATATTTATTTATCCAATCTTAACCCAAAAATAGTTAAAACACGGCTTTCGCTTATTTAGTACCAAAAAAATGATCACTGAAAACGTTATAGTTCATAGAAGATAAACTTTGTTTTAGTTTCTTAAACCGCCTACTAATTTGGTTCCTCGGGGTTTTTTTTTTGTAAGAGTAAAGTAAACTCAAATAAACTTATCCTAATAATATAATAATTAAGCTTTTGACTTGAAACTTCTTCAATTAACAAAAAAAAGAAGTAATTACATACATCTTTGCACGTTGCTTCCTTACGTGCTTCCAACAAAACAAAACATTAATTTCAAACCGATTAAAATTATAGAAATAAAATTAAAAAATCGTAGAAAAAAAATTATATCGTCTCTCCGGCGGCAAGAATTTCATAAATCGTTTTAAGTATTTTTCGTTCAAAATTTAAACCATTCGTTTTTTTTTCTGTCTTTTATGCTAAACCTCTCATTCTCTCATCCTCCTCCACTACCACCGTCAAGCCCCCGCCGGGAATAATGGGAGGAGATTTTCGTCATTTCTCCTCCCACGTTTCCCTCTTCCTCCTCCTCCTCTTTGTTTCCCTCTTCGCCGTCCAATCCACTTCCTCTTTTACTCCGGCCGATAATTACCTCATCGATTGCGGCTCCTCCGGCGAAACAAAACTCCCCGACGGCCGGAATTTCAAATCCGATCAACAATCCGTCTCTTTCCTCCAAACCGAAGAAGACATCAAAACCTCCGTCGACTCGATCCCGGTCTCCGACTCCAATCCCCTCCGCTTATACCTATCCGCCCGAATCTTCACCGGGAAATCAACTTACTCCTTCTACATTTCCCGACCCGGCCGCCACTGGATCCGCCTCCATTTCTACCCTCTCCCTCATCCTCTGTACAATCTCACCGATTCCGTCTTCTCCGTCACCACCGACACCACCGTCCTCTTACACGATTTCTCAGCCAGAGATTCTTCCTCGATCGTCTTCAACGAATATCTAGTCTACGCCTCCGAGAAGCTCTCTCTCTATTTCAAACCACACAAAGGCTCAATCGCTTTCATCAACGCCGTCGAAATCGTCTCCGTTCCTGACGAGCTCCTCCCCGATTCCGCTTCCTCTGTCCCTCAAGCTCCTGATTTCAAGGGATTAGGCGGCTTCTCTCTTCAAATCTCTCACCGGTTGAACATCGGAGGCGATTTGATTTCACCTAAAATCGATCCTCTCTCTCGCACTTGGCTCTCCGATAAACCTTACAATTCGTTCCCGGAAGGTTCTCGAAATGTGACCGTCGATCCCAAAACGATTACTTATCCAGAAGGCGGAGCCACGACGCTGATCGCTCCTCACCCGGTTTACTCGACGGCGGCGGAAATGGCGGATGCACAAACCAGCGAACCTAATTTCAACCTCTCATGGAGAATGAGCGTTGACCCTGGTCATGATTACTTCATCAGGCTTCATTTCTGCGACATTGTTAGCAAATCGCTTAACAATCTTGTCTTCAACGTTTTCATCAACAAGCTCACTGCAATCTCCGGACTCGACCTCTCTGCCAAAACCAACGCTCTAGGCACTGCTTACTACACGGACTTCGTGCTCAACGCCTCCGCGATCACCAACGGCTCGATCTTGGTTCAGGTCGGTCCGACCCCGAATCTTCAATCGGGTAAACCGAATGCGATTCTCAACGGTTTAGAGATCATGAAGCTGAACAATGCAGCCGGGAGTTTAGATGGGCTCTTCAGTGTCGACGGGAAATACAAAGGGCCTATTGGTGGGATGTCGTCTAAGAAGCTTGCTATTGCCGGTATCGGATTCCTCATGGGCCTAACCGCTCTCTTCGGGGTTGTCGTGTTGCTTGTTAGATGGCAGAGACGCCCTAAAGACTGGCAAAAACAGAACAGTTTCTCGTCGTGGCTGCTTCCTTTGCACGCAAGTCACTCGAGTTACATCTCTAGCAAAGGCGGGTCATCGAGATCGAGACGGATGAGCATTTTCGGGTCGAAGAAAAGCAAGAGCAACGGTTTCTCTAGCTTTTTCTCGAACCAGGGATTGGGCCGGTATTTCCCTTTCACCGAACTGCAGACCGCGACGCAGAACTTCGACGAGAAGTCAGTGATCGGTGTTGGAGGATTCGGGAAAGTGTATATTGGAGAAATCGACGGTGGGACGCAAGTCGCCATCAAAAGAGGGAATCAGAGCTCGGAGCAAGGGATCAACGAGTTTCAGACAGAGATTCAGATGCTCTCCAAACTCAGACACAGACATCTGGTGTCTCTCATCGGATTCTGCGATGAAAACAAGGAGATGATTCTCGTCTACGAGTACATGTCAAACGGTCCATTGCGTGACCATCTATACGGCTCCAAAGAAAATGACCCTAACCCTATACCTACCTTGTCCTGGAAGCAACGTCTAGAGATCTGCATCGGATCAGCGCGTGGACTCCACTATCTCCACACAGGTGCGGCGCAGGGGATCATTCACCGTGACGTCAAAACAACCAACATTCTCTTGGACGAGAACCTACTCGCTAAAGTTTCCGACTTTGGTCTCTCCAAAGATGCACCTATGGAACAGGGGCATGTAAGTACCGCCGTCAAGGGTAGTTTCGGGTATTTAGATCCCGAGTACTTCCGAAGACAGCAACTCACTGATAAATCCGATGTTTACTCCTTCGGTGTGGTGTTATTCGAGGTTCTATGCGCGAGGCCAGTGATAAACCCACAGTTACCTAGAGAACAAGTTAACTTAGCAGAGTATGCTATGAATTTGCATAGAAAAGGCAATTTGGATAAAATCATTGACCCGAAAATCGTGGGAACCATCAGTAAAGGATCGTTGAGGAAATTCGTGGAGGCTGCGGAGAAATGTTTGGCCGAGTACGGTGTCGATAGGCCTGGCATGGGAGATGTGTTGTGGAATCTTGAGTATGCTTTGCAGCTTCAAGAAGCGTCGGCTCAAGTTGATTTGTCTGAAGATAAGACCACAATGAATATTCAGCTGGAATTTTCCGGCGAGGAGATGCAGACTCCTCCGCGTCCGTTGCCGTGACATTTGCGGTTTCTGATTTGAGACTTTGTTTGCTTTTTTTTCTTACGTTTAGCTTGGCTTTCAGAAAGATGTAGGTATTCAAGAGAGCCTTTGGTTTGTTTCTTCCTTAAATTGCAGTTTCAGTTTATTTCTTTCCTTTTGATTCCAAAAGGAATGAGATTTTTTTTATTTGTGAACTTTCTTTTCTTGTAGATTATGTTGTGTATACATTGATTTCAATTTTTTTATTTTAAATTTTCTCTATCTTTGTTTGATGGCAATGCATTTGGATTTTCTTAACGTTCCCACCAAAATACAGTTGTGATACATCTTTTTTACAAATGAAATTGTACAAAAATTAATTCAAGAAAAACTGTAGACAAAACACTGAGTAAAAGAATAGCTGGAAACAGTAGTTTAACAAAGAACCAGTAGAATAACATATGTTTTAGTGATTTCGAAAAATAACAACAGTGTAGTAAGAGGTTGAAAGATTCATTGTATGAAAATGTGATGCTCCATTTGGGATACATATCTATTCGAAGATAGACTTCTGTGTTTGAATTTCTTTTTGATAAAAATACATTTGACAAAACATAACTGAATATGCCAATAAAAGTTAACTTTGGTTAGCAAATAATATACTCCAATTGTTAAGAAAGATAGGAAGTAACCAAGCAACGAACGAAGGCTCTCGGCTCGTGTGCCGATGTTTTGAAGGTTATCAGTTTCAGGCTCCATCGTTCCTTTGTGAGGAAAACATCCTTAGTGACACAAATTTCCATTGAATCGACCAGAAATGGTGGAAAATGAAGACATTTACTGCGAAGAACATATGATGAGAAACTTGGATCTGAGGAAGGAGGTGGAATTGTCAATGGTTTTCATTAGAGAATCGACAGATTTCGCCAACGAGGGTCTCACTGTCTTCCCGCCGATCAACCACGAGAATCTCTTCGTCGATGGATTCGATAGAGACCGAGAGTCCCCGTCGCAATCCTCATCTTCTTCGAGACTCTCGGATTCGTCTTCTTCTTCTTCGTCGTTGTCCCCGTCCGATTCAGACGGACAGTTTCAGTTTGACTGGAAATCGCAGTGTGAGCCGTTAGAAACCGACGGAAAATCTCGGTGGACATCTTTGAATTACTACTCCACACTTGAGACTAGTATCATCCAAGGTTGGTGGAAGCTTCTTCTAGCGCGAGGAGCGTTAAAGTTCCAGAATTTGGTGAGCTGCTTCTTCTCCAGAAGCAGTCTCTGTTCCTTATCAAGAACTATCCGGTCATTTTACCCGGTCATAGTTATCGTGATTTGGTGGTGGCTGCGTAACCGAAATCGCCGGCGATTTCGAGGAGGAGAAACCGAAGCTCATCTTAGAGACACTATCAAAGAGAGGGACGAGGTTTGTATCTCCTCCTACAAAGTGTTCGATGAAATGCAATAAGACACAAATAGTTTACATCTCTCAACTTTTTACCCTGTTTCTAACAGTTTCTCTGATTTGTGTGTTTTCTGCAGAGAATTGCTCAGCTTTTGCATCAGATTGCTCAGATGAACGAGTTACTTGTAATGAAAAAACATTCGAATTGATTAGTGGATGCTTTTGTCTTGACTTGTTTGTTTTCTTTCTCAGTCTCTCAAAACTAGAGGAAGAACCAGAAACTTTCAGTAATAAGAATCAACGATACAAACGGCACACAGCAGTTGAAAATTGCTTGAGATTGTTCTCGTATTGTGACAAGATAACACCAAAAGAATCTACAGTGTCTACTCGTTGCTTCTGCATAGTTATTCATAAAAAGCAAAAAATGTTACCTGAGTTTTTTTTTTCTTTTCTTTTTGATGCATTGCTGCTACATCATATGTTCTTAACATGTGAATTCTTCTTCGACTTGCTCCTGCGTTTCGGTTTTGGTTTCAGTTTCAGCTTAGCTTTGTTCTTCTTAGCATGGATCTTCAAGCTGAGTGCACGACGATCCACAACTGGAGCTTCTTCTTCCTTCTTCATCGGTTTGAAAACCTCTGTGACAGAAGGATCAAGCAAATCAACAGAGCAACTAAGCGTAACACCGAGTGACATCGCCTCTTCCCAAAGCTTTCTTCCTTTCTCAAAGTCTCCTCCTTTACATAGTTTTGGTATGAGCAGATCATAAACCGGACCATAACCACCCACAGAGCTTCTCTTCATCTTCTCAAACAACTGAAGCGCAAAATTCACCCGCTTGACACCACAAAGAACTCCAATCAGATCATAATAGAATTTGCGTTCGGGTCTCAGTCCTCTCTCGATCATCTCATCCACCGTTTGGTTGCCTTTACCAAACCTTCCTGTCAAATACAGAACCCTCACAACGAAGTAATAGCTCGCCGTATCTGGATCACATCCCGATCTCTTCATCTGTTCCAGAATCTGGCAAGACTCTCTCACCCTCCTCGTCCTTCCCAGACAAGAAAGCAATATGTTGTAACTGATGGAAGTAGGTTGGATTTTGTAAGACCTCATCTCCAACATAATGTTCAAAGCTTCAGGAACTAGCCCAGACGGGTTTCGATCAACGTTTCTCTCGCAGAGGCAGGTAAGCACCGCGTTGTAGCAGAACGAGTCTGGTGTGATCCCGGCTGATTTCATATCCTGTATAACTCTTCTTGCTTCCTTGACATTTCTTTGCACTGACCAACCGAATAAAAGACTTCTGTACACAGACAACTCATTCCCGGATATTACATCCTTGTGATGATGCATAACTCCCAGTGCTCTCTTCACATGTCCTCTTGAGCAGAGCGCGCTTATAATAGCTGTCACGGTGAAACTATCTTGTGGGCAAGAAAACTTGTCCAAGATCTTGAAGATACCTATTGCATCGTCTTCCCTACCAATCTTAACCAGAGTTTCAGCAACAAGGCTAAACGTTTGCTTCTCCATGGCCCGATTCTCCTTCCTGAGATCTGACAAGAGTATCTGAATAGCTGTATGATCCTTCTTCTCAGCCAAAACTCTTAGGACATGGTTGAATTCCTTGTCCTCTAAACTAGATCCCACGCTTTTACAAGACCAGGTGAAAAATCTCAACAGCCTTCTCGGCGAAGTCTCATTCTTACAGGACTCAATCACTTGGGTAACGAGGTTGGATGATGGAGAAACCGAAACCTGGTTCAAGTTTTCCTCAAGGTCATCCAGACCACCAATGGGGGAAGAAACGATCCGAATGACTTCCTGCAACTCCATCGATGCATGGTCTGATCGATCTATCAAGTGATGAGAGCATAAGTAGCGTGTGGGTTTTGTAGTATTTGGTAAAAAAGTAAACCCTTTTGATCTGACTATAGAAATCATCTCTGAGGAATTTCATCAAACAGTTGGTGTGCACTTGCTCCTGAAGTACTAGAGACGATCAAAACATTTAATGGTTTAGGAAACGCTCTCTGGAATTACATGTTTGTCAGAGAATAAATTCTCTAAAGAACACGAAAATCAGATTCTACTAAAAGGCCTGATTTTGCAGAAATCCAGAGACCGCACACAAACACTTGTTCAGTTGTTATTACAGCGCCCGCGTAAGTGACGAAGGCAGTTTTGTAGATAGGAACAAAAAGCGGGGGCACTCTGGTCTTTGAAAAATCCATCACTCTTTCAAAGTTTCAATGTACAGAACTAAACCGCAAATCGGACCGGATAAAAACCGAGAACCAGGAACCGCAAATTTCTCTAGCTATATACATGAGAAATATGTTTTCTTGTCGAAATTCGAATCCAGCAAAGATTATTATAAGCATTCATGTAATGAAATTGCATATAATCGAATAATTAAGATTTAAGATCATATTTGGTCAACGGCCGATGGCAAAACGTATTGAAATATGGACCGAGACGAGACGTGTCACGAGATGAATAAACCTAACATTAGTTTTTGCACTTTTATGCCTCATTGGTCCACTTGGGCAAACCAGATTCGCGCCTATATAGAACCATTTGGGAGTACTTACTACAAAAGTTTAGCCTACTAATTAATTATTTTGTTGATTATGACAACTAGTAGTAAGTTATTTTTTTCCCACAACCACTAATAAGATTACATTTTATTTTAACATTATAGTTTATTTTTTAAATATCACATTTACTAGCGAAAAACCAAAAAAAAATTCTGCATTTAACAAATATGACACTGAAATACTTATAGCAAAAATATTTTGAACTTCACGAAGTGAAGCCGAATTCCTTTCCTAATGTTTGGTTTCTAATTGTTTGATTTGGTCATAGATTTCTTTAATGTATATATGTTTTTTTGTATTTATGAAAAAATCGGTCGATCTTTTAATATATGTTCTGATTTTGATATCGAGATGCATCTTATCCACCATAAAAATATCATAAGATATTTTTCCGACCGTGACGTGGCCTTTTCTCTATCTCTACCAAACTATCCAACACCACTTTTGTTCTTATTTTCTCTGCACTTTTTTCTTCCACGTCAGTCTCCTCCGCCCAAAATATCCCCCAAGTCCCCACCATTAGCACAACGCGCACTCTCGAGGAAACTTCCAATCTCCACCGTCCATTCTCCCCTCTTTCAACGCCTCAGATTACCATCGCCCCTTTCCCCTTTTCGCGTCTCATAATTTGACCACTGATTGACAAAAAAAATCAGTCTCTCTATCTCTCTCTTGATATTTTCCTCAATCCTCTTGTCGGAAACTCTCCTTCCTTCCTCATCTCACCGCCGGCGTTATGCCGGATCTCCGGTGATTCCTTTTGAGCTGTCGATTATTGATTCCAATACTTCCCCGGAGAAAAAAGAATTTCACTTTTTGTTTGTGTGTGTGTGTCTTTTCAATCTCTTTGTTCTTATAGATTTAGCTTTTTACGTTTCCATGGTTGGGGGGATTAAGAGAGTAATTTTTGTTTTCTTGTCAAATTAAGTGACCTTGAAGAGACAAATTAGGCGACTTTGTAGGGACACTGTACCGAAACCCTAGCTCTGATTTGGTTATGGAAGTGTCATAGCACTTTCTATTGTCGGAGTTTTGCTGTTGTAATTTTGTATATTTTTTTTTTTTTGTTAGTAAAGGATTCGTTTTTGTGATTATAATTTTGTGGGGTTTATCTGTAAATCTGATCATGGACTTGAACGGCGAATGTAAGGGAGGAGATGGGTTCATTGACAGAAGCAGAGTCAGGATTTTGCTTTGTGACAATGATTCCAAGAGCTTGGGAGAGGTTTTCACTCTCCTATCTGAGTGTTCTTATCAAGGTCTGATGATTTAGAATTGATTGGTTCTTCTTTTCTTTCTTTTTTTTGTCAAAAGATCCTCTTTTTACTTTGTTATTGGTTCTCAAGTTGGGGGACTACTACTGTAGATTGCAGATCAAGGAGCTCTATAGATTTGAGTTTTTTTTTCTCTTTGGAGTGTATCCGTTGTTTCTATTATTAGCTTTTGATGATATGTGGGATGAATCTATTTTTGTATTCCTTTTGGAATTACAGTGACTTCGGTGAAATCAGCGAGGCAGGTGATTGATGCACTCAATGCAGAGGGACCTGATATCGATATCATACTGGCAGAAATTGATCTCCCAATGGCCAAGGGTATAAAGATGCTGAGGTACATCACACGAGACAAAGATCTTCGGAGAATCCCTGTGATAAGTAAGCTGTGTGCTTTTTTTTTATTATTATCTAGTCCTGGAGTTCAAAAGAATTGTACTTTCTCTGCTTAACAAAGTTTGTTTTGACACCATGATCACTTGATTTATGCAAACTAATTTTTACAATGTTCTCAATTTAAGTGATGTCGAGGCAAGACGAGGTCCCTGTCGTGGTAAAGTGCTTGAAGCTAGGTGCAGCTGACTACCTTGTGAAGCCTCTTCGAACCAACGAGCTTCTGAACTTGTGGACACACATGTGGCGAAGAAGACGCATGGTTTGTCTTGCTATCTGAATTTCTCTTTATAGATAGTCTTATTTCTTTCGAGAATTCCTTTCTAGTTTTTTCTGCTTCGCCTATTTTGTTCCGTAAGTTTTAATCTCTGTTAATATACTTCAAGTTAAATGGTGTTTAATTCATTGTAATTCTAGGTTATTGTTGATTGTATGAAGGAGATTCCCTGTTAATGCAACATAGCCATCTTTACACTCACTTTCTATCATCGATCTAACAGCCTGCTTTTTTTTTTCTGGAAATAATAGATTTTGATGCATGAAGTTTATGCGATTAATTGTGTGTGTTTGTTTTGGCAGCTAGGACTTGCTGAGAAGAACATGATGAGCTATGATTTTGATCTCGGAGGATCTGATCCAAGTGATCATAACACAAATAGTACCACCCTGTTCTCTGATGACACAGATGACAGAAGTATTAGGTCGAACAACCCGCAGAGAGGAGCTTTAAGCCACCAGGAAAATGAGGTGAGAAAGTATATGAAAATTTCATTCAAGTCCTTTGAAAATGAAGAAGAACTAATTTTTCAAGTTTGCCTTCATGCTTTTGCTGGTAGTGGTCTGTGCCAACTGCTCCTGTTCATGTTGGCCATGGTGGTCTTGATGCTGATGGCACAGCCACTTCTCCTCCTGCTGTTGCCGCTATAGAGCCTCCTTCGAATCATCTTGCTGGGCCTCACCATGAACCAACCAAAAGAAATAGTAATCCAGGTGATTGCTTCTCTTTGATGCATGTATCATCACTTTCGAATAGCTAGTCCCTAAAAACGTTTAGCTATGTTTCTGTGAATTCTTAATTTAGCAAGGGTTATTTTTTTCCACCAGGGCAATTTTCTTCAGCGCCAAAGAAAAGTAGATTGAAGATTGGAGAGTCCTCCGCTTTCTTCACATATGTCAAGTCTACTGTCCTGGGAACAACCAACTGTCAGGATCCTCCCCATATCAATGGGAATGGCTCACTTCATCTTCGTCGCGGTATCTCGGAGAAGCTTCAAGTGGTGGGCCTGGTGGCCAGTGAGGGGATCAACAACACCAAACAAGCACGCCAAGGCAGAGTGACCGAGAAAACCCATTCTCAAGGAGATAACTTACAAAATGGTGCCAGCTATCCAAATTCCCTTGAGCGGTCTCGCACGCTTCCTACATCAGTGGAACTTCATGGGAGGAGTTACCAAGAAGGAAACATGAATACTGCCCAGGTTGCTGTGAACAGAAGTAAGGATTCATCTCTAGTTGATGCTTCGGGTTTCTCTGCACAAAATGTCTATCCTTACTATATGCATGGGGTCATGAACCAAGTTATGATGCAATCAGCAGCCATGATGCCTCACTATGGTCAACAACTTACTCATTGCCCACCTCATCATCTGAACGGAATGACAGGATTTCCTTATTACCACCACCCAATGAACACATCGTTACATCACAGTCAGATGTCACAGAATGGTCAGGTGCCTTTACATAATGGTCATATGTCTATGGTTCATCATTCTTGGTCACCAGTAGGGAATCAGTCTTCTAACGAGGTGAGGGTGACTAAACTTGATAGAAGAGAGGAAGCTTTGCTCAAATTTAGACGCAAAAGGAACCAAAGGTGTTTTGATAAGAAGATTAGGTATGTGAATAGGAAGCGCCTTGCTGAGAGGAGACCGCGTGTTAAGGGTCAGTTTGTTAGGAAAATGAACGGTGTAAATGTTGACTTAAACGGGCAGCCTGACTCTGCTGACTATGATGACGAGGAAGAGGAGGAAGAAGAAGAAGAAGAGGAGAATCGGGACTCATCTCCTCAGGATGATGCTTTGGGAACTTAAAAGAAACATTCAAGAACTGAAAACCGTGTATGGTGTTATATCTCTTTGGTTGCATCATATCAAACAACACAAGATGATGATCGACTGACACGGAAAGAATGATGCTGCTACAGCTAAAAACATTGGAGATCGAGTCCTCACAAAGGAAATGATGTCTCTTGTGGCTCAACTATGTCAGAGCATTGAATATTACTCTTTGGGTGTGGCTTAGTTCGTTGTTAAACATAAGAAGAGGTGTTTGTCATGTTCACTTACATTCTCTCGAGTAAATGTAGAAACTTTTCTTTCTCCTTCCAGCATCATTTATTTTACCTTTGTTACCTCATAATCAATCCATGGAAAGATAGTAAGAGAGGCAAATGTGTTCCATAATCTATTACTCGCAATACTGTTACAGACAAGGAACCAAGTGCTCATGAAAATATTAATCTGAATTGCTTGAAATTAAATAGTAAAAATACAGAGTCGGCTAATATTTTTACTGTCAGGAACAGCAGTTCTGCGTTGGTCTTTCATGAACCGAATAAAACAAAACGCTACAGTTTACTAAAATCTGAATTCTTTACTCTCTCCGGTGAACTTGATTAAGGTACTATTCACCGTCTCCGGTGAACTTGATTAAGGTATTCTTATATATAATAAGCTTTTTAGCAACCAGACGGATTCCAGCTCTCTGCTGATAATCATACGCCTCCAGGGACAAATAAGCGCCGACAATATTTCTTCGGTTCACGAAAGACTCAAGCTCCTCAGCGCTTGGCTTGCTTGAGACGAGTTTCTGGATAGTAGCACCTTCAGAGAACTCTCTCTGGTGTACCTCAGTTGCATACCGCTCTACATCTCCATTCAACTCTGCCGGTATACTGCAAACAAACAATGAGGGAACAAATGAAGCATAATACATGGTTATCTAAATGAAACCAGCAAAAAGGAGATTATAGGCAAACTTACTGTATCCTTGCGGTATGAGGGTCCAGAGATCCCCTCGTCGGAATTATCACTGAGTTCCACTCAGAACCGCTGCCTGAATCAGCAGACATTGTCTTTGCAGCCCTGTCGCATTCTTGCAATACGTCGCAGAGCTCACTAGACAATTCAATCACAAAGTTCATCTTCCGTCTCCCAGCACTATCCAGAAATTTCCCATTGAATCCATACACTACTTTCAGATGAGGACAATAGAGCTGAAGAAGCCTATCCCCATGGAAGAGCTGAAGCTTCGTTCTCTGGCTCCCTTGATAAAGCGGGACTTGAACAGCTTTGATACTTGGAATAGATATTTCTGGGGGATACAAGAAATCCAGTGCATCGGTTCCTTCAAGGGTATAAGGATTAAGAAGCTCGGGGGCTATCATTTTCCTTATAGCGCTCAGATCAAACGGATCCGGCTGAGGCTCTACGGGTGAAACGAATGATAGAATAGCGTTCTCCTGTGTCTGTTGATCAACCGGAGATTGCGGAGGAGATGTTTTGATATTCCTACGCCTTCTTGAATTTGTTTCTGGCGTAGTGGTAGTAACCGAGGTCTCTGTAAGTTCATCTGGCAGACTTGACTCCTGTTGAAACATAGCATGCTTCTGAATTAGCTCCTCGTAGTTACATCATTAATACCTATGGAAACAAAGGATAAAAGAGAGCATACCAAGAGCAAAACAGTGGCACAGTACTTGAGAACCTCGAAATTCATCCTGACATCGTCCAGGCTCCTAAAGAGATGTAAAACTCATTAGATGAAAACACGGTAATGCAAAAAAAGTTTGCATTTTTACATACCTATGCGTCTGATTTCCAAGCCCAAAGTATGCAGCCAATGACGCCATCTGTACAAACAAGGTCCATAGGAAAACAGAATTAAGAGCTAATCTCAATCAATCAACTACAGAATACACAGATCGATAATAGTATCATTTGTTACCTTCATATCACCAGCTCTCCTCCCAAACTTTTTAGTAAGCAGCACCAACGAATCAATGGTGCCCTTCGCCTGTGGCGGTTCTCGTCCAATCTCTGCAAATGCTTCTCTTATCCTTGGAATATCAAACCTCAATATGTTGTGACCTGCCCATATCCTTCCTACAAATTCACACCGAAAATATCATCAACACAGCTGAACAAAAGCTCGAATTTTTTACATCATCATCTCCGAGAAACCCAAAATTCTCAAAGTTTGAATTCAGCTGGACCATATACCAAACAAAAGCGACGAACTTTCAGGTAAAAAAATAAAGAATCAGAGGAAGAAGAAGAAAGACGAAAGTTCCAACCATGGAGAATATCGTAGACGTTATCGGCGATAGCTGCAAACGGAGGTTTCGATTTGACGTCCTCTCGAGTGATGCCATTGCATTCAATCGACCGAGGCGTGATGTCGCTGAGACATGGGGGTCGAACCAGAGCTGAGTAACTTCGAAGCTCCACTAGCTTCTTGGGGCAAACGAGGATCGCTCCAAACTCCAGAATCTCAAACCTTTGGCCAGGTCTAAACGGAATTGTCGTCTCGACGTCGAAGAAGGCAATCTCTGGGCGATCCTCAGCCGGAGTTAGACCAGCCATCGTTAAAGGGTCGGGTTGAATCGAGCTGAAATTGTGAAAAAGTGTCGAAATTTTTGGGTTTGGGTTTGGAAACTGAGCGGAGATTTATATATGAAGGAGAGACTTAGTCAGGTGGGTTTGCTTACTGTCTTTGCCCATTTCTCTAGTTTAATCATTTTATCCTGTAAAAAGTTTTCAATTAAATTTAGATAATATCCAATTTAACTACAAATTAGGGAATTTTAGATTTTTAGATATATTAAATCTTTGGAATACAAGCTAATAAAACAAGAAAAATTGGATTTTGTTTTAAAATACAGACTAAAATATCTGTCAAAACCAATAATAATATATATCAACAAAAAAAATGTGTGTTTGGAAAGAATTAAATTATGAAAAATATGAAGCATTTGGTTTTTAAAAAGGGTAATATTTTTACAGGTCAAAAAATCAAATTTACTTTGGAAGTTTATTTCAGTTTTTCTTGTTTTCTCTACAACATTTGAATTTAGGGGTTTTTCCATAATTAACGGAGATCATAGGAATTATCAATTATCTGATAAACCAAAATGTAACCGGAATAAACCGATGTGAGTATTGTACCATTGCGAAGTTGGGAGGGAAAGTAGTTCTCAGTTTGACCAGAAGAATCGTTCCATCTCCTCTCCAGATGTTGAAGCTTCTGCTTATCCAACATAGATCATCGCCTCACATCTACAAGTTCCATTTTTTCACATTTAGATCGTTATCTCAATCTTCTTCTCCCCCAAATTCAGCACCTTCGTTGCCCTCTCTCTCGTCTTCTCCGTCTTCGAGTCTGGCCGAAGCAATACTAAAATGCAGATCCGCGGAAGAAGCGCTCAGGCTGTTCGAAACGTCTCCGAGACTGGAGACCTCCAAGACCAAGGATCTCCGATCTTTCTCGGCGGTAATTCACGTTCTAACCGGAGCCCAGAATTATTCGCTCGCCAGGTGTTTGATAAAAAGCCTCATAGGAGGTCTCAGGCGCCACAGTAAGCGTACCTACATTTCTAATAGAGTTTTCAATGCTCTCGAGGATATTCGGAGTCCGAAATTTAGTTTCGGAGTGTTTAGTCTACTGATTATGGAGCTTCTGGAGATGGGTTTGTTCGAAGAAGCTCTTTGGGTGAGTCGAGAGATGAGATGTTCGCCGGATTCGAAAGCTTGTCTTGCGATTCTGAATGGTTTGGTTAGAAGGAGAAGGTTTGATTCAGTCTGGGATGATTACCAACTTATGATCTCCCGTGGGTTGGTCTCTGATGTCTACATTTACTCAGTTTTGTTCCAGTGCTGTTTCAAACAAGGTTTCTCTTCCAAGAAAGAGATTCTTCTTGATGAAATGGCATCTTCAGGGATCAAGCCGAACGTTTATATCTACACCATATATATCCGTGATCTGTGTAGGGAAAATAAGATGGAGGAAGCGGAGAGAATGTTCGAGTTGATGAAGAAACATGGTGTTGTTCCAAATTTGTATACTTACAGTGCAATAATTGATGGTTTCTGCAAGGCCGGTCATCTGAGACAAGCCTATACATTGTATAAGGGGATTCTGGTTGCTGAGTTGCTGCCAAATGTTGTTATCTTCGGCACGTTGGTTGATGGTTTTTGCAAAGCTCGCGAATTGGTAGCTGCGAGGAGCCTTTTCGTGCATATGGTGAAGTTTGGGGTTGATCCTAATTTATATGTGTATAACTGTCTAATTCATGGACAGTGCAGATCAGGGAACGTGTTGGAAGCGACGGGGTTGTGTTCCGAGATGGAAAGTTTGAATCTTTCGCCTGATGTATTCACTTATACGATACTTATCAACGGGCTCTGTACTGAAGATCGGCTAACAGAAGCAAATAGATTGTTTGAGAAGATGAAGAACGAGAGAATTTTCCCGAGCTCTGCGACTTACAACTCGCTGATTCATGGGTATTGTAAAGAATACAATATGGAGGGAGCTCTGGATTTATGCTCAGAGATGACAGCAAGTGGCGTAGAACCCAACATCGTAACCTTTTCTACTTTGATCGACGGTCACTGCAAAGTGAGAAACATAAAAGCTGCAATGGGATTGTACTCTGAGATGACCATCAAAGGCATAGCTCCTGATGTTGTGACGTACACAGCTTTGATCGATGCGCATTTCAAGGAGGCCAACATGAAAGAAGCACTCAGGCTGTACAGTGACATGCTTGAGGCTGGAATCCACCCCAATGATCACACATTCGCTTGCATAGTAGATGGATTCTGGAAAGAAGGGCGAATCTCTGATGCCATCGGTTTTTATCTGGAAAATGAACGAGATGCGACCGGTAAATCCACTGGTCAGAGTAGCTGCTGGAATCATGTGGGTTTTACATGCTTGATTCAAGGGCTATGTCAGAACGGCTACATTCTTAGAGCTACCAGGTTCTTCTCAGACATGAGATCTGGCGGGATAACCCCGGACTTGAGGAGTTACGTTTCAATGTTAAAAGGGCATCTTCAAGAAAAGCGTATTACTGACGCAATGATGTTGCACTGTGACATGATCAAAACTGGAATCTTGCCAAACATTACGGTGGATGAATTGCTAGCCAGACTTTACCAAGAGAAGGGATATCTGAGATCAGCTTGTTTCTTGACCAATTCGAGTCGTTTAGGAACTATCAGCTAATTGGCAACAATTCCTGAGTCTTTCTTCTTTTACAATTTTTGGTTCAGTCTCAGGCTCTTGGTTTGTATTGTATATAAGGATAAAGCCTTTACAAGAAGAGCAAGCAAAGTGATCATCACTGTATAAAGAGTTGCTACTCAGTTTTTTGGGCAAGACAAATGGACATGCTTTATTTTCGCAAAGTCAACACTACATATGTTTTGTTTGATATTACACTGTTTCATTGTACAGAAGAGTATAAATGAGCTACTTTGAAACTGTTGAGTTTGATTCTTATGGATTTTATGGCGTATGGCAACAACATCAACATCTGGGTGATCGTCTTCTGACTTTTTTTAGCTTTTCCTGAAATAACAGTTACAGCAATTCAGATCAAACCCTTTAAATTTTCGTTTTCAAGAGCCATGTATTAAGATACTAACATCGATATTCAGTTGAAATCACCAACCTAAGATTAATAGAGTCTTTTGAGCTTGTTGCTTCACATTACACAGCCACAGCTTCTGGCTTCTTGCTGGTCTTGATTCCTTTTATAGCTGCAGAAATTTTTTCAAAACAAAAGAAACAGAACAAACATTAGATTATTGTCCCATAAACTGAGCAAGTATATATGACTTTCAAAGTCTATACCTTCTGCGTAATCTTTAGCTCCAAATACAGCTGATCCAGCTACTAGAGCATTTGCTCCAGCCTCAATAACCTATTATACAACTCACAAAAGATTCATAATTCAGAGATCCCAAGGGCACAGGAGTATCTTCTACAGCAGTAGTTAAAGATGAGACTTAAAAGAGTTTTCGAGCTTCACCTTGTATGCATTCTTTGGAGTGACACCACCATCAACTTCAATCCATGGGTTTACTCCCTAAACACACAAGACAACGGTTTTTAAGGAGAGAATGAAATAAGCTTTCACTCAGGGCACAAGTTACTATACTCCATACCTTTTCGACACACATTCTTCTCAAATCCGATATTTTCTTTACTTGGCTTTCGATAAAGCTCTGTCCACCAAATCCGGGATTGACCGACATTATCAAGACCAGATCCACCACTGATCCCAGAAACAAATGATAAACTCGAGTGAGAACAATACTATCATCCCTCACCGAAGCAAGTGCAGTGTTAGGACAGAAAAACTCACCATCCAATACATATTCTATTGCACTCAATGGTGTTCCAGGGTTTAGGACAACTCCAGCTTTAGCACCTAAGCTTTTAATCTGTAAACCACAAGGTAAGACTAATTTAAAAAAAAAAAAAAATTCCACCAGACGCAAAAAAAGTAGAAGCCAGAAGGTATCAGTACTTGATTGACAGTGCGGTGCAAATGGATGGTCGATGACTGCTCACAATGTACACTGACTATATCTGCACCTGCTTTGATGAAATCCGGTACCCTCTGATCCGGTTCCACTATCATCTGGTTTTTACAAAAACTTAACAATCAAAATGTGACTTGAAAACATCAAGAACCCGTAACTAGGGAGAGAAGAAAAAACAAAAAAGGGAGCGAGGTTTACAAGATGAACATCCAACGGAAGATCCGTTACAGGGCGCAAAGCATCAACCACGAGAGGCCCAATTGTGATGTTGGGAACAAAACGACCATCCATCACATCAACATGGATCCAATCACAACCTGCAAGCTCTACTGCTTTTACCTGCAAGAAGAACAATACGTCATTGAAAACATGAAACCTTGTGATTAAGTTTCAAAATGGGGAGAGAGGGCAACAAAAACCTGCTCGCCTAATTTGGCGAAATTAGCCGAGAGAATGGAGGGAGAGACAATGATATCACTTTTCGAAAACTTATCAACTCGAGCTGAGGCCTTCACGATACCATGACTTCTCCTTCTGCAAATGTTTTACATACCAAAAAGTGTGTGACTTGAGGGATAACAGTTAATGCAAAACCTCTCGAGATCAACACTTACATTACTGCAACAACTGATAATGTTTAACTCAATCATATCCACAAACACATTGAATGACATTCATTTTAAATAACCAGATCCTCTATTGAGCTTCACAGAATCAATCGAAACTCAAATTACCACATAGTCACACCAAATTTCATTTCAACGACGCAAAACCAAACCCATCAAAGCGAGGCTTTTTAAAATCGAGGATTCTGAGTGAAAAGTCTCGCTGGATTTTCGATTTCGATCATCAAATTCAAGCCTCGAAGAAAAAAGGAGTTTTTGTTTGTTGGAATTGGAGAGAGCAGATAAATGATGATTTACCTGGAGAAGGAAAACGAATTGGGTTGGTAAAGAAGCGACCTTTGAGGCCTAAGACCGAATCCATTGACCTGGGTTGATGGGCAACACAACGAAGCGGCTAAGCTCGACATGTTCGAATCCTAGATTCTATTCTTCTTTTAAGAGAGATTCGAGTTTGTTCTCTCGCTAGAATCCCGAATAAGTGTTGGTGGGTTAGGTTAGGCAGAGAAACTCCGAATCGTTCTATCTATCTTTTTCCTCCTCCTCCTCTTCTTCTTCTTCTTCCTTCGTCTCTCCACCAATCTCTCCTTCTCAAACTCACTCACAAAAAAAAATATATATATGTTTTTTCCGGGAAATTCTGAGAATCCGCCACGTGTGACTACTGTCTCGTGGACAACGCCTTCTTCTTCCTCTGATCCGATGCAGCTTATCTCAAACGGTTGGCTCTGTATTGCTGCTGACTTGTAAATTTGTGGGGGATATTGCAATAACAATCTACAGATATTTTTCAAAGGTAAAATAATTGAGATACTACAGTATGTTGTTACTACAAATAAAAAGAAATTTGTAATAAGATTATATTTCCTATGTTTCCATTTCAGCTTATTTATCGTTTTTTTAAGCAGCTTCAAATTTATTTAACGTTTAAAATAATTTTATGATTTGTCTAAAATCAAACTAAACCGATTTATGTCCCTTTTAAGAAAAAAAAAATCGTATTTGTGATTCAATTACATGACATATTTATATTTGTAGATCCATATTAATCTAACGAAGATCATGACGGTCAAAAACTGTCAGTTCATCTGTTTTTTTTGTCAACATCATTGTTATAGTTTACTAGAATTATTTAAATTTTTGATGTGATTTATACATTTTAAGAAGAAGAAAAAAACTAATTATCTTGGTAGCCATCCATGTTTACATATTTTCCTATTACTTACAACATTGCATGACGACTGACGAGTTTTGTGAAGAAGAATTTTACTGAGAAGTATAACACAAGTTATAAAGATATAAATCTCATTTCTTCAAAACTTATATAAACTTCATTGCATTTAGTTGATCAAAGAAGATGGATTAACATACAAACAAATCACTTCTTGCTCTGTCGTCTGTCCACTTGTCTACTATGCAAATTACGAAAGTATCCTTGAGGGTTGTTTCCAAGATTATTGTAATCAGTGCATTATTTAGTTGATTCAGATTTACAACACCTCGTAATAAAAGTGATTATTATCAAACTATACATTTACAAAGTGGTTACCAATTATCAACGTGTCGAATTAATCCAACGGCTCTCCGCATTCGTGACAATACTCTTTTGGGCTTTTTAAGTAAAGCTGATCAGCAATATTGGGCCTAACTACTTTCTGTGCAGATGGTCCAATATATAGTTTTTCTTCTAGCTTTGTTATTATATTTTGAGTTGTTTTTTCCATCGATTAGCGTTCTAAAAGAGTATGATGCTAGCTAGAAGAATGGCGCCAAAGGCCAAACTAATCGTTGGTGATTGCTCTTAACTTCTTGCCTAGTCAATGATGATCTGAACTGGTATTTGACTCTCTTAGTCCAAGCCCACCATTTAAAAATTATGTTTATGGTTTGATATTACCATTTATGGACTGGCAAAAATACGAAAATAGTGTGATAAAAAAAAGGAAAGAACAAAAAGATAACCGGTATAATTTAAAAGTGCTACAACGTGCCCACAAAAAGATACGCTATATAGCATAAATGTGCTAGGTGAAAAAGTTTATGATACCATAGAGATAGATTCTCTCAGCACTATTGGTGCATTGAAAAAGAAGATTTTTGATTAGTTTATATTACCAAATATATAACCATCATTTTGAAACTTCCGTAAGAAAAAAGTTTCGAGTTATATATATTTTATTCAGAATAATTCTAATATGAATGAAAAATAGAAATACATGCTTATATAATAATACGCGACATATATATTTAATCAATAAATTATAAATTATTCCAATACACTAAATGTATTTGTCGTGCATTAATATTTATAAAATGTTAACAAAAATATGTTGACTAACTATATAGACCAACCAAACCATTCGTGGACGATGGACGATGATACAAATCTCAGATAAGAAAGTGTAGAGATCATGGAAAGAGGCGATCGACGATGCAAGAGTCACATGGCACGAGTGGGGTCGACTGTGTGATGATTTGGTTTTGGAAATTACATTTTTTTCTGTGCCTCTTTGTATGGTCATAGGGACATTTTTACAATTCATTCTAACAAACAAACAAAAAAAAAATCATTGAGGGATGAGTGGGTCAAAAGACCATTTACGAAAAGTGAGTGAGGCTTGACAGAATTTTTTGTTTTTAAAGATAATCTTATCGCCTTTTTATTTATTTGGAATTATTAAGGGTTTTGAAGAAATGAAAAATCATAACCAGTATAGAGGTAATATTGCTGTAGTAGTCTTCAGTTTTTTTGGCACAAATTTTTGGATAGTACTTGTGTATGTATAAAAACTAAAAAGTTACATTAGATTTCGTTTTAAGATAATATTTGTCGGGTCACAAAATTCCAGTTATCTGCTTAATTCACCTCTTGATCTTTAGCTTTCGTCTCAATTGTTTATGGACCACACGTTTACACTTTTTCTTGGAACGTCTCTGTCGTTTGAGCCTTTTTTTATCATTTATTTTAAAAACTTACTTATTTATTATATTGTGGTCGGTTCAGATCCAACGAAAGATACAACCACCTTCATGCCATGGAAAGTTGGAAACAATTATTTAATCATAAAGAAGAGTATGAAAACCAAAAAAGTGCATGATTGATGTTTATGATGGAATGTGGACTTTAAGTATAAACCCAAAAAAAATGATGATAATGGATGCTATTATGAAATACGATAACAAAACAAGCTTTATTAGTAATAAACATTATAAAAGAAACATCGTGGCTCGTGCAATCAATTACCAATTGATCCGCAATGCATGGTTCTCAATGTCAGAGAAACCCTAATTCATATATAAAGATTCACCCTTACTTAACATCACACAAACCCTAAACCTGGGATTAAATAACCATGAGATCTTGGAGACTTGGACATATACTAAAAGTTCCAAATAAGAAAGACATACATAAATTGTGGTTCAGGAAAGTTTTAAATAGTTTGAAACCTTTCCGTTTGGATACGAGGATTCACATGAAATGCTTTTCGAGGGAATCTGAGTCGGTGTCATATATAAAATCAGCATGGTCAAGAAGATAATTTGACCAACCTTCGAAGCTTCCAATCATATTGTCTTGATCATCAACGCTAGGTGATGAGACTTCTTGCGAAACATCGGACATAAGAAGATCATGACCATACTCGACATTCAGTTCGTTGTGGCCTTCACTCCCGAGCTTTTCGAGAAATTGTGAGAAATCGTAAACCTGGTCCATGCCGATATCAGAAGTAACATTGATCTCATGCTCCGGGTACAACGATGACTGAGAGAAGGGATCAAATTCGGCTAGAGTATTTGTCAGGGATGCGTTAGAACTATCCTCTTCATTGCGACTCTGCTCAGAAAAGCCATTTAAAAAGCTTGCATGTGATATTGTAGTAGCAGCACTCGAGCTACCTTCCATGGAAGCCGACAATATATCTTTGATGGAAGTGGCCTTAGCCGCAAATTTGTTCAGAAGCCTTGATGTCGAACTCGATTTCTTAAAACGTTTCTTGCAACTCAAGGAACCGACCTGAACTGGTGTCCCAACATTGCTGGCTATCTCGGAAACCGTGTTGAATCCGGAGGAAGGAAGACGAGACAGGGAAGGCATTGAGCTCGACCGAGAGTATTGCTTGTCTGAGCTAGATTCATCTAGGAAATGCAAATTCTCAGGCGGCGTGGTGGCAGTAGGGCCGGAGTTGGAAGCTAGAGGCTTGTGAGTCACGGGATCAACACCCTGTTCGATCAAACGTTTTTTGAGATGCGTGTTCCAGTAGTTCTTGATCTCGTTGTCTGTTCTTCTAGGTAAATGTCTCGCTATGACCGACCACCTAACGATAAGAAGAGAGATTCAAAGATCAAAGGCGATTAAAATATAATATGGAAGACACGATATTAGAATAATAATTGTATCTTTAATTAAAGTAATATATATGAAACCTTTTCATGCATTTCATTGTTTATTCGAGGATACATATATACACACACATTTAAACATAGAAACGTACTTGTTGCCACGAGAAGCATGAAGCATAATGATAATCTGTTCCTCCTCTGAACTAAACTCGCCTCTTTTGATCTCAGGTTTTAGGTAGTTAGTCCATCGCAGCCTACAACTCTTTCCACACCGTTTCAACCCTATTTAGTTAACACCATATTGATTATAAAAATTTCATACAAGAAATACTAATTGAACATGTATAGATTTTAATAGAGATATTAACCAGCTTTTTGGGGAATGTCGCGCCAGCCTCCTTCACCGTGCTCGTGGATGTAAGAGATGAGTTTCTTGTCTTCTTCGGTGGTCCATGCCCCTTTCTTCAGCCCTTCTCCGACACAACACGGCTTTCTTGACATCTTCTTCCGATATGAACACTAATGACAAAAAATTCATATAACCTCTCACGAACACCCAAGAAAAAAAATGTAGAGAACACTATTCTTAAGGAAAGTAAAATTTGAAAGGAATTTTTCTAAAAAGATAAGTAAGAAATAGATCTGTTTATGAGAACTCTGATGCATCTGAATATGAGACTAATCGAGAAACGCTCTTGGGTCTTTCCCACAGAGCTGCTAGGCGTTTTCATGTTTTTCACGTAGAGCCCCAAATCTTTTTTTTTGTCCTATTCTTATAATATTACGACACTAAGATTAGAATCAAGAAGCTGAAGAAGAAAAACCAAGAGGCATGGATTGTGTGATGGTGGTGAGCTTACGAGCTATGCTCCTCTATATATATACACAGAGTATGTAAATTATTCTTATTTTAAATAGATTAATTAGTTATAGCTAGTTCGTTATTCTTTTTTTATAAGAACAATGTTTGCAAAGCGATGTTGTATATTACTATATTTTGGTATATATATATATATATTTATTTTGGTTAGGAAAATGCGCTTTCTTACTAGATAAATTATATTAAATTAATAACCCTAAATTATTAAATATTCAATTTTCATAGAATAAAAAAATTGGAGTATCAAATTAAATGAATTTATGAGTATTATACATGGAATTGAATGAGTTTGCACACACAATAAATAACATGGATCCAATGTGGAGAGTCAGAGGTGAAGAGCTAAAAGCATTAAAAAAGTTGCTAGGTAAAAGGAAATCCATTTGAATAAAAAAAATGTAACTTTTAAAAATGTTAGACATATCAAATTAAATATAAAATTAGATCTAACGTCTTACATAATTAAATCTAATTAATTTAAAAATGCAAATTAAAAATGATAGAAAGAAAAAAACAACAATCGTGTCCTGGATATACTATAGAGTAATAGTAAACCGGGAAAGTAATACATTATTGTTAAATCAGTGAGAATGAATTTGTTTATATTCAAAAGATCATTGACAGATAAAGAGATATTGGAACATCACGTGTTCTTTTCAACGTAGGTCCTATTTGTTTGCCACCTTTTGTTGTTGTTCTATTATTGTTCGTCTCTTTCCACCTCTGACATATTCTCATTTCCCTTCTCTATAATTTTATTATCTTTGTTTGAACATCATAATTTTATTATCTTCAAACAAAGGAAGAGATATTTTCTTGTTTACTTTGATTCTTAGGGGATCTCAACGTAAAATTCACGAGCTTGGAACCCACCTTGGTGATCGTTTTCTAAGGCTTTGTGATTGGAATAATTAAACCATATATTATCATGCTATTCCCCGACTAAACATAAAACAAGTACAATTCCCCTCATTCACTTTCAACGTATCTAGTGTAAAATTTCCTGGATAGACGCTATTTTAGATTCCATCCTCAAATAATCTGTTTTATGATTCTAATACATCCAAAACGGATATCTCCAATACTATATATTTGTCAAATTTGATCTATATTGGTTTTGTGGTTAATTAATTGTAGTATTATTTAAATATATTTACAGAGTATTTATTTGGTGAAAGACTTAAAGCTATGCAAAAAGGTGGACTAATTAATTAATGTTTTCAGAGTATCAGTCTTCGATTTTAATTCCATTTCTGAATATTAGTCCTCCTTTTTTAGCGTTTGTGCTAGTTAACGAGTAGAATAAAAAAAAAAAAACTACATGTATGATCTCGTTTATCATCTAATATATTTCTTAACCAACACAAAAATTACAGGTATTCATAATTTTTCTTTGAGACTAGTACAAAATCGGAAAACAAGTACATTCAACTTTAGATATAGTTAAGAAATACAATAAATATCTCTTCTAGGAAAGTCGGCAGAGGAAGAAACAGAAGAATCTTCTTTCTATCTTGACATTGGGCTCAGTGATGAGTTTCCAGAACGATACTGAAAAGAAATCTCAAACCACCCAAATAGGCCAGAACGTGTTGGTTCCCCACTCTTCAATTAAAATCGGACACCAATCACAACAATATATTTGGAAGAATAAGCTGCACACCTACAGTTTGGTGGTATAAGGACCAGTTTGGATTGTTACATATATAGAGGAGTCTTTGATTCTAGTCAACTAACTCATATCCCTGATTGAGAACAACTCCCAAATAGAAATGATCTAAGATCCGCCCGTTCTAGTCAATTCTATATGTCAACTAACTTAGATGGCCCCACGGTGTATTCTTCAGTTATTCTTGGTTTCTTTCTTCTTAATAGCTATTCTAAACCGATTGGTGCAAGCAGATCATCTTTCCGTTTCCAAATATCTTTTTCTAACGTTATGTTTGGTTTCGTCTATGTATTTGGCTGATCTCTATCAACATTGCAAACCTTCAGCCTCAAAAGTCCGTTGAGAATATTCTCCATTGGCTCTAACACAAACCACAATATTCGCAACGACTCTCACCTGAGTGTTTAAGATTCCTTTGATCCTTCTAAGTACTCTTCTTGATTTTGTAACTTTTTCCGGCTTTTTAATCTTAGGTCGTAACTATTTTTTTTTTTATTTTTTTTTTCCTGGTATGAACCAATTCAGTGACGTTTTTTATTTTCCTAGGACGAGTTGCTTTTGGGGGTTCATTTGCCTGTCATGCACTTAAGACCCTCTATTCTATGTCCCAATCATTTACGACAGTATATTTATTCTTTTACGGTCGAGAATTTTTATACGAATATACTTTTGGTCATATATATTATTCACCTCATCACACGAAGTTGATCTTCTTTTTGTTTACCTTTATATAGTGATTAAACACTTCGTCACGCCAAAGATTATAGTTTCGTTCTCAAAGCCACTACTGACTCTGAATCCGGACGTATAATTAGAACTCATTAATAACGCTATTAATTTGCAAATATCGGAAATTTAATTAGAATTCTGAGCTATGGATACACTTCAACTCCTTATATATATTGAGAGTTAAAATGAAGATATATAATTCGCATAATAGATTTTGCGGGTAAAAACCCGAATCATTCTTTAATTATATAAAAAGATCTATATATTATTTATAACTGTAAGATTTGAGTGTCTATATATTATGCTTATCTAGATAACCCCCAGCAAATTAAATGTTGCTGTCGAATAGTCTACTCATTAGGTTTTTAGTGTATATAGAGCATGATATTATTTAGACTGGTCAAATAAAAATAGATAGATAATTCATAATTCCAGAACACAATCAATTCTTAGCTTAAACCAACAGAGCAATTCCTATCAAAGTACAAAAAACCACTAACCCACCAACACTTGGTTTAAAGTTATAAATACTGACTGTTATTCTTAATTTAATAACGTTGGTAGCGAAAATTAAGTAAATATATAGTAATTGAAGTAACTAAGTAAATGTTGTTATGTCATTTGTACTGGCTATTATAAGTACTTTTACAACAACTGGTTTAGTTACCCTATTGGAAATTACACCGTATCATCGTATTGTATGTACGTATATCTAAGTATAAAGATTATATAATATGTTTAGTAGGGGTGGGCACAAACACCATAACCGAAAAAACTAAACCATACCGAACCGAAAAAAGTGATATGGTTTGATTATGGTTAAATCTAAAAATCCATTTAGTCATCATTTTTTATAGTTTTGGTTTAGGTTTGGTTTGGTTAAAAACCGCCAAACCAAAATGTTATTTCGGTTTTTAAACTAAATTTTAAATAATTTATATTTTCCTAATTTTTAAATTTAGTTTAGGTGCATATTTTATTATTGAGCTTAGTTATCTTTATAATTTACTAACTTAACTCATAAATTTAAAATATAATATTTATAAAAAATATCTACATATAAATAATAAAGTAAGCTTTAATTTCTCAATAAAAAAATGTGACTCCTTTTTCTTCACATTCAAGTCTTCTAGTTCTAGTTTCAAGATTATATGTATTAAATTTTAATCTAGATTGGTTTATTGTTTTATAATTATTGATTATGAAATATTTGATAATTTGTTTGTTTCTCTGTTTTGAAATCTGTCCTTATTGATAAATTTTTAATGATTTAGATTCTATTTTTTGAATTTTTTGAATTTATTGTTTAAATTTTTAAATTTTTAATGATTTAGATTCTATTATTATTATTTCCATTAGTTTGAATCAAAAATTTTCATAATAGTATAATTCCAAAAAAAACGAAACTAAACCATATCAAACCGAACCGTAAAAAATCAAATCATACCGAACCGAAATATATATAGCTTTTATATGGTTTGAATTTTCGTAAAATCGATAAATCGTAAAACCGAAAAAACCGAACCGAAACCAAACCAAAAACCGAAGTGTCCACCCCTAATAGTTCAAGCATGATTAGAATAATTAGGTCATGGAGTTAATTAGAAAATATGGGAATAATTTTTTTTTTTCTTCTTCATAAGTGGAGATAATAGAGAACTTCATCCCATTCTTTTGGGACCATGTAGCTAAAGCAAAAACGTGGGAAACAACCACTCACTCACCCCAAAAATAAAATTGAAGAAGCTTTAATTTTATTTTACCCTCTCGCATTTTTTTTATAAATAACTATTTTCTTTATAAATAAGAAAGGAATATTTCTTTACTTTTATTTTGACTCGATGGGATCATTGATCTTGGTTGTACTGTCAGCTGTCAGCTGTCAGTTGTGGTCTCAATTTTTTTTTCTTTCAAATAATTGGTATTCAGATAATGTCCTGCGCATGGCGTATGTTTATATAACATTTTTCAAAATATCAAATAGTAAGAAAAAAATTATTATTATTAATAACCGAATTTGAACGTACTGTATATCTCCGAAAGTATGTCCAAATACATCAGTTTCTGTATATTACAAGTATAATATGAACGAGAAAAAAAAGTTACCAGTGATTTTTGGGATCTCCTGATCAGTTATCTTAAATTAGTTTTCTTTCGTAAAATTGTCATTTTCGTGATTAATACGACCTGAACTAACTATTTCGTAATAGTTGCGTAGAAAACAGGAAAGGTATTTGAAAGAGCGACCCGTCATTTGGTAAAACTCTATAATGATATCAATTACGACAGCTTACATATAGATACATATAATTGGAGAAAACTAATGTGATTTAGTCAGATATATTAAACAGTTTTTCTTTTAAATTAATCCAAGTTTGATTTATGCTACATCTTTACATTAACTTTCTGCAACATGAATTACACACAAATAGTATTATCATAATAGTTGTTGGTTATTTCTTTGTATCAGTGACACAAAGACATAATCACTCATGTTGGTTTATCCAAATTGCAGAAATATGAACAGCCAATAATATATACACAATTAGTGAATTTGGCTTTTGAGATAAAAAACAAAATACTGAAAAGCAATGAAATGATGGAAGGTGGGTACTCTATGGTATGATTCAAGTGGTTCTCTTCTCTTTTGCATTTTTATGTTCTTTATTTTTTGTTAAAGAACCTTTTTTCATCTAGAATTATATTAAGAATTTTGTAATCACCTTGTACTACTAAAAATATTATGATTTTTAACTCATATATATGATATATGGCTTTGAGTTTTTATCCTACCATATTATCCTACCCTAAAAATTTATAAAGTAAAGACTCTGAACACAAGTGCATACAATGACAATCGCTACCAAATTGACCCATAAAAGATGTGATTGAATGTCTGTTTTTGAAAAACATTGATATCCCCGTGTTACTTGATTTTTGTTTCGCTCGCTACCTGCAAGAGGAATGTATAAGTGGGCCCGTTTCTGTCTCATATTGGGCTTTTACTGGATCTATTCTCTACGTTTGAGTTCTTGATTCTTATATATGAGAAGATAAGGATCCGTTTTAATAATTTGTACCGAAATAAACAGTGGACATATCTCTACAATATCATCATTATAGTACGCAGTTTAAAAATCACAAAATTAATAAGAGTGTAAGACCTTGAATTGATGCAGTTTTTTTGGTTTTAGAATTTCCGAAATGGTTTTCTTTAAGTTCGTTTTTACATATAAATGGTTAAAAAAAAGAAAGTTTTATCTAATAACTACAGTCATTCGAACCGAGACTGAAGAATTTACTTGAAAGTTGGACCAGTAGGCCCATAACATTATTTAGGTCCAAGAGAGTTCATTTTCGCTATCATTTTACTAAATTCATTAATGGAAATGGTTCATGTCATCTGTAGTATGCTTTTTCTGAGAAAAAAACAAAAGTTAAACAAAAATATCGTAAATCACTCTTTGTTACCGAGCTCTCGAACAAACATTTGTTTTGTAAGCGGAAATAAACTGGTGAACAATTACCATCTAATTACGACACGTGTGGGTATACATACGTATTCATGTAAAACCCGTAATTAACTTTGAACGTAATATTTCAAGTTTATCTTAAATATATAAGAGTTATACGTAGCCCAAATTAGAAAAATACAAAATTTTAATCCAAGTCTTCTTGCAAGTTGGGAACTGGCTATAAAGGGTTTTGGTAACTATAATTGAGTACATTGCAAACAAAACTTGAAATATAAAAACTCGGTTTTGATTTAGATCTATTATTTCAGTTTAGTACGTTATCGTTTTTTAGTTTGTTAAATAGATTAAGTATAATGTGAAGATAAGTATGGATACAAAAATTAATATTTTCATAGTATAGTATAAAGATTCCAATGTTAGCCTGTTATTAGTAGATTATAAACACTATTTAAAAGTTAATATATAGTATAAGTGAAAGTTGTATTCTGTGTGTCAAGCCATTGATGAGATTTGCTGTGTACTGACTTTCTTGGGAGGCTGTTTGTTTCGTCGGTTTACTCTAGCCTCTAGTGTAGTTTTAGTGAAACTTTTCTCATGTGTTGTTTTCATTTTTCGGTAATAGAAATCACTTAAGTATACATCATTTATTCTATAACTTTTATGGGCTAAACATGCTTAACTGTGAAAAACAAAAGTGAAAAAAAAACTGTTAGAAAGTCAATGATATTCTGGTTATACAAATAATTAAATCAATACTTGTAAATCTTTCGCTTCCACCATTGTTTGATCTTGGAATATATACAGCTTAAAATGTAAAAAGAACAATTAACATATACCAAGAATTAAATAAAAAAGGAGTAGAAAATCATTAGAAAAAGCGAATAAAACGGTTGAGGGAAGAAATGAAGAAAAAAAAAAAGAGATGTTAAAAAAAGATGGGTTAAGGAAGATGTCGTGTGGAACTCAATTTATTTCATTTCTAGTTATGATCATACCATCACGTGCCTTTCCCACCTCTCCTCGTCTTTTGTTTGGTAATTCGAAGTGTGTCATGAAATAAAGGATAGAGATCATTGTTTTCATCCGAGTTTAAATCATATATTTAGATATTCATCTTGTTATATGATACCTATCAATAAACATCAGTCAACCATTCTAGCCAGATAGAGCTTCTCAGTGTTAATACTCGATTTGGTGACTGTTGTGATGACATTTAATAGATATATATATGCAGCTCACGTCGGAGGTATCTATTCACCCCATATAACTAACTATATAATAAACATTCTGAATATGGGTGTATATATATAATATGACTATATTGGAGCTTCAAAATATGTGATGCCGCACGACAAAAACGAAAAGAATATAAGAAATAAGAAGATGTGCTACGTAATATATATTGACAATACACACAAATTTCAAGCATCACGCATAACAGCTTTATAACGGAATAGATCCGTCATGGACGTGGGTCGAATGCAAAAGAGATTGAGAAAATGTGCTAAGTTTAACATTTCAAAGTTAAATTACTATACATAATATATATGTATGTATAATTATTTCTATTAGAATTATATATGCATAGTTGTTTCTTATTTAGAAAGATTGTTTTTAATAATTATGAATTTTTTTTATCAAAACTGTTAGACTAATTTAGGAATAAAAATATATTTAAATATTATATATAATAATGTAAACTTTAAATAAATTACGATTTTATACATAACCCAATGATAGTGGATTATTAGAGCAACTTCATCGCCATTTTCTCAATTGGGTATCTAAAATTAAAAAAAAAACCGAAAAGAATGAGAAAAGGAGAAAATGCTCTTATTTAAGCGATTTGAGAAACGTTTTCATCTCAAATAGCAACATGTCTATATTTCATTGGTTTAGCTTTTTAATATTTAATTTTAAAAATTAAATTATATAATTAAATTATAATAATATAACATGCTTTAGATAATTTAGTTTAGATATTTATGAGTGTAGATAGTTTTAGTTTCCATTCAAAAATGACTTCTCTTTTTTATATAGACCAGAGATCGATTTTTTAAACATGTTAAATTATCTAATAATTTTTATTTATCAATCAAAATATATTATAAATTAAATCTACTAAAAATTCAGTGATTAAGGTATTCGATGATTACAATAAAAAAATTCGATGATTCAACTATTCGACGGTTACAATAAAAAAGGTTTGATGATTCAGCTATTCGACGGTTACAATAAAAAACAATTAAGTTATTCGACGGTTACAATAAAAAATGATTAAGCTATTCGACGGTTACATTTAATTAAAGTTAGAATGATGGTAAAAAAAGCAAACCTTTTAATTATATATATAATTTTTTTTATATATTATATACTTCTTTCTATTTTTTCCAATAGTATTAGAAATGAGATACTTTTGAAACTCTACTAAATGATACGTTACGTGAATTTAGGTTTTATGTTCATGGAAATTGTGTTTCACTTTACACATTCCCAAAATTTTAATCAACCATGCATAAATGTATGATATAATATACTTTCTCCTCTATTTTTATGGTTTTCTACGATATTACTATTGTAGAAATAACAAGTTTGAAATGTCTTTTAAGTGAAGCTTGAGATATTCTCCCTGCAAAGTCGAAAATGAGATTGGTTTATAACAAGCAGAAAACGAGTGTATATATCTAGAGATAGCCGGGTCTACTTGAACTGCATCTATAAAGGTAAGGTGCATATTCTTTGCATTCAAATATAGCCTTTATTCAAGACTATACTGTATATGTTTGATCGTTTATTAGAGAAAATGGCCGATTTCTATTCACCAAGTATAGTATTAAAATACAAACTTTTTTTAAGAATGACTTTCAGAATTTAAAGACAAACCAATGGCAAAAGGGAAAAAATAACCCAATAGGCTTTTAAGGTGTATATATATTATAAGTAATGTTGATAAATATACCCAAATAGACTCTCCTCTCTAGCAAGTACCAGATTATAATTTTTAAGTTTGTTTTGAGTATAGTATATAGTGGAAGTTGAGATGGTAAATAATCTATACAAACTTTAAGCACACCACACTAAAAGGTGAAAAGGTTTTCTTACTTTCTTTAAGACAGTAAATTAGTGGGCATGAGACTCTTGAGTCTTCAGTAATTCCAGAAAGGTTCAAGATCAACCGGTCCAGCGGAGGAAGACGGATCTTCTTGAGCATCGAATCGTCTCTTACTGAATTCAAAATCCGACGAAATATCAGTGTTCATGTCAGTGGAAACTGCGGTTTCTTGTGAGACACTCATCGCTTTGAGACTCTGCCTTGTGTTGTTATCAATCATAGCCTGTAGAACCGAATGTTCTTGAGCGAGAATCGGGCTTTGTAGATTACCGGAAACCTGGAGGGACTGAGTTTGGTAGAGTGGAATCCTTTGGAAAATGTCGGCTTGGATCGAGTTAAGAACAGGGCTGCTGAAGCAATTGAGTGTAGTTCCTTGGGCTTGATCAGTTTGGTTGGAGAAGCAGGGCACGTAGACCGGTTCTGTTTTGGTTTTATCGTTGTAAGGCGAAGATTCGGTTAAAGAGGGCAAAAGCGAAGGGCTAAAGTCGGTTCCGAGTGAACCGATTCGGATTAGGCTCGAAATCGGGATCTTTTTCCCTCCGGCACTCTTCTGGAACACCCTACAGATCACCCATTCATTCTGCAAAACCCACAACAATCACGAAATCTATTAAACAAGAGGAAACAGAGCTGAAACAGAGGCTTTTAGGTAGAGAAAAACAGAGTAAGTTTTTAGGGCTAACCTTTGCGGTTTTAGGCAAGTTATGGGCAGATAATTTTCCTTCAAGCCGATACTCATGCATCACCCAATTGGTTTTCTGACCTTTAGGAGCTCTTCCTCTGTAGAAAACAAGTGTCTTCTTCATCCCAACAAGCGACTTCCCTCGGTAAATCTCCTTATCCTTCCCAGTTGCCTTCCAATAACCGGCTTCAGTTGCCCGGTTAGTCCTCAAACCGGTCGGATACTTTCTGTCCCTCACACAGAAAAAGTACCATTCTTTCTCACCCATTTTTGCCATCCCTGTTCAAAGAAAAAAAAACCCAAAATCAATCCTCAACAACATTAGGTTTCAAGAAGAAGAAGACAAAGAAAACAACCACTTTTCAGTTTTGATCCAAAACTTGAAATCATGGTGATCTTCAGACATACATGGTAACTCCCATGGCTCGGATTTGTTCAAATCAACTTCGCCGATTGCTTTAGCTGAGAAACTGATGTCCAGAACCTTCTTGTGGAGATAGTGAGTTATGAGTTCTTCATCTGTTGGATGAAACCTGAACCCAGGAGGTAAATCCATCTGCTCTTCTTCCTTCTGAAACCCACAAAAAGTCTCCATTTTTTCTCCCTCCCCGAGAAGCCTTAAACCCTTCAAATTGAAAGAAAAAACCAGAGTTTTTTTTTTTTTTTGTCAAATCGAAATCCAATATATGGGTTTCTTGATTTGATCTTGAACGGGTTTTTTTTTTGTAGAGATGGATTCAGAGGATATTAATATGTGAATATAGCATTTATAAATAGAGAGAGAAAACGATGAACAGAGAAGTTGGGGAGAAAAGTTAGGAAGAGAAAAGAGCCAAATGAAACTATAAAGGTTGGAACTTTGAAGGAGTGGGGAAAAACAAAATTGCAATATTTCATTTTCTTAATTATAAGAAAACTACGTTAAAACGAAAATTTTGTTTTTTCGGAATTTGGCAAAAAAGGAATATATTTCCCCATTTTTTTGTGTGAGGGGAAAGATACGTAGTGTGTAACGCAACTTGGGTAGGTTGTTTTAGCACTTTCCCCTTTACAAAAAAAAAAAACTTTCTGATCTTTTTTAATATTCGTAGAATATATTTGAAAATAAATTATTTGACTTTAACAAAAAAGAAACTATTTTATGGATCGTTATAGGCGCTTGAAAATAAAAAATATATTTGCGAAATTAACAAAAGAACGGATAATTACGATACTTCGAATCTAACACATTAAACGTAGTTACTATAATTGTAATGGAAAGTACAACGAATGATCTTACGTCATTTAAGTAATACAGTGAACAATGACAATGTTTTCGAAAATAATTAACAACGAAATAACTGTATGGTAATAAAGGCCCCTTTTGTTCCAATTATTTGAAGGCTCTTTAACAAGAAAAAAAAATGGTAATAAATATGTAAGGTGAAAACACTTCCACGTTCATGGTTAGTGAGTAATTTTAAGTTCATATATGTATATATATATATATATAGAGTTTTAAAGGAGTTAAAAAAACTAGAGTTTTAGATGTTTATTAATATTATAAATAAACTATAGCAAATTGCATATTTTATTCTTAATTTTTTCAAACATATGTTACAATGTCGTCTGTTAGAATAATGTTTATACGAATTATAGGTTGTATTTTTATTTGTACGTATTTTAGATATATTAAATTATAACATTTTTTTCTCACCAAGACAGTTTTGGACTTTTGATTTAGTTCACCTAAATATATATACCAATCACAAATCAATTAAATTTGTCCATTAATTTTTGTTGTATGACTTCTCTTACCATCATTCGTATACGTGTTTTTTAAATTATTGTAACCATAATCTAACCACGTCCACGTGTGTGATCAAATAACGTTAATAAAGAAGTCTGTGCATGTTAGCAAATCGGAATAATAAAACAAAGTTGAAGTTTAGATGACTCAGTACCAATTTATTATTTCGATAGTAATAGTATTTAGTAAGCAAAACAATACTCCGGAGTAGTACTTATTTTTGTTTTTAATTCTTTTTAATTTTATTTTAACACTCTCTTTCCCATGGAAGAATCAAGAAGACATGATTGACAAATGATGCGTCTGCCGATACCCTTATTGGTTCTTTAATCTTGTTACCTTATTCGTCAGAACTGTAATCTTTATTACATTTAGAAGAACCACTTAGAAAAGGTCAAAGGAGTACAATATTCTTTTAGAAAAGTTCTCTATTTGAAAGAATGAAGTGCGTTCGGTGTATTACTAATACTAACACATTTTGATTTGGTACCAAATATTGGCATTTAGAGATGTGTTCAAGTGGATGTTCGCCTAGAATCGCATTATTTCAAAATCTTTTACTTGTAGATGTCTGTACATTTATTTTGGAGTTAATATTGTTTGGCCCATTTTAATTCCAAAAAGTTATTGAAGTTATATATATAACTTATATATGCTACTATATAAAACCCTTTAACAAACACAAATTATATGCTACTGTATATTTGCTTTGATTTTACCCCATCGTTTTTGTTTGTTAAAGGGCTATTCATATGTTTATATACACACATGTGAAATATCGATACACACATATTAACATCTTTTTTTTATATTGACCTTGATTTTACCATCGTGACAATAATAATCATGATCGTATTTAATTGCAATGATTTTTTCTAACAGTGTTTGGAATGTTCACTAATGTAATCGTTGCAAACAATTATAAATTTATTGGAAATTATAATTCCTTGTTTTATTGCAAAAAGTACTATGTTTTATATTTTATATATTGTGTTTTTTAGCTCTCTTTCAGATCGATGCAATATTACTTGTTTCTTGATCTTAACTCAAAGTTATCACATACTTATATATTAAGAATATTTCATATATAATTTTTTTTCTTTAATTCAGACCAGGATTAACTTTGTAATTTACGTGCGTTTGCATAACCAAAATGTATATAGTGTCAGTATGCATCAATTAAAGTCTAACTTTTTTTTTTTTGGTCCTAACAATTAAAGTCTAACATGTATGCATGTTTCTTATAAGTCGGTCATTAAACCATTTTTAAAGTCGGTATCTGTGATTTGATATCTAAATTAGTGGACAAAATATCTATGAGTGGTCTTCTTTTCAGGTTCTGATAGAGAATACCAGAAAATGAACCAGACTTTCCATAATTCCCTTCTAACTATGTGAAAAAAGGATTTTATGGTTACAAAGAAATACAATTGAAGAAGTCTAAATGCAACACTATTGACCAACAGTCCACGATCGAAAAACACGCCAAATGTAAAAGAAATGGTTCAGACATCATCAATAATATATAAGCATATAATTATTATTTTCAACATTTTGAAAACATGTTATCCGTAGCAGTAAAGGTTTTTTTTTTTGTTCACTTTGTAATAGTTTTTTTGGCTATAACTGAATGTTTTTTTTTGGGGGGTCATTTTTTTGTGTGTGTTGAGCAACATAATTGAAAGTTATCAAAAGAAATTGAATTTCAATACAAATTTATGGGGTATTAGGTATCCAACACATTTGGAAATTTTAATTTTCTCATTTAGTAATTAGCATTTCACAAATGTAAAACACGCTTTTCATCTTTTGCGTAGTTGGGTTTCACCGAACAATTAAGATTGGCACTCCATTCGGTTAACATTACCATCCCCCATTATCTGTCTTTCAAAACCAAAACACAATTACAAAACTAAAATGAAAAGAAATATCTATTACTATGAAAAATTAGATTTAGATTTTTTTTCTATGCTGATGTATATTACTACGCATAATTAGTTTTTTCGAATAATTAATTTAAAACTATATATTATTGTAATATAGATAATTAATTTTCAGAATTTTTGTTTTAAAAGATTTGTTATTTATAATAATTTTTGTTTAATTCAAGTTCATATTTATGATGAGATAGTAGTATCACTACATCCTCTATTTTAATTTCAAAATAATCCGATTAATGTTTGAAAACAAAACTAACATTTGGTAAATAACTATTTTTTATTGTCAATTTGTCGATATTAAGACCTTGTTTTACATTTTCAAACAGGATCCCTAAATAATAATAAAAATGGCTATTCAATGTTTATATACACACATATTAGCAAAAAAATTTATATTAACCTATAAAAGAGAGAAAAATAGAAGAAAATAGCATCGATTTTTTTTTAGGGTCGAGTGATGGGAGACCACATTTTACTAATGGAAACTGAATTACGTACATTAGAACTTAGTAAAAAAAAGACGATTGTCCATGCTTCTAAGTCTATAACAATATTATACGCACTAGAAACTAATTTCACCTCTATCCCTTAACTTTTATTATACAATAACAAATCTCTTTAAATTACTTTTTTTTGAAAAACTAATGTACTTATACGCACTATGAACAAAATGTCAAACTACTCGATGATATTTTAATTGATCTAAAATTAATGTCATGGTGGAAGAAGAACGGGATCAAATAAAAGTTTGGTTTAAAAATCTGCTTATAGACAAATTAGGTGGCAAGATAGCAAAGTAAAATATCCAGTAAGACAAAATCACCTCTCGATATACATCGATTGCAAAAACTTTCCGATGTCTTTGCAAATCGCATCTTCAGGCATTGAGGTAGTCATAAATTGAGCTTTCATCAGATCCTACAGAAAATGGTTCAAACTTCAAATCTCGCAGATCTTGAACATGTTCAGCTTTCGTCTTATTGATATATCTACTGATAACTCCATAATATATTTCAATCTGTTGTCTAATTTCAACACACACATCTCATAATTTCCATTCTAAGTTCCTGTACAATGTAAAGTTAGACAACTTGCTTGAGATTATCAGTCATATCTAAAACCTGTAAAAGGATTTGAAAGTTTATAACCTTCTTTCTTCTCATAAAATTCCAGTCTGAGCTTTACAAACTCTACAAAAACTACAAGACAATATGATATATTTAGTATATAGAAAAAGAAACAGAATGAATAACTTATTTTTGCCTAAAAAATACATATTGGTAGTAGTTATGGTCGTGGTGAGTTTTAACTTCTTCAGCAAGCCCTCTTGTTGAGCACTCCTCAGGTTCTCTTCACTCAACTTAAGCTCAAAATGCACAAATATATCGTCATTGTGTGCCATGATGCTCTACAGAAATAAGAAGAAGGAATTAGAAAGAAACATAAGAATACAATCACAGTTTCTGATTTTAAGCATTCTACCTGGAAGAAGGGACCATCATGTGTTTTCATTGCCTCTAAAAACTGCTTATAATCATTGGCACCTCAGTGACATCGATAGTTGTGCTATCAACATCATGTTCGCGAGTGTATACGTTTGATTTTGTTATTATTATTTATTTTTTATTTTAAGTCAAACGACTTCGTAATTTTGTTTTGTCAACTTGTCTTACTATTGAATTAAAAAAAAAAAAAAAAACTTGTCCTACTATATTGTCACGCCATCTTTATGACAATTGAGATGTTATAGTATTCATTGTATTTTTACAATATATACGAAATTACCTTTTTTAATTTTAACAATATTTTTTTTTGTTTTTTCTCCTCTTCTGTGATCTTTTTCCCTTCCCCTGCCTTTCCTTCCCTTTGTTTTTTATTTTCCCTCCTCTCGTTTCCATCCCCTCTCTTCTCCTCTCTCTTCCTCCCCTTTCCCTCCCCTTTCCATCCCTTTATTTTTGTAAATAGTATAAATAGTATAGTATAACAATAAAAACTAATATGTAATTAAAATTTCATGTACTATACTATATTAGTTTTATCGGAAACAAAACACATATTATAGTATAGTCCAGAAAAAATATAGACAACATATGTTTTCATAATATTCTCACGTGAACAAGAAGGAGATTTTAGTAATTTTTATGTGGGTCATGGTTAGTTTGCATATTATTTGAATAACATGGCTATATTATTTGATTGTTTTTCAAATATGGTTATATAACGAAAAAGCCCCATCTTTATTGCCTTTTTGTTGTTGTTCAACTTCATCTATATTGTCAATTTCATAATTTTGTAACCGTATGGTCACGTTCCTACATTTTGAAAAGCCGATGAGTAGTATTGAGAAATAAGAACTAAACCAATGGGATTTTTATAGTTGACCAGATACTGTCAGATTCGTGCTTCCGAGCCACTTTGCATATATTTGTATTTTGTGGCATACATTTTTTTCTTTCTTACAAATAGTTTTGTTGTGATTTAAAAAACGAAACACACATTAATTTTCCAAGCCAGTAATTATGTAAACTTCTTAAAAGTGGTAAATGTCTAATAAATATTTAACACAACTAAGAAACTAAATCATACAATGTTCAATGTTCATGTTATTTCTCCAAAAAAAATCATTCAATGTTAATGTTCTAGTCAGTCAACATCACGACGAATATACAAACCATTAAATCTTTTGGATAAAACACTCATATTATACTCCATACAAGTGCGCTCATACGTATGGGCCTAGAAACTGTCATAATTAAGGGAGTAGCTGATACGGTGATACCAATTTGACCCATTTTCAAACATTGGGCTCCAAATTGTGGGTTTCAATGGAAGGACAGATTCCGAAAATATTATTAACTCGAACGCGCATATGTAAATCGAATGATTAGCTATCGTATTTGATATACTTAAGAAATGCATTACCATTGTTTTGGATTAAAATCCTGTGGGCCGCTTATGCAGTCTTGGGAACATATTTAGCTGACAAATCCCAAATCAAAGAGAAAAAAAACTGTGGGCTGCATTAATATTATATTGGTAAAATTTTCTTTTACTCGTATCTTAACTCAGAGACCATGGATAATGCAAAGAAATTCAAATTTAATAAATTACAGAAATGGAAAAACTGAGTCTCTGACATAGTGACATTGTAAAAAGATGTATCCTCAAAATAAGATATTCATCATCACCCCATTAAAAATGAATAATAAGAAAATGAGAAATTCAATATCTTTTGGAATTTCCCCAATCTTTTAAGTAACAAACAACGAGGCCGAAAAAAAATAGTTATCCAGATTTGTAATTTCATCCAATTGGGCTGCTGCAACAATTATGCAATTAGCCCATTGTTTTGTATAAACCAAGTGGGACCCTATCCAACGAGGAAAAGCTTCATACACAGTCAGCTACACGTTTCATGCGACGACCCTGACAGTGATGTTTATTACTCTCTCTCTCTCTCTCTCAAAAGGAAACATATAATAGGAAAATAAATCAGTTACAAACAAAATTTAAATAGAGAGTTTTTTTTTATTTTATAAATTTATACTGGATAATTCGTGGTAAATTCATAAAAGGTAAGATTATCTGGATAAAATCGTAGCATCATCTAATCCTGATCGTTCAGGTTTTCAGATTATTAATGTCACTAAAAGTTACGGTCAAATCAAGAAATTAACGGGGGAAAATGGATATGGATAAAGTAATAAAAATCGAGTTGGATAAAGAAGGACCCACCTGCGAGTAAATTCCAATTTTGTGTAAACAAGTTTCTGCATAAACTGTACCGACTTGTGTTCTTCATTGACATCGAGAGGTCAATAAAGTAACCTACTTTTCGTTCATCCTCAAATCCTCTCAAGGCTTCCTTTCAATTCCTTCTCTGCCAAAATTACAAATTTCTGAGTTTTTCATTTATCAAAGATCTGAATCAGAATTACAGAAAATTGAGACGGACATGGATGCCATTTCATCTCTAAGAACTGAGGGTGGAGTTGGTACTCAATTTTCTAGGATTCTTCCTCGAACCAATCATGGGCTTTGTCCCTTTTCTCTGGATAATAAATCAAAATCGAAACTTTTTCCGGTTATGAGCCTCGATTTGAAGGAACATCCCATGGTTTCAACAGATTTCACCAACCAAACACTTACCGCGTTTTCTTCTTCCTCTGTGGCTGTTCCTGTAAGCAAAATACATCTCCTTTTTTTCTTTCTTGAATCCAAATCTCTTTGGCTTTATAGAGAGACTTGAACAATCTGGTTGCTGGTAATTGGTTAATTTCAGGCAAAGACACCATCGTCATCAATTGGTATGAGTAGAGGAATGAGATGGTGGGAAAAGTCAACGAAACACAACATGTTAGAGATTCACTCTGCAAATCATCTCGTTGACTCTTTATTGAATGCTGGAGATAGATTAGTTGTTCTTGATTTCTACTCTCCTGGTTGTGGTGGCTGCAAATCTCTCCACCCAAAGGTATGCATCATATAATCCAAGTCCTCTTTTAAGAGATTTTTCAGTTAATTTGGTTTGTGTTTTTAATATGTTTTTTTTGTATTTTATATAACAGATCTGTCAATTGGCGGAATCAAACCCAAATGTGATGTTTCTCAAAGTGAATCAAGAAGAGCTTCGAACAATGTGCCATGGCCTCAACGTTCATGTGCTTCCTTTCTTTAAGTTTTATAGAGGCGCAGAGGGTAAAACATGTAGTTTCAGCTGCACCATTGCCACTGTAAGCAAATCAGATGATCAAAAACATTTTCTATTGCAGCATTCAAATTACATTTCTTAGCTCTAAATTGAATCTATTGCTGATTAAAATGTACAGATCAACAAGTTCAAGAAAGCGTTGGAAAAGCACGGGAACGAAAGATGCAGCCTAGGACCAGCAAAGGGTTTAGACGAGAAGGAACTCATGGCTTTAGCATCGGTCGGGGAACTGAAAATGAATCCGGTGTCCTTAACAATGCATCAAGATTTGTTGTCATCATCATCTGCTATCGACTTCTGTTATAATACAGAGGAACAGCATCAAAAGATGGTGGTCTAAAAGAGATGTTCTTTTCATTAGGGTTTCTTGTTGATTTGTAGATAAGATTATTGATTAGTATCATCATCGTCATTGGTATGGCTTTTCTTCTTTTAGTTTCATCCCTTAATTAGCAATGCCAATTTTTAGTAACTTCAAGATTAAGCTGTACCGTAAGCTTACATTTTGATAATCTTGGGACTTCAAATTTACAATATTAACTTAAGCTTTATAAGAGAATAGTACTGTAATCTGGATATTGGATTAAAATTGGTAAATTGTGACAGAAACTAGTAAATATGTTTTTAGATCGACTATAAGGGATCTGAGTGAAACAGAGACGAAGGAGTTGATTATGACAGATTATTGTAACCGTACTATGACGGGATAATTTCAAGGCTTTACCTCAGCATCAAGATTGTAATCACATATGTTTACACATCAGATCTGATGATTATTTGAAATCCATCATTGGTAAAGCCTTGCACTTTCGATCAGATAAAAACAGATTCGTGCAAACAACAGATTTCAAATCACAAAACAAAAAAGGATTTTGAAAACTTGAAAGTAAAGAGAGTTGTTTATGCATCAGAGAGATTCCCATTATAGACTATAGTCAACACAGATAATTTCTGATGTCCCTGTCTGTTTAATCGTCACTTGCAAAGAACAACAAACCCAATTAACCACAAAAAGAAAAAACGTCCAATACCAAAATCAGATGATACCCAGTTGGAAAAAGAAAGACTTGAGCTTTAGAATAAAATCTGAAAACCCAAAAAATATAAACAGTATGTAGAACAAGAATCTAAGAAACCAAAGACGAAATTAAGATTTTGATGTAGATACATATTTTAGGGTTTCCACAGTCTAGAATTAGGAACTACGCATACCTTGGCCTTAATTTAGCTAAATCACGCCCTTCCGAGTGAATTAGCTAAATTAAGTCCCAGATATGCGTACCATGTCATTGTTTCCTGTCTCCGTGACAGAGGTTTCGCAGGCCAGATCGGAAAAAAAAAAAAGCAAATGAAGAAGATTGGATCCGTTAACAATTAGGAACGAATAGTAGGAGATAGGATTTAGGGATTTGTTCGCTCGCATTTAAATAAGGATTTTGGAGGATGCGCGATACCTAAAGTAAAAATATGTTAATTAAATATACGATTTAGTGTTTGTGGAACACAATGGGGATGTAGCTCAGATGGTAGAGCGCTCGCTTAGCATGCGAGAGGTACGGGGATCGATACCCCGCATCTCCACTTTTTATGAGTCTAATTTTCTTCATTAATAAACGAAATAATGAGAACACTTTTTTTTCTTTTTTCTAATTTGCTTTTATTCTGATTTGGCTGCAGTTGTATTGGCATATAGCTTAGTACTTGAACAATGATGAAATTATTGAAAAACAATAACAAATTCAAAAAACATCAACGTTGAACTATGCCAAGAAGAAATCTCAATCCTTCAAAATGATGATAAAAACAACATTTTCCGGATTAGGTCATATCACTGCCATGCTCAGAAGTAGGCAATTAAGATGATTAAGATCAAGTTTTCCAGGAGGGAAGATGTTTTAATAAATTTATAGAACTCTCAACATACTGTATAGTAAAACACTAAACAAAGTTTTCCCTCTACACTCTCTGTTTTTGACTAAAATAATAAAATCAGTGTTTCAGATTACAGTGTAGGAAGCTTCATCATGAAGAAGATGAATTTAGCCTCCGACGAATCACTTTGGCATCTCATTCTCTGATGATCGCATCCCTTCCTCAATACGCTACACACACACACACGAAGAATATGGTTACGGCGGCTTTTGTCAAAGACTCGGACATTTCAGGATTTGAGTTTTCAAACTCCTTACCTGAAGAAGATAGTTGTGAAGCCAGTCCAGTGTCTGAGGGAATGTGGTGGCCGATATATTTACCACTGTCACTCCCTGATTTACGCATATCAAGTGTTAGAACCGTGAAAGCCAGAAAGAGGATATAAAGGTTGAGTTTATGAAGAGGACCCAACAAACCTGTGAGTTGAAGGAACAAAGATAGTCTTCAATGGTCTTTAGGTTTGAAATCAGCCTGTCTTTCTCCTGCAACAAAACCGGTGTTTCATACAGCTTTCAACTGAAACTTTTTAAAGCTTGAGGTTGTTTATTATTACCTTAGATGTATATTTATCTCCGGATGTACGAGAAGAGATCCACTCCTCTAGCAAAGCCTGAGCAAATGAGATTAAGAAAATCAAGAACTGAGAAAAAAAAAACTACTTTCTGCTTTATATACCTGAAAAGTTGATTCACCTTATGATCGAATTCAGCCATCTTTAAAACAATAGATATGACTATTGGTTCGGGGCCAGATTTCGGCTTTCCACTTCCCTCTCCAGATTTTCTTTTCTTTTCGGCTTCTTTTGCAGTTTCACCTGAAACGAAATTGTAACTATACATTATACAGAAGCAACTTCACAGAAAGAAAGAAAAAGATATGCTGATTACTAGTTTTCACAATACCATCGATTTTACACTGTGTAACGTTTTCTGATAGTTGTTCCACTGATGTCATGGCTGCATCTTGAGACTGTGGTTTCGCGGCACTATCGTCGGTTTCTCTAGTGTTTGAAGAACCTGCCTCGGGGTGTTTGTCCGAAGTTACATCTCCTGAAGAGTTTGTTGCTTTGCTACTCTTCTCGGGATCATTTGATGGAGCTTTGTTCTCTTCATTCATCAAGTATATGCTTGGGTCTAAATGTCTTCCCTGTGATGATGATTCCGCCATGATTAGGAAACAAAGTGTCATTGCCGAAAGATAATCCAAAAACAATTTACCTCGATTATAATTGGTTTCCCATCTTTCATTGCTTTCTTCAAATCACCAGCGAGTCCTAAAAGCAAAGACAAAACCATTTGGGTTTTCAAAACACAGAACGTACAAAAAGAAAGAAAGTAAACAATCCACAAAAGCAAATGCACTAAAAGGAAGAACCTTTTCGAACAATTCTGCATTCTCTACAGAATTCGGTTATCAGCTCCTCTGATGAGCCGAATTCTCGAGTCCACACAGGGGTTGATGTCAACGGAGCACTGAATCAAACAGAGACAAACGTGTTTATATGCCTAACTCTTAGACTAGTTGATGATAAGAATAGACAAAACTAGATAAACGTACTCAGTTGCCGTGCGAAGCAGCTCATATACCATGTCAGTCTGTGAAACCAAAAAGAGCACACAAGATTAACAAACAAAAACAAACGAGAACGAACAAACTTGAAGAAGGGCTATTGAGTTGAGTAGATACATGTAAAACATTTGGCAAGTTTAGTCTCTGAGCAAGTTGTGTGGCTATTGTAGACTTTCCGACACAAGCTGTTCCGCAAACAAGTATGACGAGAGGTACTCTCTGATGATGAAACCTAAACCCAACACAACAAAAATTATAAATAAAAACTGAAACTTTGAAATGAAATGATTTACGAACCAGAAAAAAACCATTTAGTGTATTTACTTTGTCATCATGTTGTAGCGGTTAATGTACTCCTCACCATAACCACGCCGCTCCATAAGCTGCAAGATTACAATCATTATCAGAATATGAAGTATGCACCTTTTTAAACAAACTATAAAGTATGCACCTTAAACAAACTGGTTTCCAGATCGGACTGAGACCTGCAAAGAGAAACGAAGCGAAATTATTTACAAACAACATCGAGGTTATGTAAATTTCCATCGATAAGAAGAAAGAAGAAGTAGCGAACAGGCATACACATCCAGAAGGCTGTTATCAATCAAAAGCTTCTTGAGTTCAAGAGAAATCTTTACTGCTACATGATTTGGGATCTGAAATCAAATCGGAAAAATGTTTTACCGGTGTTATGGAGAATCGAAGAATCTAAGAACAATATTCAACAAAAGATAAGAGAAGACTTTGGAGTTAAAATTGAACAAACCTTAGTTACAGTTAGCATTCTGCAGACTAAGAACCGAGACAGGACATAGTAGTGATCGGCATCTCCAAGCCATACCTTCACCTACAGATTTGTCATCATTTGAAAAACAAGATCAATTTTTTCCTTAAAAGAATCCCCAATTCCAAATTATTTGATGACTGAAAGCCAATTCACACATATAAAAAAAAAAATCGAACCTTGACGAAATCGTATTTAGAAGAAGCGTTTCGAGGAGAAGAAGGAACAGAAGAGAATGGTCGGATATTGATTTCTCTAGGTTCGTGTTCATCGTTAGGGTAGTTTGTTGATCTTGAAGAGCCGGAAGATTCCTCTCTGTCCTTCATATTCAAATTTGCAACACAGACGTAATGGAGACGAAGAAGCTTTTAAGTCTTCAATAACTCGATCGCTCTGATAAGAATAATATTACTCTGTTGATGTTTCCGACATCTGAGAGAGGTTTCTAGTTTCTCAACCTTTTTTACGGACAGAGTTTTTTTTTGTTAGTGGTGTCGTATGTAATTGTATTAATTAATTAATGATGTGATCTACAGAAAAAAAAAATGCATTTTCTGAGTTTTGGTTACAGACAACAATATTTTAGAAAGTTGAGACACTTTGTTTATGGTTAAAAATATGTTAATTCAATTTTTTTTTCCTCTTTACAGTTAGTTATCTACATATATTCATCTACTTGATTGAATATTTTTAGTCATTTATGATATCTATGATATGTATATAAATACATTCATATGTTAAAAGTATATCTGTTTTACAGATTTTATCTACGAAGTACATACAAAATAGATAGACAAAATCATATTTAGTTATTCATGAAAGTTTATCCAAAAAAGCATGCAAAATGGATTAACAAGTTCAACAATATATAATTGATTATCTACGAAAAATTATTCATTTAAGCATGAGCTTCATCGATCTCATACTATTTCAGTGGACGTATGGAGTTGTCTACGAAAATTCATCCACAAAAATTAATGATAAAGTATTATGGTTGTCTACAGAAGTTCATCCACGTAATCTGATGGTTTTGGATATCTGGTATTGTAAAATTACATATAGACAAATATATTATAACAAAAGAAATTTAAATAATTATATTTAGTTGTCCATAAAAATTAATTCATAAAACACGCGGGAAAATAGACATACAAATTCAAATAATACATGTTTGACTGTCCATAAAAATTTAAATATTTTAGAATCTAAAGTATTGATAAATAGATAGACGTGAACGAATAATCTAACTAATACATAAAAGGATAAAATAGTCATTTTGAAAACCAAAAATACTTCTTCCTTTTAAAATATTTTAAGTTGTTATTTCATTTTTTAGAAGTGTCTTTCTTCGTAATTTTCTCATGATAATATTGCTAATTCAGAATATTTTAGTCAATTTGCATAGACCAAGAATGAACTTGTGTATAAGAAGAGGTTGTCTACTACCTTTTACTTATTGTTCTGATTTTCTCTTTTGTTCTTTCTGTGATGTTAATGACATAGATTTACTGTATGCTTTAATAAAGTGTTTTTTTGTTGTTGTTAACCTGCCGAACTTTTGGCGGAAAATACTAGGGAAAATGAGTTATATATGACCACAAAATGATTAATTATTTACAAAATGAACTCCTTTTGCCGTATGTATTAGAAACTTGTATGAGATGTATAGACGGAAAAACTTTACTCGTTTAAATAGCAGAACTGATAAATATGAACTAGTTACAAGAAAAGAAGAGCCTGGATTAAAATTAGAATTCTACAAGCAAAAGTGTGTTGAAGCTTTTACGAACAAATCTTTTACAATAGAAGAAGAGGTTCCTTCGAATTCAAGAACGGGGAGCAGCCATTTGCTGCTTCTTTATCTTCTCGTGCGACTTCACCATACTGTAACAGGGCACAACAGAGAGAAAGAGAATGAGTTTTCACCACTTCACAAACAGAGTTCCATGGTGTTGAGATTAATCTGTTACCTGATATCATGAGGAGTGATGAACATCCACTGAGATCCTTGTGCAATTGCAAAATCCACCAGCGCGTCCAAGCTTATTTTCCGGCTGACTGCATCCTGTATTTTCCAGAATGGGACAAGTTAAAAAAAATGTTCGTTTCAGTAGCTCTCAACCCAATCTAATAATGCTTGTAAAGAGAAAGACGTAATACCATAAACACATCAAACTCATCCATTGCTCGAAATGGGGCTTCTGTCATCTCGTGAAGAGCTAATGCAAAGCACAAAGTTGAGAAAGAACGTTCTCCCCCTGCAAAGTAAGACAAGGCGGGAGCTGTCTTAGACTCCACCGATGGCCAATATAGGAAGTGTCTTTACATAGCAATGAGTTACATATGTTGGAATTGTTTTTTAGCGAAGAAAGAAGCAGCACCTGAAAGACCTTTGGTGTCTCGAACGGCATTGCTTGTTGCATCTTGAGGCATCTTAACCTGTCAGGAAAAAAGAAAGCCATCAATCAGATTATGTAATAAATAATATGAACACATTCATTAATCGCAAATATCGTAGCAGAGCAGTGTCAATTACCTCTATAGACAAAGTTTTATTTTCATAACTGACTTTGATGTGTCCACTGATACCTTTCTTTCCCAAGTGAGAGTTGAATCTGTTTTCAAGATAACCCATCAACAAAAGCGCTCCATATGGAAAAATTGTTAATACTATAAATCTCAAGAGAAAACCGAACTACAGATTTATCTATGTGGTTGGCAATGAGGGGAAAAAGCAACTCTTACTGCCATGTTAACTGGCGCCGAAGGAGAGATGCATTCCTTTGAAACTTGCTCCAACGCATATCTAGAGCTTTTTTGCAGGCCTGATCAAACAGTAATGAATAAAGTCAAAAATGATGCAGCGATAACAACACATACAGCTTTATCATAAACAGGTCTACCATGAGTTTGTCTCGATAGTCTTGGTAGGATTTGCGCTTCTTTGCAATCTTTCGTTCTAGTTTCTCATACATCATCCTAAGGTCATCGATTGATTCAGAAAACCTGCACCAACAAAATTGTAGCATGTGATTTACTGTCACAGGTCTTTCCGTATGAAACAAGAGCTGAAAAAGGCAATAATAGTAAAATACACACTGCTGATTCTCTCGATTAAGTCTCTGATTCATTCTGTTAATCTGAGCACTGAGTTGCTCAGGAGTACTCCCATCCCAGGGCCCCAAAGATTGTATCTCACTCTCAGGACAAATTTCAGAGGCCTTCTGGTCACTTTCCTGGAATTTCAAGCACATGTAACCGTTACTAAAAGATAAACCGAATACAGAAAATCGGCCCTGAGAAATAACCTACAAGAAGATAAAAAAAATTCTATAGACAAGACACGTAATTCTAGTGGCTAAGTTCCATAGACTAGACAACATGGCATCCCAGGTTCAACCCGGCCATTCCCTCCTTAGATAGGGTTTAAACGAGAGAAAGAAAGATAGATACATATATATAGAAACGAATGAAGTTGGATTGGTCATCTTGGGAAAAAAAAAACTGTCTATAATACTAACGCAACTGTCATAATATGTACCTTCCGCTTATTTTGAAGCTCCTCGTGATTAGCCTCAGCATCCTTGATATCAGGTAGGACCTTGTTTTTCATTATGTTCTCGTAATGGATTTTCTCCTGAAACAGAATAACGCTTACCTTCTGCATGCAAAGCAAGTAAAAAATCAAAATCTATACGTAGAGGTAAGAAGGGGTACCGCTTCGGCAGACTGAAGGTCTTTCTCGATCTTCTTTAGCTCGTTCTCTGCTTCCTCAAAGGCATCAATTTCACCCTTGGCTGACTCTACATGCACGTTTTGGATAGAATGTAAGAATAAAGTCGGTCAGACATCAAGATGGTCTATTCATGTTCGATCACAAACCAAGAAAAAGATGCATGCGTTCAGAAACAGGGGTCTATCACAGACATACCACGTAGGTTCTCAAATGAAGCATTGAGTTTATTAGCCTTTAGTTCAGCTTCTTTCAAGCAGTTTTGGAGCTTCTCAAGGAAAGCTTCTTTCTCCTCTATTTCTTCTCGGTCTTTCTGATTTAGTAATTAGAAGAAAAAAACACCTAACTTTAGAAATAATACTTGAGCGAAAACAATGACAGTAAAAATGTTTCACCAACAAACTAACCATGATTTCAAGTTGAAGCTCATTAACACTTGAAGACGGTGTTGCTTCAGTCTCTGCAGCGACTGTATTCTTCAAATCTTGCATCTCAAGTTCCTTTGTCGTCAAAACTTTCTCTGCTTGGCTTCGGTGCCTCTGTTTAAACCAAACAAGGAAAAATATGCAAAACCGTTATGAAAACAAGCTAATCATTTCAGTTAAGATGCTTAAAGACTGGAACCCTAGTTTCGACATGTCTACTGGATTAATCAATGAATTCACATTACCTTCACTGTGCGCACTTTCAACTCAAGTTCCTCGAGATTCTCTTCTGCTTCCCTCTTACGCCTCATGCATTGATTTATCTCGCTTTGTCCTTTTGAGGCCTCTATTTCAAGATCCTTGATCTGGTCATCAAAAGAAGCACAGAGTCGCGTATGTTTACGCGCAGGAGGAGGAAGGATTGTCTGAACTGGCCCACGAGAAAACCTGAGGTAAGAGTAGATACATTAGTGTTATGATTGAGGAAGATCGTCCTATATCCCCTAGATGCTTTCAAGTCAACCCCTTTAAGATTAAAAGTACTAGCTTTGGATAAATCAATGCATGAGACGTAAGAGGGAAGCAGAGGAGAATCTCTAGGAACACCAAAGAAGGGAGTTTATGTCATAGTTCACAATAGTATTTAAAAGAACAAAAGATCTCCAGTCCTGCAAAAAGATTTGTTCTTGTTTGCAAGTGAAGATATAGCGGGAAAGCGAACAAGTTACTTACATTCGGAATCCGTCTAAAGTGAAAACCTCCTTCAGATTTGAGAGCCTTTTCTCAAAGGCAACTGACTTTCCCACCTCATAGTTCTCTGCAAGGACTTGCCTCTCGACACTACTCTGAAATATCCCGAAAACAAGACCAGACATGTAAACCGTCATATAGGGCTGTAAGAATGAAGAAAATTAGTAAGTGGAGGGAAAATTTGAAAGTAAGATTACCACATCCACCAATACATTAATAACGGTTGGATTGTCAGAATGCAAGACAGAGAGAATAGTTGGGTGTTCTGTCTGAGGAACCATGTGCCTTGGTATATTTAACCTGCATAAATGAAGAAAGAGACCAAATTTTTGCGTTATAAAGCTATTCATTCATCAATGCAAAAGGTTAAAAAGGAAATTTAAAATGTTTACTTAGACTTTGAACCTTGGTCTCGAAAAGTCATAGATGATAATCCTAAGATTTCTATAACCGGCATCATCCGCACATCTTCTTAGAGTGAGCAAATCTTTATGATCAGTCACAATAAAGGCATTTAATAAGTTTCCAAGAGCTTGTTCAACTGTTGACGCCCATTTATTGCCATTGATCAACGTCTGTAAGAAAA